AAAGAATTGCATCAAAAACATATCAATCCACCTGACATTACCTTTAAATTTTGTACAATTTAATGTCATTTTTTATGGGTAATCGTCTTTTTATTTTTACATTAAATGAATGAAAATTTAACTAGTAAACTGACTCGCTCAGTGTATTATTGCAAACAAACAAAAATTTTTCTTCACCCCATAGACCAGTTTTATTGGTTTTATTATTTAAGTGCCATAAAATAAACCTGTATTCATCCTAATGATTGCCCTGTGTATCTTTCATTGATGACTATAAAAAGGGCATTGGTTTAACAGATTGGTCATTGCAATGAATTAAAGCAAGCTTCTTGAGTGTGTTATTTTACATCAATTCAACACAAGAAATCAGAAGCTTAATCAACTTTAAAAAGAATTCTAATGTGGCTTTGCCTCAGAAAATGACATGAGAATTACATGTATGCCTCATTGTAATACCTCTGGAGGCTTCATATTGAGGACTTTTGTGATTCTTCCTTGCATGATGAGGAAGTGTGGGTTGTTGACATTGAGCTGGACAGACCTAAACAGATCCTGCACTCTGGTGTTGTTGGCATTACTGCCATTAATCAAGTATTTATTTCTTCCTCCTATTACAACCTATATCAAAAACAAAGAAATATTTATGAAATTACAAGAATTCTATCTCCATGTAATAGTCTGATTTATATTGTGTCACTTGTCAAATTTATACACATTACATATGGCTTTGATGACATTCATTTCAAAACATTTAAAATAGTAAGAGTAGCCAGACTTACTTCTTTCTGCACCCATATAATTGGGAAAAAAAAGATTAAAAACTGGGAAAATATGGCTGATTTTTGGATTGGAAATGAGTCTGGTAACTGGACCCAAAAACAAACCAGGAAAACTCCTGGCAACCCTAACACCTTCACGGTTCTGAATTTTGAGCTTTTACCATCACTTGTTTATAATTCTCACAAATACAATTTACAATATATAATATCATGTATATATAATAAACATGTTTATGATAATGATTTCAACAGACCTGTCGTGTAATGGTGATTTCATCATACTGTTCATAACCTAGAGGACTTTGTTTCTTGTCCGCATTGTCAAATGTGATGCTGACAGTTGCCTTTGTGACACCCGCCTGTCCATTTTTGTACACAAGCTCCTGGAGATTTGTTGCCCTTACCTGTATGATATTGAAAATAAATTCTACAATAATAATCTCATTTATGGGGGTACCTGTTCCAAGATTTGTTCTTTTATTTTACTATAGAGACACCCAAATTCGAATATTAAAAGTTGATTATCTATACCTGATAAAGATATTTTATAGAAAAACAACTAGTCGAAACACAAGTCATGCCTACTTACATGTGACAAGTTGGTGATTCCCAAAAGAAAACAAATGGAATCCAAAATGTTGGATTTTCCACTCCCATTCAACCCTGTTATAGCATTGAAAAGTGGATCGAATCCAATTATCTCCGTTCTCTGTGCATATGACTTAAAGCCATCGATAACCATAGATTTTATATACATTGTTGACAGTTATCACTATGAAAAATATTACATGACGTTCTCTGAAGTTAGCTTAAAATATGGCGCGCATGAATACGCATGCGCCTAAATGTGCAGTGATGGTTAATGCGTGTGGATAATATTCGATTTGTACACGCTGCAACTTCATCGAAGTGTCATTTACGGTAGAGAGTTGTCCAATTAAAACGTGGACAAACCATTTTTATTGAAAAAAAAATACATGCCCTAAGCTAAAAATTTCAGCAAAGGTTTATCGTACTATTTGAGTACATCTTTTTTCTTATAACAAAATAAAGATTGTATTATACTTGAATGAACAGAACAGAATATTTTATTTCTAATTTAGAGCCCAGAACAGACAACTATGAAATTATTACAATAATAAAAAGATATGCCAATGAATAGTAAAGAATTAGTAAATTACATTGCTCAGTTCAACAATAATCTTGTACTATTTCAGTTAAAAGGAATACAATGTAGGCCTATAAAACTGTGCAAAAGGTAATGCAGAACTTTATGCCATATGGTCCTACGGCGCACAACCAAAACTCATAGTTGAAACCATCAGAGAATATCAGAGTATTATTTCGAAATAAAATTATTAAATAGATAACGTTGGGATAAAAGGGCGATACCACACATAACTGACATACACTCCCAAAGTTTGCTCATTGGCGGATTTAAGGGGGACGTGGGGGGCGCACGCCCCCCCCCCCCAAAAAAAAATTTTCAAAGTATGACATGACTAATATTAATCTGTTAATAATGCCATACTTTGGTTTTATAATTAATGGTCAATTAATAAATGGTGATTTTATTTAATGACCAAGTATCGGTTTTCTTAAAAATCAAGTCTGGAAACCTTGTATCCCCTATAGGCTATCAATCATCGCATACTTACAGAATTATTCAAACCGGAAATCGTTTCCCGATCTCGTTTTTTTTTTCTTCTAAAAAGTGAAATATCATGGTGTACATAACTAACCAATACCACTATTTTATGCCTGGTTTTACTCTTAAAATTCACGAAAACCCAGGAGCTTTCGGGGGCCTGTATCCGCCCATGAATTGAGCTTATAACTATTTGAACTTTGCTGTGTGTTCCAGAAGTTTGTTGATTGAGCTTAAATCTATTTGAAATTTGCTGTGTGTATTGACAAAAAAATGTACTAAGGAGAAATGAAAATTTTAGAGCGCAGTTTAAAGAGAGAGAGAGAGAGAGAGAATGTATCCATGGAAGTCCATATGGAAAGGGGGGTATTATTTCATATGATTGAATTTTATTACTTTTCTAGCTGTGTTCTTGCACAAAGGATTGAATTGAAAAACCAAACTATGATTTTCTAACAGTAAACATTTCATTTATGGACACACACACACCCTTTCACCATTTAGTCGGTTTCAAATGCTTAGGTGCTTGTGAATGCTTTCTTGAAAAACTCAACCAAAAACCCAAGAACATATCTATACTTTGTCAATATTTACAAGTTGTTTTGTAAAGCAATATACATGTCACGTAAATATTTAGCACCATAAAATCAAAGGCGCACCCCCTTATGGAAAGTTTCATTTTCTCTTTTCTGACCTTAATTTTGAGGTTTTCTAACTTAATTTTTCTTAGCCCCCCCCCCTTATTTGACAATTTATGCAAACTCAATACACTGAACAAATTGTGAGAATTAAACTGTGTCATTTATTGTTGACCTTGGTCTTTCCCATGACCTTACATATAACTTTCAACTTTAAAGCCCTAGGGTTATATTTCTCTTGGTTTATCTTATATAATTTTATAGAGGATAACTTCACACAATTCCACACATTAGAGCATTTCAACTATACCTATTCAAGAGATCAGATATATAAAGAGTTGTTAAGAATGAATCTAAACAAATGAGACCATATTAGGTGTTTGATATATAGGTTGAGTCAACTCTATTTTTTCATGCTACAAAGACAAATGTACTTAATAATTAAAGTATCAATCTGCATTTGAAAACATAAAATTTACCCCTTCTTTCATCATAATTTAACCGTTTCTTTTTCCATTGTAATTATAAAACAGCAACACAACTCCAGCTACAAAGTATACAAATAAAACGCATGAAGCCCTAAAAATTTGGAAAATCCAAGATTGAAGTTAGAATTATACCAACTGTAGACAAATTTTACGTGGCACAAAGAAGATGGGCCAGCGAAATGCCTATATATAGTGCGACAAGCACGAAGGTGAAAAAAATCTCAATTATAGTAAAATGTTCTTTGATATTTCATGTAAAATTAAAGTATATTTTATGTAAAATCTTCACAATTTGCAAAATCCTCACAAAGATTAAAATTATTTGCCTTTGAAATAGCATACACATACTAAAGAATGCAAAAGGGATCATTTTCTCATACTACAACACAATTGTTCGATATGAGTGGGTCTTCGCTCCATATTTTGAAAGTATATCCTCCAAGTTTGTGTAAAAATATACATTTTCTGGTTATCAAAAACATGGAGCAAAGACCCACTATACCTTAAAAATACATTTTGATAACACAGCAATCGCATCTTTCCGAGAAGTACTTGATGTCCAATTAGCCAAGGGTCATATCACAAACATGATTTAAATACCAATATTCATCAGGATCTGTGTAGTGTAGTGGTTAGAGTTTAGTCTCAAAAGAAAATGATACTTAGGATTTTTATTGCTAGCTATAGGGTTTGAACGAATCTAATTAAAATCACTCGGCCTTCTTAGATCCGCGCCGTACTCTTACGCAAAGTGTATACGGCGGGGATCAAAGAAGTCTGATTGTAATTTATTAGATTGGGGTTCGAGCCCCACGAATACCACATTATTTTTTAAATAACAGAATAATTTTTGCCGAGAATTTTTTCCTCAGAAAAGTTTTGTTTTTCATAATTTCATTAATTTCAATAATTCATAAACTGAATATGATTTTTCTATATCTGAAGCTATAGGCATTCTGCACGCCTTGTTCACCACCTCCTTTTAATGGTAAAAACAGAAACAAAACACTTAAACAGGTTAATAATTAAATATTTTTTGCAAGCAATAAAAAGCGAATGAATTCAAATTTGTCCCATTTTCCCGTATCCAATCATCCACAGCCGTCTTCATCGTCGGATACCCACGGGTAATCTTGTCTTTTACTCATCACGCGGTGATGAGCTGTCTTTTTTTTTTTTACCCGACTGCACGTGGCAGCCCCCCCCCCCCTTTTTCTCTCTCTCTCGTTAAATATATAAGCAAATTTTATCTGTAAGAACTGCAGTAGAATATAAGCAGCACTTCAGCATATAAGTGATAAGGAAGTGGAATTTAAATTAACACAGTAATATGAAAACATTTCTTGGTCGTCTTCCATCACCCATGGCAAAGCAAACATTTTGCCGGATTTTTATATGCTACACGCATATCATTCTGTTACTATTTTCATTCATTGCAGTATTCTGTTTACTTCCGATTAATTCTGCGTTACATTTTATTTGATTTACAACTGAAATACATGTGATAGTTTGCAAACTTAGATGAACAACACTTAGTTTTTATTATCTAAGAGCTGAATTTATACATCTCTTGATTAATATACCTGTACTAGGTCGTTATTCATGTGAGAGACACTTGTTGCTAACCACGCTATTGTGTATCGCACCTTGTCAACAATCTCCATTTACGTAGAGAGCAGCACACACGTGCCTTAAGGGTCAGTATTAATCTTTTAATTAACCTCTCAATAGATAAAAACTTTAAATTAAAAATTCTAACGTATTCAGAAATTCCTTTCTTATTGAAGAGAATATCGACGCTGTTTGAATCCAGAAGTATTATATATAGTGTATCGTTTATATATATAAAACAATGTTAGAAATAAAAATAGCGAAATAATTAACTTGTTCTGGTTAAAAACTTTAAGAATCATTAAAAAAAGCATATTGTTTATTCATTTTCATTAACATAAAACATCATATGTAGAATATTTTTAGAAATTTGTTAGAAGAACAACAGATTAGCTTTTATTTGAATATTTTCACCACCGTAAATGTCTTCATAATCATTAAATCAGAAATTTTTTTAGGAGCTTAACTTTTTTTATAGCAGGTAATTTAAATACGATAATTTGGGTTAAATTATTTACCACCTTTACTTTGGATCATTAATACGCAGTAATTTGATGCTTTTGTAAAATGAGCACATATAATATTAAAATGATTTAAAATCCTTTGTCATCTTCCCATACCCTGGTCATAATGATTTGTGTCACACAAATGGGATAAAAACAGATTTGGCTAGGAGTAAACAAAGCATTAAGTGGTATTTAAACATTTATGATCATTGATACTTCAAGGCTTTATTGTGTGGGTATTGTTGTTTGTTGATGTGATCAGATCATGTAAACCTGAAGTATCTAAAGTTTAACAAGTGAAAAATAGGTGTACCAAAACTATGCCCAATTTTGGGCATATCTTTGAATAATTATTAAAATTTTAGATTATAATTCTTTATGCTGCCTCAAATTTAAAATATTTACATTTGTATTATCAGCACTTTCAGTGTAAAAGGTTGATATCTACTTTATTCCTCTGTCTTAACTACATGCTTGTATCTGAATAATGAGGTAGATTTTTTAAATTATTAATCTTGAACCTTATAATGTATTGAAAATGAGTGTAACATAAATGATTATGGTTTGGTTTACCTTACAAAATACTCTTAAAGGTGCTTAGACACAGATTTGAACTTAATATTTTCTCAAATTTTCTGGATAATATCACGATATATTGCTATAGCATTTCGCACGAAAATATAATTAAAAACTTATTTCATCTGGAAATTATTGGAACTACGAATTCCGGGACGCGTTTGATTAACACATCTTTGCACTTACACAAATTTTAACTTTATCCTTAATATTTAAGAAAAGAAGCGATTTTGTTACGTATTAATGAAAAATATTACATCTATAATCCAGAAAACTCGGAGTAAAAATGTTCGAAAGCAAAACCAGCTCACCAGTATTGTCAGTCCGTGCTCTGTAATGTGTATGAGTTTAACAAATTGAACACACCCATGAAGCGTAAACTGTTTTTGTAAACAGGGCACGAGCTCTGTTATTGTTAATGTTTACGATTCACCGGGTGTGTTCAATTGTAAAACTCTGCACACACCACTGAGCACGGACTTACAATACTGTGAGTGGGTTTTGCTTTCGAACATTTCTACTCTGAATTTTCTGGGTTATAGTTTTAATATTTTTCATTAATACAAAACAAAAATGCCACTTTTCTTAAGTATTAAGAATAAAATAAAAATATATGAAAGCGCAAGGATGTGTCAATCCAACGCATCCAGAAATTCGAAGTTTTAATAACTTCGAGATGAAATAAGATTTGTATTATATTTTAGTATGAAATGCTATAGCAACATACAAGTCATGAAATTATACAGAAAATTTGAGAAAATATTAACTTCAAATCTTTGTCCAAGCACCTTTAATTGTGAATAATTAAAAAAAAAAAAAGAAAGAAAAAGTGTGATATGTAAATGAAACATTGATGACACTGAATTCATCCACAGGTGGCAAAATGAGTGCCGCGATGGTTGACAGAAATCCAGAGTACCCCTCAGCTGATTATAGTCGGTCCATGTACGACTCCAGACCACAGAATGATTATGGACGTCCATCATACGACTACAGTCGTCCCACTTATGATTCGTACCAGCAACCTGGGGACTATAACCGATCATCCTATGACCCTCCCCGGGCCCAGGAGAGGTATGACCAACCCTCACAGTACCAGAGGGCCCCTGACCCACCAGTGGTAAGAATGTTTCTGATTCATTTGGTGTATTTGTTTTTTGAATGATTAACAGTTGTTAGGTTTTTTTCCCTTGATAACATTTAAATACATTTCATGGTAATGATCATACATTCATAGAGTATATTATCTACTTCGTAATTGTAGCAAAATATAGTATATTGGGTGATATTCTAAACTGGAGAAAATATGAGATTTTTTAATTTTAAAGAATTACTTCATATTTGTGAAAGACTTACTGTATCCTACATTTTTAAACATACCAAGTTTAATTTCTGGAAACTTTTATTGTAATAGCATATTTAAAGATTTGTAAATCCCATCATAAGAGGACTCTGTTTGGAGTTAATGGAATTTGTAATTAACAGACTTATGTAAAAATGTTAAAGTTAATTCTGAGAATGATCACAGCTAGGTATACAGTGGAACATTTTGTTAATGATGCTTTAAATGCTGGCAGGGGAGGGCATAAACTGTTTTATGATATCAATTTTCTACAGAGGGAATGTTGACTGTAATTTTCATAAATGTCAACTTGATCATTAATGGCATAATAATAAATTCACTGCTTTAAGGAAGAAATCTTAAGATGCCTGGAATCGATCCTTCACTGCACACCTTATTATGTATATCTATCTATTCACAGCTTAAAAATCTACAGCCATTATATATTTGCTCTTTTGACATATTATAAGAACTATTGATTTTCTGTGCAAACTGTGTGTTGATTGAATTTTAACATTTAGATATAATTGAAAAGGAACATTTTAAATGTGGAAAAGGAACACAGAGATCTTATCAGAGAAAACCTGCTTAAAACACTACATAGAATTAACAAACAATAACAATTTAATGTCCATTTAAAATTTAGGAAAGTAAACACTTTGTTAACATCAGTTCTTGGTTCAGCTATTGTATGCAAGATAAGAATTTATAAAAGACCATCTTTAAACATTATCTTAGTTTACCCTCTCTCAACCCCAGATTAAAAGCTGGGGACATTGGTACCAACAAAATTGATCCCTTTTTGTCAATCATATTAAAATTTGATCATCATAGCTTTAGATATTTAACAGTTTGGGTAAAAAAGAGATTTTTTTTTACATTTTGAATATTGTGAATTGCAAGGCAGAATAATTCATGAGATATCTTAAATACCATAAGTTACATGTACTCTTAAGTGTTTTATGTTTAATATAAGATTATTTAAAAATAAAACCTTTGCATATTTGATACAAGCTGATGATTTACAGATAACTTCTGGGATAGTCAGTTTAAGTGATGAAAAAGCCAAAGAGCGCAAACATCTGATACAGATGGAAATGCGTAAGGAATACGAGGACCACATACGGCGAGTATGTAGCTCCCGGCGCCCTCTATAGGCAGAGGACTGACTTCCTAATGCTTCTGTATCTAGTGCATGATCAGTTGAATTTAGTCAGAGCATGATTAAATTATCTTTATCTCATTTTAGTGTTAGACTTATCATAATCACCTAGGACTGTGATTAAATGTAAATAGATTGTCACATAAATACATGTATAACAAATTTTGAAGCTTTTAGAGGAATAATTTAAGACTGATTTGTACTCAGCTTATAAATTTTTGATTTGTTAACATATTTCACTTCACAATATCATTATTGTAAGTCATTTATATCTATGGTTCAGTGTATGTTCATATATTTTTCACCTTTTATTATAAAACACATGTACATTTCACTCTTGTTGTTAATGCAATTAGAATGATTTTTTTCCCTAGTCAATTTTTGATAGTTTTTGATTAAGTAGGTTTCAAATCAAAATGTGGGCATGCAAAAGTAATGGTTGGACCCCATATCAGTGTCAGAACTAGGTGTGTCTTGAATACATTTTAAACTACAGGCATATTTACTAAATAGGTAGAAATATGGTTAGAGGAAGGGGGAGGGGGGCTATACATTTTGGGGCCAATAGACTCCAGGGGAAAGGTACTGATGTGCTCATTGTGATGCAATAGATCAGATATTTTTTAGTCAATTAATAGATGTCAGATTAATTGCATGAAGAAATGAATGACAGTCCTACAGAATTTTATGGCATTCAAACAAAGTTTAGGATTTAGACTACGGGTATTGATTAGATCATTATATGTTTATTTGATACAATTACTCAGTTATTTTTAACCTAAAGATTTACATAATTTGGCTAAATGGAAGGGTTGTGAAAATTTGTGAAATTATGTTTGAAGGACTTAAAATGTTAGAGACTCCAAACTTTAAATCAATTTTCAAACAAGATCATTAAGGCATGATGAGATCACATTTTGGAAAACTCAACAACAAAAAATTGCATGTTGAAGATGGTCCAGAACATAATTTTTATAATTTAGATCAGGCTCAGAGGCAGATCAAATTACTACAAGTTTATATATTTCTTTACAGACGTAATTTAGGATCTATAATGTGTTTTACTTACAAATATCATTGATCCAATTTAGTAAAAGTTTAGAAAGTTCTGTCGATGAAGGTTACCAAAATTCAAGGTCAAAATTTTGTATATTCTGATAGGCAAAATTTTATTTGACTCCAAAACTTGAGGGAGCTTCAACCTTTATCCTCCCTATATCAATAATACTATTGAGAGAGAGAAAAAGAGAGAGAGAGAGAGAGAGAGAGAGAGAGACTAGAGCCAAGGTCATAGCATCATAATGTTGTCATTTGAAATAAGCACACTGCATGCAGAGTACTTATATAACTTTGTCAGTTACATCTACTTAAAGAAAACTTGATATGAATAAAGTAGAATACATGCATGAATAAGAATTTTAAATTTAATTAGTATGCATGTAGAAGTATTTTGAACTATCAGCTTACGTATAATCAAAGTTAAAATAAATGCAGTCTGAGTTGTCTCCCTCAATAATTTGTCAGGTTTAGCACAGATTTTACAATCTCATTTGCTAGGAAGTGTATCTGTAGTTATGTAGATACATATGTTAGAAATCAAAAGGAACAAAGGACAGGTTAGCTAACACTGTTCTTTCTCTTAAAAACAGTGGCCCTTAATTTTCACAAAAGATCTTACAAGTTAAGACTAAGACAAAATTTTCCTATTCACCAATCCTACATCTGTAGTGTGTCACAAAAAATCTTATATTTCTATTACATTAGATTACAATTGTGAATAATATTTAGGGAAAAAAATCTTTAAAATAAAGATATTAAGAGTTATCAAATTTTTATCATAGTCATAAGATTTTTTATGAAAAGGGCCACAGATACATAAATACCAAGCAATTTGTATAAGGCTGCTGTCAAGACATGAAGAGGTTAATTTTAGGGGTTTATCAGCATGGTCAAGTGTCTTGGTTGTAACTCTTAAGTAAATAAACTGTAGACATGGTAGAGAACTGACTGGGAATCTCCAAAAATAGACAAGGGAGCAAGGCTAGGAGGAAGATTTTAGTCTACTTAAAATCCCGATTATTGGGAAAGACTGCCTCTTTCTGAAATTAAGGCGAATGGTTGTATGGTACTTTAGTCTGGAATATACTATCTGTTTTTAGCAAAAGCCTGTGTATTATACCACAGGAGCCCCAGAGCAGGGACTCCCCATAGGAAACTATGGCCAGACTCGCAAGGTTCTGAACGATGAACGCCACCGAGACTACAATAAATTTATAAAGGAGGTATACTGGTGCGCTAGTTATACATGTACAAAGTATTTGTAGTCCTGTAGACTCGCACCAATTGCACAATATACTTTTATCATTTTATTTATTTCAGTTATAAACTTTCTACTAAAGAGTCTTTTTCAGGTCTTCATTCAGGTGTTTGCTAACAATATTAAATTATTAGCTAAATATTGTATATTCTTTGATTGATTAACATATTTTTGTCTTTGTGCTAGTTAATACTTTATGCTAGACATTTCTTGTTTCTTTAACTGATAAAGTTCTCTACCTGAATGAAGGTAATTTGGTGGTTTATTTATTTTTTTCTGTTTATTTATTTATCATATTTTTATTTCAACAAATTGTCTGGTTATTTTTGCACATTTCTTTGTTTCTTTCAGATAAAACACTATCACTTCTTTTCTGCACTATTTTCAGTTTAAAATTCAATGAACCAGAGTTTATGTTCAGTTAAAATCTCTGAAAAAAAAATATTGTTAGGATTTATAAAAGAAAGTATTTCATTTAGGGGTATAAATTTTTTTCACACACTAGAAAGAGGAACAAGTAAACAGACATCGAGATGAGGTGTTACAGCAGCGACAAGCCTCACCCCCACGTCAGCCCCAGACTGAGATGTACGACCACAATCAGATGTCACAGACACTCCGGGAGGAGAGGAGGAAAGAGTACAATGATTACCTGGTGAGTGGTCGCGTACCTGTGTGGTGACATCAATAACCAGAGATTGTAGTGAAACTAAGATTTATCTTAATCAAATAGAAATTCCTGCATGTGTAATTAAAGTTTATTACAAAAATAAGTTTATAAAATAATATAGAAAATAGAAAGAATTACACTGATTGTAGGCGCTTAATATTCCTTTTTTATTTTTCTGCATGGGAACTGTAATTAATCAGTTATAATTGTCAGAGATATGTCTCCATTTAATTGACCCCATATCATCATCTCTCAGAATCTCTAAATCTTGGGAAATGCCCATTAAGAAAGATGAATTATTCTTGCTGGCTCAGTTACTACAACAGTAGACAATAAATAAATTGTTATGCATATGAATATCAAATGATTATTCTATATATGTAACTGTATAAATATCTTTTTAAGAGGTTGGCAAACAAAAGTTTCTGTTAACAATCAATATTTCTAAGTACATACATATGGGTTTATGTTAACAATATTTTCAAATAACTGTACATATACATTGATTTACCTGTAGCGTACATCAAACTGATACTGTCTATTTACATATGATAGAGGCACTCACTGTCAATTAGCACTTTTTCCTACTGTATTCAAATCTGCTATAGTGCTGTGCATGCATACCTTTCATACTCTGTAAAAAAGTGAGAGTGACTGACATTGTTCAATAATGATAAATAATTTCTAAAGGAGAATCCCAGGCAAATGGATTTAAAACCAGCCAGGGATGATCGCCCTTTGGGTACTCCATCACAGGTAAAGTCATGTGACAATCATGTGACCAGGTGGAGGAGGAGCCTGAGTGTGGGTGGGGCTTTTGTATTAGTGCATCATCACATCATGCTTGTGGTTAAGGAGCTAATTAACATGAAGTTAGCTTTGTTTAACCTTAATTTGTCCTGATAACAGAAACAGAAGGAGATTCTGGAGCATGAAAACGCTCATCGACCAGTAACTCCCCCTGGTGGCCTGGCTATAGGGGGATATGATGTATATCGCAATCAACTCAAAGCAGATAGAGTGCGTGAATATAGGGAGTCTTTGCTTAAGGTAAAGCAGCAGTGCCATTCTTCTTCTATGAGAGATTGGTCATTTAAGTACTGGACTTCATAGCTTATCTTTCTGACTGATTTCAATTGCCTACATTTTTTCTACGCAATCAGTTAATCTTTCATTGGTCTTCTTGAAATCATGCTAAGTTTTTTCCTCTTAAGTTTAATTCTTGAAGAATAAAATTGAAAGTGAATTAGACTTTATTTTTAAAATGAATAGCAACAAAATGAGCAATGGTTGCAAAGAGCAAAAGAATTTGAATTGGACACCTCCCCAAGCCATGAAGGGCACTTGGATTCTGAGCGCCCTCTAGTGGGCTCTCCGCGGAACGTAATCATAGATTATAAAAAACTTAAAGAAGAGCTAAAAGCAGAGCGTAAGAATGATTATAATCGACTTTTGGAACAGGTAATTTCAAATCTTAAAATTAGAGAGCTAGGTGTCCACGCATGATCATAGTTCTGTGTATGATATAAGAGCTTATAGAATCTTTACTCTAGTAGTGTAAATAAAAAATGATTAAGAACCAATTACTAATTAAGATACTGCCAGTATAGAATAGTCCTATATATCTCTCTACTTTATAGATATAGTGTACACTCTTAGTGACAATATATTCTTTTGTATGACAATGTAGCTTTAACCTGCTGTCTACAAATTACTCTTAGAATTACACCCAATAAATCAAGTTCACAATGTGTTTGTGTTTGTTAACTCTTATTTAAAGTTTGAAAATACACAGGTAAATTTAAGTTCATTAAATGCACACCAAACTTACTGCATAAGCGCATGCATTCCAATGGAAAGAATTTCAAATAAAACTCGGATCTGCAAGTATAGAATCATATACCAGTATATCACAGCTTTGTAAAATATATATGAAATAATAGAACAACTGTTCAGTTCAGTGTATACTTATCATATAGAATATAAAACAATGAAGGGTGACTGAAAAAATAATAATTAAAGGAACAGGTATCTAATATTAATGAACATTCTTTCTCGCCTCGCTCGTACTTTTAAGTAGGGATGTAAATTTTGACAATAATTCAAATTCGAATATTCAATGAAAGTATTCGAATATATTTGAATATTCGATAAAATAAATGAAATCTGGTTAATTTCAAATTTACATCATCAAACTCTCATGGCAGGTTTTGCGTCAGTATTTGGAAGTAAAATGGATGTAGACTTTTGGAGGTATACAATAAGAAATTCTACAATTGATATTTGTCAATGTTTAAAATAAATAATTGATTTAAGTATAAAACCAAAATATAATTTTAACAAATGATATGTATACAAATTGCAAGTTCAAACTGACGAACCAGTAATCTAACTAGGGGAAAGATTGTCATTTATTCTACAGTTTTAAATACATGTAATTAAGTACAATTATCTGATTAATAAGAGATCTAATATAATGTTTTGAAAATATAAACAAACACTTCCATAGACAATTGTCCTAGGTCATTAATTTTCCGATAATGATTTTAAAGTTTAGGAATATACTAAGTATTCAACCCGAGATAATCAAGTAATTGATGCATTATTCTAAAATTGAGCCCTTTACGGTATTACAGGCTGATTCTATCGAAGATGCATTTAAATGATCAATAAAATTTATTTTCATAAGTACACTCTTCACGTCTCTTAGACATTCAAGAAGGGTTTCATTTCGTTGTCCTCGATTCTAGATCCAATCATATTAAACTATTGAAAGTACCTTTTGTATTATATATTAAAAATGCTTGTTTATTTCTTTTATACCTTACTCAAAATGAAATAATTTAGAATATCTATAAGATAAGAAAGTAGTGAAAGAAATCTGGGGATCGCTAGTAAATAAAACGGGGATAATTCCAGCACTGTCCTAATTAAAATTTATTAATTTTTGTGAAATCTGAAAAACACCAAATATTAGAATCTTAAATTTATATTCGAATATCAACTCATCGAATGAATATTCGAATGTTCGAATATTCGTTGACATCCCTACTTTTAAGCATATTGTTTAAATTCATAAATTTTGGATAATCTATGAATTACTTGATTTAACAAAATGGTGTGAAAGACAATAAACAATAATTGAATATTGAGAAATAATTTTAAAATTATTCTTTAACTTTCTAAACCAAAAATATCACAAGACGGGTATTTTGGGGGGAGAGAGAATGTCTCTCCCTGAAGTCAAATGTTGGAGTCCCTGGGAGAATGAGCATTAGTATAAATGTGCAAATGCCAGAACAGAAAAAAGTTTGACCGCTCAACACAGTCCCTATAACTCGCACTGAATATTCACCCTTATGTATGCATGAATGATAATGGCAGTGAATAAACTTAGTAAATTCTGTACATGTATTGATAATGGAATTCACTAGTTACAATAATATAAGGACTTAGGAAAATATATGAAAATGATATGAATGATAATTATTAGTAATATTAATTAATTAACTTCACAACTGTATAATTTGCCATATGACATATATAATATGTTGACATGGGTATATTGTAAAATCATTTTGTATGCACGCCTAAGTAACTATACAGTTGCACTTGTGTGCACAGTTGAATTGTCCTATGTTAGCATGTAACATAGGTAATAACTTTTGTGCTTTCATTTACCATACTTTCTGAAAATATATAAATGTATTGTTTTCAGTGTGTGTCATTAAACTCACGTTTTGGATTGTTATATGTTTGTTTGCAGTGAAATAACACTTCTAATACTTGCACAATGTATTGATTTAGAAAGAGGTTAATGGTACCCCCCGTGCCCCTCCCACCCCACCTGTGGGCCTCAATATACCCACGGAAGCTGAGAGACACAGAATTGCTGAGCTCAAGAAGAAGCAATATCGAGAGGAGTTACTGAGGGTATACTCAGATCGTGCTTTATTCAGTATCAATCGAGTTTTGCTTAGTATTAGTTGAGTTTTACTCAATATCAGTTGAGCTTTACTCAGTATCAATCAAGTTTTACTCAGTATGAGTCATGCTTTTCTCAGTTTCAGTCCTGCCCTACTAAGAATCAGTCAATTACGCTTTACTTAGAATTAATTATATAAAAAAAAGACTTCTCCTAAATATAAAACAGAGGTTGAATGAAAATCAAAAATTGTCTTAGAAATATCTAAATTTAGCAGTGATTCCAAATTTTGCAACCTAAAAAGAGAAATAATATCTATCAAAGCAAAGAAAAATTAGTGTTTGAAATTTAATGTTGATATGCCATATAAAATGAAATGAGCAAGTTGACATGTTTAGCAGACAGGCAGTTTCTGTCTGTTTTCACCTAGGTTATTGTCTCTAAAATTGGAAATGTTGCCACTCTGAACTTTTGATTGGAATATGATACCCTAAACTTGTTAGGCAGCCTATAAGATAAGACACAATTTAATTTTTTACTTTATAGATAACATAAGATTGAAATCTTATTCAAACATGTCATGGAAATCTTCAAACTACTCTGATAATATATGAATTGCTTAGAACTACAATTATCTTTTTAAATTTGATTATCTGGAAACAGCTTGGATTGCAAAAAATAAATTTCTTAAACTTCCAGCAACAAAAAGAGCAAATTCTGAACCGAGCTCAACACCAACTGGAAATTCCGGTGATTGACCGTCGCCAGGCAATTTCTGACCCCCCACCTCCCCTTGATTTGTCCCAGGATCGCCCACCCTCAGGGAGATGGGACCCTGATTCTTACAGACAGCCCAATTTCGGTGCCGTAAAGGTATGCTGCCTTAATCCACTCCTTATCACACTGTAAGATCAACTTTTTTGGAAACAGCCCAGATTTTAGGAAATATGGTTTTTAAAGTTGAAAATTTTTTTCAGGGTTTCAGAATAGTTTCACTACCCAGTATTCCTTTCTGATTGTTTCAGCCCCAATAAATGTTGTAATTATTTATCAAAATTGAAAGTAAGGGGGTATTCACTTGATTTGTGCATGCTGGGTGAATGTTATAGCATCTTTGCACTTTAAATTGCATAAGTATGTGTGAACAAAGTGTAATTCCTTTTCAGACCTCACTGAAATATATATCAGTAATATTCCTCACATATTAAAATGGTCATAATTTTAATGAAATATCATATATGTATTTAAAGCAAATATTTATTTCTAAAACTTTGAGTCTGAATAAAATTGCATGTTTGATGAGATTGAAGTAACAAAATTAACTCTAAATTCAAGTGTTTTTCCAGAACTCTTGAGTAATTGTTCCTAAGCTATCATTTGCATAATAAATTGGAAGCCATTAATGGATATACTTTTAGACATCTAGATAGAATGTTTAATGGTACTCAGATAATCATTTTTTAAAACTACAGACATACTAGAGGTGGAATTTATATGTATTTGATTTATATTTCCAACACAATGTGAATGGGGCTGGGTTTTAGCTTTGATTTTATTTTCAAATGTAAAAATTATTAAGCCACCTATTATTAATAAAGCTTAAAGCTTAAAGGGTTTTTATCACGTCTCAAAATTTTTTGATATGAAAAAGTTTACATGCAATTAAAATCATATATTTAAAAATCTTCGCTAGAAAATTAATATTTTTGATGTTTCAGCAATTCAAAGTTTGAATTTCTCAATATGCATATTTTGATCGCCGATGTTACGCGCCATTGCTCTGACGTCATAGGTGTCAACCCTGGTCAAGCGAAGTACTTATTGTGTATACAAAAGGGCTCATTTCTTGTGTCTATTAAACCTGTTAGAAAATAATTAAGTGATAATTGGATAATTGACAGCTAGTAAGGTATAATTTGTGGCTTTACGATGCACAAATGTGCACAAGAAAGGTTTATTGAAGAATTTTTTTCCCCACATTTCCTGGACTTGGTCGAGAGATATTCTGCAAATGCAATGGCTTTTATCTCCAGTCAGAACAATCGTTTATGCCCAATCGATCACAATTTTTTTTCTGTCCTATAAAATATTTTAAGGAAATATACCTTTTAAAAAAAATAATAAATTACAAACACACATTTTTTAAAAGTCGCACAGAATCTAGTAGGAATGTTGTGAACTTCGTAATGGCGTACGGCGCCATTGAAGAAATGTCATAGTACATGATATTCACTGCTGGGACAGATAGAAGATATACAGAATTTATTTATATATAATTAATTAAAATAATAAAGAAGGAGAAATTAAAATTCCTATATTTATAAATGTTTACGAAGTTAAACTTTAGTAATTCGTTCTATTAAGTCGCAGTCCTGAGTTTTCAACGGCTTCGTCTTCGGTGGCCTCTCCAATTGTCAGCATAATTATTTTCTGATTATTTCTCTCTGCTAGACGTTCATACATAAAAGATTGACTGTCCATAACCAAAGGAATGTAGTCGATGACAAAATTTCAACCGGCCATATTGTGTATTCTGTTCATTTAGCGTAAAAATCTATTCAATATGTTTTTTCTTACGATAAGCTTTACGATGTTTATTGACCATTGACACCTATGATGTTTCAGTTCCACGTGACCCCTATCTAATTAGTAAATATTTTTACTTCGAGGACCCTATATTATGGGCCCAGGGGCAAAAATGGGACCACAGTCTCCCAAGAACTATAAATATTAATAAGCATATCCTTGTTATATAGACTCATTTTTTTCCAAATGCTACCCCTGGGGCTGCAACAGAGGAATGTAGGAATAGAAAAATTTAATATAAAGATGTCCATAAGAACATCAAAGTACAACATCAAAGTACAATTTTAAACAAGACATCAAGCTTTAGTGTAATATGTACATATACTCTGAATTACAATTGTTGAAATCATGGATTTATTGGAGGGGATCTACAGTAAGGGGTTCATTTATCTACTGTAACAATTGTCAGAATTGTGACTAAGGTGAGCATTGTGGCTGATGGGCCTAAATTGTACCATAATTGACACAAGAACACAATATTTTAGAAACAGGCATGAACATTGATGAGAAATGCATTATCTAACACCATTGCCATCCTCTTTTTCAACCTCTTCAACATGCACATTACCAGATCCCCAAGTAGATTTGGCAACCACTTCAGAATTTGCAACATGTATTTGTTTTAGGAATAGTCCCTAAGATGAAGTTTTATGATGAGCATGGAACAATTACCATCAGATAATGTTTTAGAGGCTTAAGGTTCACTGACCCTCCTTATAAGAGAGATAACTCTCAATGGGATAAATGACTTTTATTCCTTTAAAATTTGTCAAGTTTACTTGCCATTTCTGTCAAATATTGCCTTGCTAGATATGCTGAAATAATGCACATTTTAGTTACAAATTATATGTTTTTTTTTTTGGAGAATCATAAGCATTAAAGCAAAATTTTATATTAATGAGCAGAGGGGGGGTGAACCTTAAATGATTTAGACTGACTACAATTACCATGTACTGTGTACCATATCTGTGATAACAGTTGTTCAATAAAAACAAGTGTTTTTGTGATGTGATATTAAGAATGTGTGACATGTTAAATATAAAGCATGCCTACATTGAACTGCTGGAACAACATGTGTTTAGAAAAATTAATAATGGTTTGAAAACTGAATGGCTTTATATAACTACAGAGAGTAACATCCCCCCCACACCAAGCTAACATCGGCCATGATGATTACGGATCATACCGCAGACAGACTGAACATGAAGTCAGAAACAAGGAGTACAACGAATTCCTGGCCAAAGTATGTACTATTAGTTCTACTGTCATAAATATTTGTATGACCTACCAATAAGAATTAAGATACATTTCAGTTTAATGAAATACAAGGAATTACTAGCTAGAGATGTTATGAGAGATTTTGAAGAAAGGAAATAATAATTTTTAGTGAATCAATCTTTGACTTCTGTTGATCTTGATGCATGTGACCTCTATGTAAAACCAGAAATATTGATAACACAATTACTTCCTCATTACCTCTGAGGTTTATACTGATTTTTTTTTTCTAGAAACAAAATTTGGAGGATGAGAGGCGGCAAAAATTAGTGGAGCAGCGTCGACAGGCTCCGGCACCGATCATCAAGGGAGACTACTACAGCTCGGAACAGTACGACCACAAAAGGCAGGCACTGAGAGACCAGCAACACAGAGAGTATCAGAATTACCTCAAAAGCGTAAGTCTTAAAGGACTAACTCTTAATCCTTCCCTGTAAAACTGTAGAATTCATGTCCTATAGTTATAGCCAAGCTGTCCGAAGGTAAGTTTTGTGAACTTACAATCTAACTTACCCAAGTTAATGCTTGGTAATCCAAATTGTCCTAAAAGTGACTGTGTTACTGCATGTGAAATTAATCATAGTTGAAATTAAGATAGCATTAATATATGACTAAATACCCTGTAATTAACCTACAAGTGTGACATAAATGCTATCATTGAGAGCATTTTGCTTCCTATGCTGCTCTGCATGCTGCTTGCAGATTGACTAGAGATCTGCCTACAGCATGTAGTGTTTTAAAGTGCTGTGAGTTTGGGTGCATGCAGTCTAGTTTTGTTTGGTCTGTAGTGTTAGTAGCTGCATGTTAAGAGCTGTGTGTTGAGGTTAGGGCCACTAACTGCTGGGTGGACGTTAAACGATTTCTATATATAGCAGCCTGCCACACCTCCAGAGGCTTATGGGCTCCCGATAGGTCAACAGCATTATATACCCAAACAAAAATGGATGGAAAGACAGAGAAATATGGAATACAACCAGTTGTTGAAAAAGCAGGTATAAATTGTGTTCAACAGCTTTAGAAGTGTTATATTATACTCAAGAATTTCTTAGGCATATAACATGGTGTATTCAGGTGGATGATGCGGAACTCAAATAAAATAAACCAAATCAGATTTAAAAATTTAGAATAAAGGAATCTGAGAGAGAATTGAGTTTTAGAGACATTTATTGTATTCATTGTCATACATGTGGTAGGCATATGTTTATGTATTGTATACGAGAGTTTGTCATAAACCACTTCCGTGTTTCTGAAGGATGATCTGTTGAATCCAATGTGGAAGGGTAATATTACCAGCCTCCCTATGGTAGAAAGTGAGCTCAGGTACAATGAGTTTCGCAAAATGCAGGAAAAACAGAGAAATAGGGACTACAATTTTCATCTCAAGGTAGCCATATTTATTATGGTAACCATTTGTTGTGCCACACATGGTGGTAGGAAATAGGCATCATGGTTCTAGTTTGACATTTATTGGTGGTGAATCTCTTGGGCATCTTGATGTATGGTATAATTGGACATTGTTATCTCACATTTTGATATATATCTACAAAATAGAACACCATTAGAAATGTATTTTATAATTTTATTTAAGACTCATTCCAATAAAGAGGTCCATTACAGCAGTGTAAAAACAAGTAGTATATATATACTAGTGTAGTATTGGTGATGGTTGAGAATCTTGTATGGTATAGTGGTAGGCATGGTTTGTGGTAGCACCGGGCTTTAGAAATTCACTCCAGCTCTGTAGTGGGCACAAAGCACTAACTACATGCACAGTGTAAAAATATGGGATGGTTTAGAACAGATATGACCTTGACCTATTGACTGCAGTTTTCGGGGATAATTAAGTTTTGACTGTAGATATTTATATGTAATGTTACAGCATGAACAGCAAAGTAAGCGAGCCCCAACACCAGATTACCTACAGGGGTTACCCCTCAGTCAACGGCAATATGATAACATGCGTAAAATGCAGGAAAAACAACGAAATCAGGAATACAACCAACTGCTGGCAAAGGTATACCGGGGTGTGATGGCACGGTGACTTGACATCTTTTTTGTGGATTTTGATTGGCTATCTTAATCTTTCCTGGTTTTCATTTGTGGCACTTTGCACATGATCTTGAATGGGCACTGTCATTCTAGCTAATATCTTTACCTTCTTCACAGATATTTGAAATTAATTGTTTTTGCATTTCAATAATTTTTAATTCATTTCTTTGAAATTCATTACATAATTTTTGCAGATTTTTTTTTTCAAATTCAATCAATAAGTTCCCAAACCTTCTTTCTATATATATATATTTTTCAATCTTTAGATATGTGACATTATAAGTAAATTAAAATTGACCAGTCCAGCTGGAGGTCTGACAAGTGTACTAGACAATTACAAATGTGGTCAAGGGCTTTTTAATGCTTCGTAGAATCTGCTGTATAATTAGAAAAGCTTTTCCTAAATGTTTGTTATGAAGTGATTTGCCTTGTGTTTTTATATAGAATATAAATAAATACGAAGAACTGTTTATAATAAATATATATAAAATTTGTATGGAATTTCAACGTATATTTCACCAAGATACAGAAATAACAGAGATTTTAAGAGCTGAAATATATGACAAGTCCCAGCATTATTCTAAAAATCACTCATCATTGGTTGTGTAGCTGGTGAAATCTCCGAAGGCTGACCATGGATCACCAGTGTTGCTATTTTATATTTCTCCTTCATTATTGAATTTAATCATTTAAAGAAATTCATGAAACCATAACATTCTGAATAATTTGTTAAAATGAATAAAAAAAAGTTCTACTTTGTCATCCTTGATAATTTTAAAGATTTGCGATTTTAAATGGTGTGAGTTTTGAAAAAAAAAACTATATAACCAATAGGGCACACGAGAAATCTCAAGATTTCAAACAGTTGTGAATCTCTGTTATATTTATGTCTCTTGCTTAATATTGGATTTCTTCGATGAGGAAAACAGGAAAACTTATTCTAATTATCTTCTTGATTTATAAAATAACATTTCCAATAATTTATTTCAATATTCTGATAAATACTTCAATGAGTTTTTAATATTTTTTTTTTTTTGCATTGACCAACAATTTGTAAGATTTTATACAACATTTACCACACTCCTAAAATATATATATACTGATAAAAAGAAATCAATTTTCCATGTGCAGTTTTTTTTGAAAGATCACAATTATAGAATTATATCAATAATATAATTAATGTTTAATTAAGTATGCAGTTACAATAGAATTGACCATTATATATTTAAATAATCAACTTTCTAATCCAGTTTCTGTTTTGAGAAATCAGACTGTGGTAAATGGTAGTATATCTGTTTGTATCTGTCTTTTGTTTAATCTAACTTTTCACTAATTCAGAACTAATCAATAATGTATATTTGAACAGATTTAACGTATGTATCTATACTTAATGCATTCACTGTATGCACACAAGGGTGTAGGTGCTAAGTCACCAAAAAAGGGGTGTATAAATATTACACAACTAATGAACAGCATGCTTGAACAGAAACTGAAACCAATATATGTATAAAATTCAACAGTTCATTTCCAACACTATCAGAGAAAGAATACTTCAAGTTTCATCAATTTAAGGAAACATAATCTACAGTACCATACAGGGTTATTTTCGCCCCATGTTATTTTTGAACTTCCACCCTTGCAAACAATTTTGCCCGTTTCATTTTTTTTTTTTAAATTTGCCCAGACACTGTTGTGGTTAAGAGATAATGCTGCCTTTCTTGAATTTGCCTTGTTTTAAATTCGCCCACTTGTAACAAGGGCAAAAGGGACGAAAATAAAATGGGGGCAAAATTTTCCCTGTAAACAGTATAAGCACTACTGTACAGGTCTATTTTCACTGAAGATTTAATTTTATGATGCCTTAAATTCATTTTAGGAAAAAGACCACGAGTCTAGGAAAAGTAAAACTTCAGTAATAAATACTTGAATATACTGCTAATTAGCAAAACCTATTATTGTCTGAAAAATAGGAACATAGCCTCATGCTTGTCATATGACTGTAACGGTTGCTTTCATAATTTTGATTAAGGGTTAATATCAAATTAGGAATAATTCAGTCTCTAAATCTATATAAAAAAGAGATATATTTGTACTGAAATTAAAATTATTTCAAACAAATCAAGCAGAAGGAATGTTTTTTTTCTGATTTTTTTAGAAAGGTTTTGATAGACACCAACCTCCGGAGACAAATCGGCGACCAGAGCTAGGGATGAGAAGCGAGTTCCAGGACCAGGTTAGTACAGTGTTGTTAACCATAGAAACAATTCCTCATGTAAATGGAACATATAAATACATGTACAATACATACACATGAATAGAAATTTCCATCCCACTTACCCTCTTCACCACTAGAGTTCTTTGTCATTTAAATCTGCTGCAAAAGATGATCTGCTTGCTGCTTCAGACTGGTTTGGAGGAAATTTAGCCTTTTAGTACATGTAAAACTTAATAAGATTGATTTAAATGAAAAAAAATCTTTCATTGCTTTCATTTCTAAAAAATAATTTAATTGCATTCAACTGTATTTAATCATAAATTTCATTCATCTACAATGAAGATTTTTCTCTCACCATTATAACTTTCCAAAGTTCTTTTGTGCTTTTGTCTTTGTAAATAAATAATTAGGCAGATAAGTAGGATTTGATAGAGAAGGAACAAACATTGAGTTTTATTCACTCTCTGCTTCCTTTAAATAGTTCCAAGACCCTCTGGCTAACAGGAGCACACACTCCTCTGAGATGGAACAATATATGAGTCGCGTTGACAATCAGGCCCGATTTAATCTGAATTCACATATACAGGTATTATTTCCTCTGTGCCATCCAACATGTCTTGCAGAGTTCCTGACATAAAATGATCCCAGACTAGGACATACATATATAAACTCTAACTAATTGAGATTCTCTGGTAGAAGTTTGTCTATCGTCCATCTGTCTGTCATCTTGTCATATCTTGGAATACAGAGCAAATTTCGAATGTATTTACCACAAAGCATACTTTAGTGAAGAAGTAACACAAGAGTTGCCTTCCAAAGGGAGATGATTATTTTAGAAAGATCATTCAAAATTCTTTTATAGAACCATTACATGAGAAAACACAAAATTTAATATGTATAAAAAAAAACTTCATTTTGATATAACATATCAGATTTCATGGTCCCAGTGCCACAAAAGAGAGTTCATATAGCAATAAATTTATATTTCCTTTGAGCAGCACATGTATGGATGTAATTTTTGTTTTACTTTTAAACCTACAATCACTTACCTCTCAGATCAAGACAGGGACACTAGTGGGTTAAAGTTAAATAATTTAATTCTGGTTGTAACGCCGTATTTGATTGGTTAAAAAAATAACTTTATATCGTATAAATTGGGTTGCCTACGTCACAATGACTTGCGTCAAAAACGTATCGATCTGCCTGACGTTACATTCAATTTTGTACAAATTGAAGTCATTTTCAAGGGCAGTCATCTTTTTTTCTTACACTAAATGAATGAAAATTAAATTATAAGGAATGAAATTAACAGCTACCCAATTTATACAGTATAAACTGGGAACAGTTTACGCTTTTTTATTAACCGCTTCGCGGTTTATAAAGCGTAAACTGTCCCAACCCAGTTTATACCGTATAAAATGAGTAGCTATCAAATTCATTCCTTAATTAAAAATACCGTAAATCTGGAAATTTTTACGTCGATTTATTTTTGCGAAACTGGGTCAAAAGTCTGTTGATTAATTTTTACGTTTGAAATTTTTGCGAATCATCATTTGAACTAATATATAAAAAGCTCTTAAAATGTTCTTAAACGTTTTAAATAATGTATGTACATACAATAAATTACGAATAAACATACAATATTAAACTACGCCAATGTTCAATAATAAGATAAAAAAGTTTGAAAGTGTTGAAAGTTTTCATAGCATTTTCACAAATCACACATGTACATAAAATATATATAGCAATGTAATCTTAAAGTAATCTTTATATAAAAACATTTTTTGTTGTTGATTTATTTTTAAGAAAAATATTTTTGCGAATGCAATGCATGCGCAAATTTGCTAAAAATTTATCTACAGCAAAAATTTCCAGATTTACGGTATAGACTTCCTAAAGAACATTAACACAGTGTCAAGAAATGCAGTCTTCGTCAGCATGGACTTTGTTTTAAGCCATGTAAAAAGAATCTCATTAATACAGTTGCACCTCATTAGTCCAGACACTTGTGTTATCGAGCAAATCCTCTATATTAATGAAGTTTCCAGATTACTAAAACAGATTTGGTATATATAGGATCTCCCATGGTTTGTGGTTAGATTTTGATCCAATGAGATATGTGTTTTCTTCCTTGACATAGGGATAGGAATCACAGGAGTTGGATAAAAATCATATCCAACCACAAACCAATGGGAGATTGTTTTATCACATGTTTTACAGGAAGCTTTGACAGGTTTTACACTATTTTTAATTAATCCACTTCATTTGACTTCATGGCTTTTATACAAAAACATTGTGACATCACAACTGTTGATATAAAAACAATATATCACATGTATAAAGGAGTAAGCATGTCTTAAAATATAAAAATAAAATGTTCCTCACAAACTTTGGGCAAAAGGTGAATCATCCAGATTATTGGTGTCCGGGATAATGAGGCTTCACTGTACATACTGATTTAAAAGGGAGAGCAATGTGACTCAGGTGAACATTTTCCATCATTTCTTCCTTAAATACCCCCTCCCATGTTTAGAGGCTCTGCAATGTGTTGAGATAGTCTGGGTTTACTGGGTTTTGAACTCTCCTTGTCTATGTTTTATAAGAGTTTTTTTTAGATCACCTGAATTTGTTGGTTTTATAGATTTGGTTGTCAAGCACATTTTTATTTCTTCCAAGTTCTTTGAATTTTTTTTCGTTGGTTCAGTTTCAGTTTTTAAATTTTGGTATATACATTCGTATTTATTCATTTGAAACTTGATTAATTACATCTAGAATCAGATTTGCAGCTTTGTTATAAATATTTCCAAAACAATATTTATTACATTTGATTGAAAGTAAGTTAATTTTTATCAGTAATTTTATTGATTAAATATAACTATCATTTAAAGAATATGCTAAAGTTCAAGACATTGTTTATGGGAATTGATTAGCTTAATTTACACTGTATGAAATGTTTCACAGCTTAGTTTTGAATAAGATAAGTGCATTATTCACATTGTGGAGGGTTTCAATGCTTCTGTAATCTGGAGATTCACTGTGGGATTTTTTCGCACCTTGAAAAATGATCCACTGGTGCTAGACCAGATTCCTTGAACCTGTATTCCTTGACCTTGATCTGTATTTGTTGGTTGTTGTATGGTGGTTTTGTTGGTTGTTGTATGATGGTTGATGTAGATGGTAGCTTGCTTATATGGGGCTTGGGTTCATTTTCTGTTGGTCTCTAAATGTGAACTTTACGGTAGATTGCCCCTCAGGCTGTGTCCAGTGATTATGCTCGGACCCACAGTGGCAAGCTCCAATCTTACGGATTGATGACAGAAACACATGATCAGGTGAGATGACCTTGGCCCAAATTCATTGTCATCTTGATTCGTAGGTAATTTTTGAACAAGTTTTACATATTGTTGTATGATTGTATAGTTTAGAAGCCCAACTATTAAAAGACAAGAAATGTTGGATCAGGTAACACTGCAATTTTTTTCATTCTCACCTTGGTAATCGGGTAATTGTTTGCAGTATGTGTGATTTGCATTGAAGACAAGTGGCAGTTGTGAGGTTAGCTTGTTGTTGTCATTTTTCCAGGCATATCTTCCCCAGTTTATATTTATTTCACCTCCTTACCAAGTAATGAGTGGTTTGAGTTGGACTGTATATTTTTACCATTGGCAAATGAACCTTGGTATGAGGCACATTTTTATTTTGCAGAAATAGAGGGCCTTGAAACTGTTGGTACATTTTTTTTGTATCTAAAAAGTTTTGTTAATAATTAGCAAAGATATTGTTTTAAACCCCTTTGATCTTTGCTTGTACTGCATTTAGATTCAGACACAATAACTTATGGTTAATGAGGGTTTTGATGGAAATCTGTTGTTTTTAGTGCTGAATATTTGTGTACTGTGAGGTTTTGTTAATGCAGAAGTATCAAGATTTGCTTTGTAGCCAATGAAGACAAAGTGAATAATATACATCATAGACTATAGATCCAGACGTTGATTTTTTTTTTTCTAGCTGATGTTTATTAAAATTTAGAGAATTTTGCACATGCAACAATTATGAGAAGTCTGTATCCCAGTGTTCCAAAAAATGAAAAGCTCTTTCACCAGCATCATAGAGTGCCCACAATGTATTTACATGTATATCATTTCTCTACAAAACACTTTTATCCATTATGATTTGGGAATTTTTTTTTTGATTCTGAGCAATTCCTGACCCTGCCAGCAATGGAAGAGTTCTCAAATCTAACTCTGTGTTGTTTCTTAGTGTTTTCTTTACAATTGTGTGTTGTTTCCTAGTGGTCTACTGTGTGTATTATTGTGAATGGGTTTCTCCCTGACAGGAGCCAGCAGGCAGACAGTCCCAGAGGAATGTACCCCTGGGGTCCCTAATCACGGGAGACAGGGTGGACTACCCCAGCAGTGCTAATGTGAAATTTAACAATGAACGTCGCAGGGAGTACAATGAATACATTAAGGTATCATTATTGCTGTTGTAGACTAACCATCCACTAATACTGATTGTTCCAGTCTAACCCTTGACCTCCAGAATATGACATATGACCTCAAGTCACTTGAATGGTTTTTCTTTGTCATAGCTCACAGTAACATTTGTAGGTAAAATGTAATCCTCTTTCTCTGTGATTAATTATATGAATTTTTATTTTTCCTCAAGTATATTGTTTCTTTTGACTTTATTAGTTTGAACAATCAAAACTTTTACATGTTTAATCTAGCTATGAATCCCATCCCCATATATATATATATATATACCGTAAGTTTTGGAAGATAGGACGATACTTTTTTTCTCAGAACCGCTGGGATCGTCCTATTTAACGAATCGACCTATCTAAGGCCCAAGTTTACGAAAAATGCCCCAAAATCAGTAAAATTTACATCAATTTTAAAGCAAATCTGTGCCATTTTCGTATTTTTTTAAAATTACTTTACCGAGAAAAAAATAATAAACAATAAAGAATTAAATATTTATTCCATTGATTTCTTACAAAATAAGTTCCATTAAATATCCGTCGATGTACAAAAAAACTTATTATATCATCAATAATGTCTCAAAGTATATTTACAACATGCTGTGTCCATCTTGTGAAGTTGGAAGTCGCAATCGTTTACTAAAAATAAAACCGCAACCGTATCAAAGTTTAAAATACGGAGGAGTTTTCACAATCGCAATTGAATTTTTTTTTATTACCATTTATTTGTAATGATTAATTGAAATAGTATACCTAAATATTTTTTCATTGTCTTGTGATATTTATTTAAATGTAAAATGTGTGAAATAAACTGTTGCCGGTAAATTCCTAAAATACCGCTAGTCATAACTATTTTGTTTTATATCCAAGGGGTACACCGAATTATACAAAGATTGGCTTCTAATAGAATTTTAATTGTCTGACAGATAGAGGGATATACACTGTGTACACAAAGGTGTTAACACCTGTAGGTTTAAACACCTGCGGGGCATGATTAACAGATCCACGTGCCGTTACAGGGGTATTAGTGCTATACATCATTGAACAAACAAAACTGTGAAATTCCTGATGACTGTTAAATTGCGAATGTACTCTCAATTAAATTTATTTTTTAGCAACAATATCTCAAGCAAATTATAGCATGTTAATATGATTAATTTCAATTGCTCACTGTTACATGTAATAGTCATTTGCGTGTTTTAGCAAATCCCTGAACAAGAAATATAAAAATGGCGGTCATCGCACTTAATATTGTACCCCGGTAAATAATGTTGGAATAAAAGAATGTGTCCACGATGTTCTAAAATGGAAATGATTATTGTTTGATTTCGGGTATTTCCCTAATTATAGCTGTTGTATACTACCGTATTTATGTGTTTAACGACGGAGTCAAACAACGACGGCGTTGAACAGGCAAGTTGGAGAAAATGCGTTATATCACAATTCAAGGAAGTTTTAACTATGTTTGTGTAAAACACTATTAAAATGCTGTACTCATAAAAATACCAGTTTATTTTCTTCATACGTTAATATCACGGGTTAAGTTACAGACCTTTACATGTTCTGATACGTAGTTTCTACGTAAGAATCTCTAGAAAGTCGATAAACAAAGCCTCGTCCTATCTTCCAAATCGTCCTATCTAAGGATTTTTAAAAAATCATGGCTGAAAATGAGCCTTTCGACCTATATACCCCATCGACATATACCCCAAAACTTACGGTATATATATATATATATATATATATATATATATATATATATATATATATATATATATATATATATATATATATACAAAATACATTTAGTTAGATCTATGGTAGAATGCTAGTTGGAGTTTGAATAAGGTTTACTTTCAGAATTATTATCATGGCAAAATGATAGGTTCTGTACATGCATGCATCTGGTTGGTAAAATAAAATGGTATCTTTCATATAACAAGTCACACATTATTCTTAGCCCCAAGATCTTAAGAACATCCACAGAAAGAGAGAGGAGGCAATATCTAAGATTGAATCTGAAGGCATAGACTTGGACAAAGTCCGAATCTTCCCTCAGGGAGAATATCAAGACAAACACAAACAATTACAGGAAGAATGGAGAAAAAACTTCCGCGATTTCGCTGCTAAGGTTGGTCACATGAGTTACCGTAGTAACCATTCCCATAGATTTAAGAGAGTTGTAATCTGAATATTCATTAATGAAATGTCCCCCTAAATAACCAAAGTAACACTGATCACTTAATACTGAACAGAAGCATGAAATAGTAAAGAAAGAGCTAGAGGAACGTGAGCAGGAACTAGCAAAATATTACCGTAAGGAGATAGATAACCCTCACATCCTGCCTGTCGGGGAATACAAGGACAAACAGAAACTTTTCCAGCAGCAGTGGCGAGAGGAATGTCGGGACTATTACTCAGGGGTAATACTACGTGGTCTTACTTATCCGACAGAGATTCAGGGCTCATACTAACACTGGCATGTAGTGAGGTGTTTGTCTAATAATAGAAAACATCCTCACGTGTTGATGATACCAGCTTATTTAACTTTCGTGAAAATGTTTTGCTTTGCATGCTTCAACAGGTGTGCATGATCATGCTACACAATATTATAATGGAAATTTTCCTATGGTTGATGTAGAAAACAGTCATCAAATGACTGCCTGGAAATTCATGTGGAATTAACAGAATCTGCGAGGCATTTAACAAGTGGCTTGGTTTGCAGTGGTGCATGTACCAATATAACAGAATGAGAGAAAGTGAGTTAACATGAGGTTGAGCTGTTGTGTATTGAGAATGGTGTAAAGACATGGATAGAATGTTACCTTGTCTTTGTGCAGCACCCTGTGGTTCAGAAGTCAAAAGAGATTTGGAAGGAGGATGAACCTGTTCACACCATACCACAGTCCGGAGAATACAAAGGTCGCAGAGAAAGGCTGAATAATGCACTACGAGAGGAGTTCAAAGAATATCTGAGCCAGGTACTCTCCTCCAATCAAAACTCTTACATCTGCTGATGCCATATCAACTGCCCAATCTTAATCAAACTGAGGCCATGTGACATCCATGGTAACCTAATCTCATTAATTTCATTTCAGGCCTGGTTTAAATGTCCCTTGCAATGGTATAATTAACTGATTGCAATATGCATGTCACTCTTTTGCATTTTATTTCAGCAATGATATTCCTTTTAGCACCAATTCTGATCAGATTGCATGGTTCTTCACTTTCTTACTGGGTTGTCTTCTCCTGTTTAACTGATCCATTTTGACTTTCTGTATTTTGTGAATGCTTCTACACAGATCTTTTTTCTGGTCGTCACATTTTCATTTTTGTTTATTATAAGTATGCCAGACTCTTATCACCAAATAATGATCATGTTTTTTGCTAGAAAACTTTATTTAATAAACAAAAGGCTCTGCAATGTCTAATTCTTCAATTCTGAAATTTGAATAAGATTTAAATAAAATTTTATTCAAGATTAAAAAAAGGGGGGGGGGGGTTCATTATCACAAGGAACACGTAAAAGAATAGGGAAACATCAACTCATAGACAACATTGAAAAAAAAGTGGTTACATATATTTCAAAAAAATCCTCAATTGAAATTTTGGCCACATTATCATCCATGCCTTTGACCTTATTAACCAGAAAACTCCCCCTAAAGAGCGGCTTAAAGTGTTTGGGCAGCAAGGGGCCGTCTTGTTTGATCCACTGTATAATAAGGACACCAAGAATCGAGTTCGAGAGGAGAGGTCCAAAGATTTCCAGGACTTCCTGGAGGTAACATAAGACACTGCGTAAGATTGGCTGGATGGTGGCGGGATCCCCTTTTACAACCAATCATATTTCATGCTTCATGTAATAAAAATGCCTTTTACTCTGTCTATTCCTTAGCTTTTATATAGTTATTTATTCATTGCATAGCATTTTATCATAATTAGTGTGTTGGGATTCATAATAAATATAGAGATATATATTTCAATGGTTTGTTGATTTTTCTGTTTTTCCCTTTTTAGGTCACCTGAGTCACTCAGGTGACCTATTGCTATCCGTTCTCGTCCGTCGGCGTGCGTCGTGCGTCGTGCGGTGTGCGTCGTGTGTTAACATTTGAACATTTTTAGCTTCTTCTCTGAAACCGCTTAACCAATTTCAACCAAATTTGGCATATAGCACCTATGGGTGAAGGGGAACAAAAATTGTGAATTCCATGGTCCCTGCCCCCCTGGGGCCTGAGGGGTGGGGCTAAAACCACCAAAAATAATGCAATCTTTAAAAATCTTCTTCTTTACTCCTGGACATCAAGCAGTCAAACTGTTGGCATCATTGTAATAAGCATTGAGTCCTCTACCAAAATTGTGAAATTCATGGCCCCAGGGTCAGGGGTTCTGGTGCTAGGGTGGGGCTATATAGATCATATAGGGAAAGTGCATTATTTCTTTGAAAATCTTCTTCTCTGCTCCTGGGTATTAAATAAAGTAACTAAGTACATAGTTATGAAGAACAAGAGTGCCTCTTTCAAAATTGTGAAATTCATGGCCCCAGGATCAGGGGTTCTGGTGTTAGGGCGGGGCTCTATTGATTATATAGAGAAAATGCATTAATTCTTTGAAAATCTTCTTCTCTGCTCCTGGGTATTAAATAAATTTACTAAGTATATAGTTATGATGAGCAAGAGTGCCTCTTTCAAAATTGTGAATTTCATGGCCCCTGGGTCAGGGGTTCTGGTGTTAGGGCAGGGCTTTATTGATTATATACATTAGTTAAAATGCATTAATTCTTTGAAAATCTTCTTCTCTGCTCCTGGGTATTAAATAAAGTAACTTAGTACATATTTATGATGAGCAAGAGTGCCTCTTCCAAAATTGTGAATTTCATGGCCCCAGGGTCAGGGGTTCTGGTGTTAGGGCAGGGCTTTATTGATTATATACATTAGTTAAAATGCATTAATTCTTTGAAAATCTTCTTATCTGCTCCTGGGTATTAAATGAACTAATTTAGTACATAGTTATGATGAGCAAGAGTGCCTCTTCCAAAATTGTGAATTTCATGGCCCCAGGGTCAGGGGTTCTGGTGTTAGGGCGGGTCTCTATTGATTATATTGTTAAAATGCATTAATTCTTTGAAAATCTTCTTATCTGCTCCTGGTTATTAAATGAACTAATTTAGTACTTAGTTATGATGAGCAAGAGTGCCTCTTCCAAAATTGTGAATTTCATGGCCCCAGGGTCAGGGGTTCTGGTGTTAGGGCGGGGCTCTATTGATTATATAGTGAAGATGCATTAATTCTTTGAAAATCTTCTTATCTGCTCCTGGATATTAAATGAACTAAGTTAGTACATATTTATGATGAGCAAGAGTGCCTCTTCTGAAATTATGAATTTCATGGCCCCAGGGTCAGGGATTCTGGTGTTAGGGTGGGGCTCTATTGATTATATAGTGAAAAGGCATTAATTCTTTGAAAATCTTCTTCTCTGCTCCTGGGTATTAGATAAACTAACTTAGTATATAGTTATGATGAGCTAGAGTGCCTCTTTCAAAATTTTGAATTTCATGGCCCCAGGATCAGGGGTTCTGGTGTTAGGGCAGGGCTCTATTGATTATATAGTAGAATTGCAATAATTTTCTCTGCTCCTGGGTATTAAGTGCATAGTTATGAAGAATAAGAGTGCCTCTTTCAAAATTGTGAATTTCATGGCCCCAGGGTCAGAGGTTCTGGTGTTAGGGTGGGGCTCTATTGATTATATAGTTAAAATGCATTAATTCTTTGAAAATCTTCTCTGCTCCTGGGCATTAAATAAAGTCACTTAGTACATAGTTATGATGAGCAAGAGTGCCTCTTCCAAAATTTTGAATTTCATGGCCCTTGGGTCAGGGGTTCTGGTGTTAGGGCAGGGCTCTATTGATTATATAGTAGAATTGCATTAATTCTTTGAAAATCTTTTTCTCTGCTCCTGGGTATTAAATAAACTAACTAAGAACATAGTTATGGTGAGCATGACTGCCTTTTCAGAAATTGTTTCATGGCCCTTGGGTCAGGGGTTCTGGTGTTAGGGATGGGCTCCATTGATTATATAGTAAAATTGCATTAATTCTTTGAAAATCTTCTCTGCTCCTGGATATTAAATAAACTAAGTACATAGTTATGATGAGCATGGCTGCCTCAGAAATTATGAATTTAATGGCCTCTGGGTAAGGGGTTCTGGTGTTAGGGCGGGGCTTTATTGATTAGATAGGGAATTGGCATGAATTCTTTCAAAATCTTGTGTGCGCCTGGGTATTTTTCAAACAAAGGAAGTGCATGGTTATGATAAGGAAGAATGCCTCATGGCCTTTGGGTCAGGGGTTCTGGTGAGGGGGAAAGAGCTCTATTGATTATATATAGTGAAAATGCATAATTTCTTTCAAAATATTTTTTCTACTACTGGTTATAAAGTAAAGAAACAAGTGTATAGTTATAATGAGAAAGGGTGCTTCTTCCAGAATTGTGAGTTCGTGGCCAATGGGTCAGATGTTCTGGGTAAGGATGGGGCTTTATTTATTTAATTTTATGGTGAAAATGCATTTCTTTGAAAATCATCTATGCTTCTGGGGATGTTCAAGGCAAACAGAGTAAAAGTTTTAATATGCAAGGGTATTTTTACCAGATTTTTGAACACCTGGACCATTTAGTCAAGAGTTCTAGTCCTGGCCAGGGCTCTATTAACTTGTATTCTGCTGAGCAAAGTTATTCCCCTTTGCCATTCACCTTTGATAATTAATCAATGTAAATAATGTATTTGAAAGCTTAATAGAATAAGAGAATTATGCAAGATAATTTATTGTATAATGAAAATGTACTTTCATAGATTTAATGACTTGGAAAGTCAGATAGGCAGATAGATACTAGACCAATTATTTTGTTGATGCTAATCATACTATTTTTCTTGCTTTTGGGCAACAAAGCTTCATTTTTCAGTTTATGGATCCTCTAAATTGTTGTATTGTACTCAGGTGACCGTTAAGGCCCTTGGGCCTCTTGTTTGTAACAAGATTCAGCATTTCTTATATGTAATAAATGTCTATGGTATGTGAAATATTGTGTCACATGTCATTTCTGTACAGATTTGATTACTACTAGCTTATATTAAACTTCATGTAAAATTGTGTTTATTGTGGAATGGTTAAATGATTTATATCATAATTTAACCTTCAAATGATATTTTTCATGTAAACTCCTTAAAACATTTGCTAGCATGCTCAAAGAGCCTGAATGATATATTTTACCAATAAAAGTATGTTTGCATGTTCTTATTATCCTAAAACTTGTAGCAATAAATACAACTTATTTGCACATGCATGTTACAGTATCTAAAAAGTAGTGCATTATTTATTATTAAGGCCTGAATTAAAATGTTTCAAATCTTTAAAACTTAGCATTTTCGTTTATTGTTAGGAATGCTGTATTGAAATAAATTTTTTTTTTTCTGTCTTAAAGTTAAACTATCAGAATAGGAGTATATTTTTAAAAATTTTTATCAAAATTTGAATAAGTTAATTTCTTAAAAACAATGATAAACGGATTTACTGGTATGTAATCAAGGAAAATTTAAATGTGAGCCTAATATCAAAGTGTTAATTGGTGTACGCTTTTGTACAGTATATATTATCAATCTAATTCCACCATGATCATTTATTACCAGAAACAAGAGGCAGAACGATACAGGAAGCAGGACAACACGCGATCGGAGAATCGCATCGGTTTCATGTCACAGCTGGGTAAACCTGTGGAGGAGATCAGAGAGAGGCTCGCTAAGGAGAGGCATGAGGATTACAATAAGTATCTACAAAGTGTGAGTACAGGCTCTCTGTCTAGGACTTCCCATCCCCCAACACACCACTCCAACCTTAAAATAGACAAGTACTCCCTGTCTGTCCACAAGTATCTAACACTCCACAACCCCACACCCCCATCCCTCCCCAATAAAAAGAACATGTACCAGGTCTTGTCTATTTGTTATCCCCCCTCACATGAAATAAGGGTGTTTTTTTTCCCATGGATGCATCACTGCATCAAGCGCAGTTGTGATCGATGTCTAGAATGCATACTTTGTTGCAAGACCTTGACACATCCTCTGATTTTGTGCCAAATATGAGCTTCAAATATTTCTTAATTCCAGGGCTAATATGGATCAGACAAGAATTTTTACACTTCCAATTCCTATGACATTGAACTTGTTCAGGTGACTTTGGTCACAGTCATGACAGACCCTATTGGTCATTTAGCTACCTAGAATTGTCCTGTGTACCAATCTGAATACTGACAGAGTACTGTAACAATTCAAAGATTTTTATGATTGAATTGGTAAAATTCACGATTGTCTGCATACATCACAGTAAATATATATCATCTGTCCCTTAGAAAAAAATTTAGACCCAACTGCCTAAATATCAATGAAGAAATGAAAAATCCTCTGTCTGGAGATCAAATGAAGTACATCTGTCATACTTGTGTCCAGGTAGACCTAGCCCCCCCCCCCCCCCTCCCCTCCTCCCCAGCCTATTCCAGTACACCGTAGTAGTAATGCAACAAGTAGTAATTAATTCATAGAGAAATGATTAACTAACACTGGACTGGATATGTGCTATGGTGAAGGTAAGCAATCTAGATAGATATAGTTACAGTTAATTGGGTACAGGTTAGACAGCAATCACGGTAAAGTTTTTTTGACATCATTAACAAGTCTAAATATTTAACTGTTTATAGTGTGTATATATATTAATGTAGATTAGTATAATTATATGTTTGCATAAACAAAGAAGGTATCAGAGACAATTTGTAGTGTTTTACATAATATCCAATACAAGGGAGTGATGGTGCTGTTCTACTGAATTCCAGCTAGGGTTGTATTGATACATAAGTACATGTACTATAGTAACTTGATTAAAGGGGTTTAATCATGTCACATTGACATTGTGAAAGTGGTACATCATTACCTGTCCAAAGATATGTGATTCAAGTCTTCATTTAAATTAATGTTACACATGTAATGTTGTGTATACCCTATTTTTTTAATTGACGAATAGAAGATAAGTAAAATGAATTTATTTGAACTTCAAAAACATTGAAATTATGTGTCAGTTACTAGAATTTTTCTTGTAGTGCAAATAAATATACAATGTATATGTCAGCATTTTAAATTTTAATATATTGTGATGCAGTAGTATCATTACTTAGATGTTAATGATAAAAACACATTTTATCTGTTCCACTTGCATTAAATGGATTTAAATATCATTAACTCCACCCTGAAATGTAAATTGTGGATATCAGAGAAACCGTATATGACATAGATATTTTGGAGAACATGCATAAATGAAAAACCACAAGTAAGAGTTATTGCCCTCGTCATCATTTTTAAATTACAGGAAATTCTAACTTTTACTGTATTCGTTATTGTAACAATTCGGAAACGTTTCTAAAATATACTTTTATAATGCAAGAAGTTTAATTAATGAAAGATTACACAAAGATAAGGGTGAAGCCACCTTAAGGACAGGCTGACCTAGATCATTATTTTACACTCCATATATTTTTAATAGGTTGTGCATAGATAAACTCACAAGAATGGAAAGAATCTGCATTTTTGTCCTGAAAAAAATTCTCCTAGAAAAAAATTAAATTTTAATGCCACTAAAACATCATGATGTTTTGCTAAATACTGAATTATTGCATTACGTATCTTTTTTATTTCTGAAATATAGATCTGAAACACCAACTTACATTTCTTATTTGAGAAACTCTCCAAATTTTGATCCATGTAAAAACCTTTAAAAGGATTATATGGCATTATACATGTACTTTCACTTGGTCTATATACAGAGATATTGATATTTTAATTGAAGATTGCATTTGTCAAATATTTTTTTGCTTTTCCTTGCTAGAACTACTGTCTCCAAAAGAAAAAAAACAGTTGTATTGTACTTTTGATCTAGTTTTGTTTAGTACCCTAGTAGATACAGCACCTTTTCAACTCCCTGGTGTTTGGGAACACTGTATTCATTAAGGTTGTAATGGTAATAGATACATGTATGGGAAGTTTGAGGTTTAACAGCTTGTATGTGTTGTTTGCATGCTTCTTGCAGAAATATAACTCACAGTCACAGCAGCGCCCCCTGGAACGACCCAAGTGGGTGGATCCCAAAATTATGGAAGTAGGTCAAGCCTATTTCATTTATCAGATTACAGAATCTTTGCTTATTTTGAAAAATATGTCATAGTACATGTATATCTGAGTCAAGTGTAAAAGACTCAGAATTATGTTGACCTTTGCTCTTGACCTTTTCAAATATAAGGTCAGCATCCACAACCAGATTTGATACACTAAGATGAGTCATAACAGAAATTAAAATTATATTAGATCTTTCAGTTTCAAGTAAACAGTTGATTGTATTTACTTTTAAAATGCTGTGTACTATTTTTAGGATAATTGGCAGAAGGAAGCTGGAGGATCAAGGTCAGCATTTAAGTTCCATCTTAATGGCTACGTATCTAAATTTGTGTGAACTTTTCTATTTCCTTTTCTTTTACCTCTCTTTATAAATATTAAATTTTATATAAAAAGGTCCAACAGCCGACCACCGAGTAACAAACCAGTCCAAACTCCGACATACGAGGAGATGTTACAGAGAAAGAGGAGAGAGGAGGCTTCCTATAGACGTTATGATGATCCGGAATATTCCAGATCAGGGGATCCAGGCAGACGACCCATGCCGTAGTAAGTCCAGCATATCAGTCAGATATATTGTAGTCTACCAGTTGCATTGTTTCAGATGACTGAATGGAATGAATAAAAACTGTTTTATTTCATAATATTTTGTCAAATGTTTTTTTATTTACAGAAGACCAAGTGACTGAGATTACGTTCTGATTTTTGTACAGTAGAACAGATAGACCGGCACTGCATGCACCACTTAATGTGACTCCGTCCAGTATTAGACCCTAACAATCGTGTAGATTTGAGTATTAACAAAGAGCAGCTGACCCAAAGTGACTGTAGATATTGACTTGTATATATACAATAACTGACTCGTATAAGAGTTACTTCCCTTTATACAGACTCTGCTGACATATATATAGTGCCTGTTCTCCCTGATTCAAAACATTATTCTACAAGCAATGACAGTGTGAAGCTTTAATATCATGTAATTTGTTACTCATTAATCATATTTTACTTGGAGTTTATAGGAAAGTGCTAAATTGTGGTTTTTTGTTATTTTTTTGTTAATGTGAATGTGTCTTAAGTGTGTGCCATAATCAAATCATTGAAAAAAGTTACCAAGTTACTGAACCCCCAGGTAAAATATATAAAATACACTGTTTCTGTAATATTTATTCATTTATAAGCACAATGTTGCACTTTTTCTACAACAGTTTATTTTATGTGTTTATTTATAGTACATGTATATTGAGCCAAATATTGTATAAGAAAACTTGATACTGCTGAAAGAGGGAAATAGTTCTGAGTATGAATTGTAATAATCTGTTAATGACGTTCTGTTAAATGTTTCTCAAGTGCTGTATAATTTATTGGCGGTTAAGGATTTTGATGTGATTTAGACTAGGAGAGAAACAGGAAAATCTTCTCAATAGAAATAAATTATAAACAGAGAGGTTTTATCTTCTTATTGTGTATCTTTTCAGCTGTGTTCCCAATAATATTTGTGACAATTTTATTTGTGATTGTTGTTTAATGTAATCCTTTACAGAATTCAATGAGGTAGGAACTTAGAGCAAAATGAAAAAAAATGAAGTGCAAGGTCAAAAGGAAGGTCAAGGTAAAAAAAAAAAAGACACAGTTGAATTGTTCCCCAATTTGTATCAGTAAATTATGTTTGATGATTAGTTTTTTTTTTTGTAAAACTAAAGTAAATGTAAAATAAAGAAGGGTGAGGTCTAAAGGAAGGTCATGACACAGTGAATTGCTCTAATCTATATAATTATTAGGGATGTCAAAAATATTTATTATCCTTAGTTGATTATTCGATTGCGTTATTCGAACGATAGTCGAATATTCGGAACATTTTCTTAAAATAAAATTTTATTTCAAACTTCACTGGAACAGGACGTATTTATAACTCAAAAACCTTTTAGTTAAATTTAAAAAGTAACATATGAAATAAATTTAGATTCCTAATTCTCCAATATGTATGATCGGTCAGTACATGCAGTCAGTTTTTTATTTAGTAAGCATTAAAAAAATTGCCAGGCGATATTTTTAAAGATTATTATGAAATAAATTGGGGGAAGGGGGGGGGGGATCTCACACAGTGCCCATGAAATTGTTAAACAGTTAGATAATTGATTGCTCCGGCTATTAAAATGTCCTTAAACAGTTTATAATGTAAGTGAATTGCTTTAAAAATTATCGAATTAAGAAAGATAACAAAAGATAATTGGTACCTGGTATAAGATCAAGTTCAATTAGTAAATTTACAAACAAAGCCCAGTATATGGAGTGGGTAATTTATTACAAAAACAACACAGGCGGTAACTGACAAATAATTCTAGCACATATAATTACTGTGCTTTCTATACGTACATGGAGTCAATCGTTTTTTGTTGAGGAAAATTATTGATTGTCTCTGAGGAAAGGAGTTTTCTCAATTTAGTAGTGAGAATTCCATCTCGTTATCACTCTATTATTGGATTTTTTAAATTATAATAATATTCGAATGTCGTTTCATTATTCGATCGTCGGTCCATTCGACTGATAGTCGAATAGTCGACTATTCGTTGACATCCCTAATAATTATGTATCTTTGCATGAAGTTTGACAAAAAAATTCTTGGAAAAGTAACTTTCAAGGTCATAGGAAAGTTTATCTCTCATATGGCAGGGACCTCATATATAGCTGTGTATATGTACTAAGTACTACTTCATCACAAATGGTGCAATCTTGATTAAGAGTCACTAGTACTTTTATGTACAATGTATTGTACAGTTGAACTTAGGTATCTCGAACATGGACATCTTGAATACCATGAATATGTCAAAGTGACTGGGAAGTCCAAACCACAAATTTCTTTAGCATTTTACCCTCGTTTTTCTCGAACCCTCAGATATATTGAAATTTTTTCTTGGTCCCATCGAGTTCGACTGTAGTTGTAAAACATATTTTGAAGTAATATAGGAGTAAAGAGGACTATTTTTGAAGATTGCATTAATTTTGATGGTTTTAGTCCCACCTCTCAGGCCCCAGAGAGGCAGAGCCCATGAAATTCACAATTTACATTTTTCTTTACCTAGAAATGTTATACTGCATACAAAAATTGTTTGAAATTGGTGCAGTGGTTGGAGAGAAGAAGCTGAAAATAATCAAAAGTGTACAGTGTGTTGAAGATTGCAATAGGTCACCATAGTGACTCAAGTGACCTAAAAATCCCAAGAACCATTAGGTCAGAGAAAGTTAAACTTATGTAAAAGCTTCCTGACATGGTGAAGATTCAAGTTTTAATTCGAATCATGGCCCACAGGGTGGGGTCACAAAAGATAAAATTTTTACATAGGAATACACATGTTACAATGCACAAGAAATTATCATGCCATGATTAGTCAAAGCAATATGCAAGCATAATTTGGTAGTAGAGATTCAAGTTTGTTCAAATCATGGCCCCCAGGGGTACAGTGAGGCCACAATAAGAGATCCAAGTTTTACATGGAAACACAGAGGAAAAATTTTCTCAATAACAGCATGGCCATGATTACTCATACATGTATTAATATTAATATTAAAATTAATACACAAATATCCTCAGGTCTTGTTTATTCAAGTTTGTTCAGATCATGGCCCCAAGGGGTATGGTGGGGCCATTATAGGAGATGAAAGTATTACATGGGAATATATTTAGAGGAAAAAATCTTCCTTTTAAGAACAGCAAGTCCATGATTATTAGTCATATAAATATGCAAGCAGCCTCAAACAGTGCAGGTTCAAATTATGGCCCCCAGGGTAGGGTTGGACCACAAGGCCACCTATTCCTACAGAAAAACGTGTATGTCATGCTTTTAAACTTTTTATTGAAAATGAAAAACATTTTATACTTTATTGTCCTAGTATAGATTACAATATTGTGATATATTTAATGCTCAATGTTATATGAAGGAAAACCCTATTATTGATATTATCAACTCTCCAAGTATTAAAATTGCTAGAAAAGTATGACATACTACTTTTCCAATATTAAAGTATATTTTCAGAAAGTTACATACTATGTAACTTTCTGAAAAAATACTTTAATATTAGAAAAGAAAAAACTTCAACATTTTATTGATTTTATGTATGTTATTGTTTGTTGTATTCATGACTATATGCCAATGTATGATGGTGTTGTCAATAAGTAAAATTGAAAATTGAATTGAAATTGAAATGGAAATCAAGGTTTAACATGAAAATATTTAGGAAAAAGATCTTTGAAAATCTCAAGAACAGCAAGGTCATGACAAGACATATTATGGCCCCCAGGGGCAGGAAGGAGCTACAATAGCTGTGATTTTTACAAGAAAACAAGCAAAGAATTGTGGTCCTCTACTTTCAGTGTCTTAGTGGTTGGAATGCAATTATTTATGGCATATTGTAACTGTCTTGTTTGTGTGTCCTGTCTTACAAGTATGCAAAGATTAAAGTTTCTTAAAACTGCATCAAATTTCAAGATCATGAGGTCAAATATCATAATGCAGTCTGAGAGGTCTCGTCATGAGTAATGCACATGTGAATAAAATATGAAAGCTCTGTCTCTCTGGAGCAAAATTTAGGTCAAAGTCTAGGTCAAGGTCATGAAATCATTCTGAAAGGCAGTAATGTTCATGTGATATAGAAGCTTTATCTTCTCTCATTCAAAAGTTAATACCAATATTAAAAATTTTGAAAAAGACTTGGCAAACTTTAAGGTTGAAGTCACAAGATTAAAAATCAGTACATTCGGAAAGTTTCCAATCAAGTAACTGGTAATGCACATGTACATGTATGTCAAATATAAAAACCCTATCTTCTCTCAAAAATTATCGGCAATGTTAAATTTTTTTAAAATTAGATCAAACATTAAAGTCAAAGTCATGGGGTTAAAAATCATAGCATATTTGGAAACATCTTGTTACAGGTAATGCACATGATGTCAAATATGAATGCCCTATCTTTTCTCTTTAAAAATCTTCTCTCATTCAAAGTAATAAATTTGGAAAATTAGGTCAAACTTCAAGGTCATGGAGTCAAAAATCATTGTACATTTGGAAACATCTTGTCGCAGGTAATGCACATGTCAAATATGAACACCCCTTATTCTCACTCCAAATTTACCATCTATGTTAAAATTTGTTTGAAAATTAGGTCAAATGTCATTGATACAGGGTCAAAAATCATAGTACATTTGAAAACGTTTTGTCATAGGTAATGCACTTGTCAGATAAGAACGCCATATCATATCTCACTCAAAAGTAATCACCAAAGTTTAAATATTGAAAATTAGGTCATACATGAAGGTCAATGTCACAGGTTAAAAAATCATAATTTCAAAAATTTTAACATTGCCGATAACTTTTGATTCAGAGAAGATATGGCATTTACATTTAACATGTGCATTACCTGTTTCAAGACCTTTCCAATTGTATACTCCGGTTTTTGATATTTTTTTCACATGTGCATTACTTGTGACGAGACCTTTCAGATTGTATTATGATATTTGACCTCAGGACCTTGATCTTAAAGTTTGATGTAGTTTTGAGAAGCTATAATCTTTGCCATAACTGTTATTAATTCAATAATTTATGTCTTTTTTGTATGATGCACAGAAAGACAGGACACACAAACAAGACAGTTACAATAAATAATGGCATCCCAACCGCTAAGGCACTGATAGCAGGGGACCACATTTCTTTGAATTTGCTTGTTTTCATGACACTACGTCCACACTACATCATAAATTTGCCAAAATTCCTAAGTGCAGACTTTTTTTTTGTTTTTTGTTTCGTTTTGTTTTTAAATCATGAACAAGGGGGTAAGGTGGGACTAAAATCGGAGATCAAATTTTACAAAAATAAATATCTTGAAAAAAAAAACATTTTTTCCATGACAGAAGGGTCTCTCTTTTCATATTGATATTGAAACATCCCAGTGTTGTGTGGATTCAAGTAAGTTTGGTGTTGGGGTCTTTTAAATATCTTTTGAAGAAGAACAAGGTAACTCCGGTAAGGCCCATGGGCCTCTTCTTTAGACTCATCTTTACAGAATTATGTATCTTTAAGTTTCCAACTACTTGCAGTACCAAGTTTTATTGAAATAAAACCAAAATTTTGGGGGTTAAACATTGCAAAAGATTTCAACAAAGCATTTTTTCTCTAGTAGCCGGTAATGTTTGCGTTTAGTGACATGTCAGTGAAATTTAACCACATTGCAGAAGAGCTAAAGATTGCAGTCAAACCAACAGACAGCAGGCAATGTACCATTTACTTCTTCTGCCTTTAGGGCCACTTACACTAATATTTTCAAAATTGTTATTAGTCATAAAAGAGACCAGAAATGGCGATTCTTTGATTTGATTTATTAACAGCATGTTTGCACACTGCCCTTAAAAGGCAAGTTGTACATGTATATAAAATGAATCTCAAATATAGAATATCCCAGGAAACATATATCCATATACATATATAAGAATGTGCATATAATGGCATTAAAATGTAGTATAAATAGGGAATGTGCAGCTAAAGATATAAACATTTGATATAAAAAATTGTTGTCACAATATCACAGCCATAGCTGATGACGTAAAATGTTGTTTATTTACAACTGTTGATTACGGTAATCACAATGCTTTATGTACAGTCCTTAATTAAGTTAAATTTTTCTACCTATTACAAGGTTCATGTGCATATAAAGATTATCTAATATCAAAATTGCATAGAGCGGTCTGTGTTTTTCATATGGCACAATTCTGTATAAAATTTGTATAAACAAACAACAACCTAGGGCATTCATTGGCAAAGACCAATGGGCTATTGCACTCACCTGTATTGCTATTGCTAGCAAATCCATACTAAAGCTTCAAATAAAGAAAAAGGCCACAATATCAATATTATTTATATTTTCAAAAAATAAAATTTTTCCTGTTGAGTAATTAAAAGTATTCCAACATAAATTTGCCCATTGCTCAAGTGACCTAAAAATATATAAAGATAAATTGTTTGTGACATTTGAATGTACAAAGTGCAGATAAATACAATGCGATATTAATGTGTGTCACTGAAAATTAAACATAATGTGATATTAATGTGTGTCAATGCAAACAAAAATTACTGATTATGGTAAATGTATTGCATAGTGTTTCTATAATTATGATATCTTGATAAGGCCTTAGAGCAGTTGAACTTGTACATAAAATGTAAGTACAGTAAAACTCACTTATAAGGAACTCACTTACAAGAAAATCTCGGTTAGAAGGAATTTTTTATGAATCCTGTATAATACTTTTCACTATGTTCCTTACACAGATATAAAGAATCTAGGTTAAAAGGAAGCAAAATTTGAGGTCCCTGTAACTTCCTTATATCTGAGTTATACTGTACATATGAAATGAATTTTGGCACATCTACAAAGTGGAATAAATCACCAGCATTTCATGAAAAATAATGCTATCATTCATCTTGACTTAGTCCCCCCCCCCCCCCCCCCAACTAAACAGTAGTATAACTAGTTGATGGGGATCCTGCGAGGTAACAACAACTTTTGGTACAGATTTTTCCCAACACCATCGATGAAAGTGAAAGTAGCATTCTGTTTTGTGATTTCCATGTAAGCAAACCCTCCCAGATCCAACATCTTGGCCCAGAAGAACTTGGACGACCCTGCAGGGACATCTTTTGCATGAGCGTTGCTATTATCAGCAAAGTTGGCTGCTCCAATCACAAAGAAGTTCATAGTCAGGCCAGGCCTTGAGACTTGTAGATGCTGGAAAAAATAACTTTGGTCTACACCAACATTTGTAAATCGTGTAATAAACTGTAATGATAAAACAGGAAATTTGTTTTGTAATTACACAGGAGTCTTGTAATAAAGAAGCAATTTCCTCTGCAATGTATTACTATGAGCAACAGAAAGACTTAAAAATTTGCAAGGAACAATGGAAATCTTGTTTTCCCATAATCCTAAACTCTCTTCAAAGAACAAGGTTCACTATAAGGGCCTTTTTGGCCCTGTAAAAATCACTTTTAGTTGACAGCTCTTCCGATATAGTTTGGAAACATGGTGACAACCTATCTATATTTAAATGACATAATTTGGTCATGGCCACTAGTTGATGTATTATGACACTATGAATTGGGTTATCATTCCCATTTCCTGCAATTGTCTACCAAAATCTCCAATACATGTATTTCAAGCTGTTTTTCAAAACTACTATTTGAATACAGCACAATCTCTGATCCGAAAAGTACAATTAATCAAGTATTTATGGATAAAATAGTTACTGTATTTTTGGAATCAAGGGGGTGCACTTTGTCTTTATATGTAAAGAAAGACTATAAAGTCTCTTCTTTAAAATAATATTTAAATTTAATATTAGATGAAAACTGATTAACTGGTAAATAGATAGGGCCATTTTATGCTTAAAGTGAACCTACTCTTTGGGAAATAAATATAATACTAATGACTAGGCTATGTCACTGTAGTTACCTGCAGATTGTGATCATGACCAGACAAATACACTGCCTGGTATTGCTGAAGAAGGGGTAACAGTTTGTCAATTAGACACTGGGTGGGGCCATGCTCAGCAATGGAGTACACAGGAAAATGTCCAGCCACAAACAGATAGTCAGCACTGAAAAAAACCCACACATTTATAAACACACTGCCACTACTTGAGATCATATTAAAATAGCTGTCAGGAATATGATACATACTCAGTATACATATAAAATTTTGTGACAACCAGATCAACAGATTCCCAAGTTTTCCTTAAAATTAGTAGAAAAAGGTTGCAGACAGAAAAAAATACATAAATAAATAAAAAAGCCAATGTACAGAAAGTACTGTAAATCAATATTTATTTATTTTTTAAAAATATCTGCAAGTTTAACTACCTTTAATTACTCACAAATATCTGTTGTTGGAAGTCATTTCTCTTGTGTATTGTTTATTTAAAGCCTGATGACATGACTTCCTCAATGTTATCTCTTACTCTTCTCAAGAATTTTTGATTGAAGTATTGCTTCTTTACCAAGTTTCCTCACTAAGAATTGAGGAACTTTACCAGGAATATTTCTTTGAATAGATGCATTTTCATAAAAAATCACATGGTAATAATGATAGTAAATAATTTTGGTATAATATATTACAAAATTATTACAAAAATGATTTTGAGGAACTTGTCATCAGACCCTAAGAAGAATGTTTCATTCATTAGTTGTGACAATAAAAAAAGTCACAAATGGTGATTTCAGATTGTCAATTACAGTACATTTGTAGCAAACAGCAGTTGGTTTACAGTATAATCATACAATATACCGTAGCTAAAACATAGATCCTAGTTGTACATGTATATGTACTGTTGCACATAAACATTTCCTTGATGCATTAGTAACACGCCTGAGTAACTGTCAGACAGACAAACAGTACACTTGCCTGCTACTTTTCAGGTTCTGTGTGATCCAGGCCAGCTGGTCATCTGCTGCCCCAAGGTCAACAGGTCCATGTGGCTGGTCATGTAGGAAATCGTCGCCAGTGTTCCCACACAGTAACACAGTGTCAATCATCAGAATCTGGACCACACCCCCTCCTGGGATGTTGTAGGTCAAAGGATAGTAGTAGTTTGGAAATCGCCTGTTGTAATTAAATGATCATTTGTTTGTGGTAACATGTGACACTTACTCTCACTAACCTTTCCAATGACAAAAATAAATCTAATTTTCAGAAACTTATCTCAGCCTCTGAATTAAGAGAACCTACATTATCCTTAAGTTCATAACAATTAATGGGAATTTATCCTTCTAAATATTTTTATAATCAGTTAAGTCTACCGTAGACATACTTTTTTTCACATGGGATTGATTTACGTGATGTATGCGGTCAAAAATTTTTCCACGTAAATTTGTGAAAGTGTACTTTAAGTGCATGTAAGGGATACTATGGCAGTCCAAAAAATAATTTTCTACCTGCTGATTGAACAGAAATTGTGATTCTGTGTAATTATGACCCCATGGAAAAAAAGTACATATACAGTATTTCACAAAAATTCAACTTTCATACAGAAAGATCTTAGAGCATAAATCTTTTTAAGTTCTGTTACCAGACTTTGGAACGCTTGGAGTATTCAATCTGCCCAGATACATTTCCATTGTGGTCATGGTTACCTGCCACTAAATTCCAGGGGATGGAGTCCAGTCCTGGCTGAGCAGCAAATACTTTCTCAAAAGTCTCCTACAACAATACACAGTTAAATACTGTAAGTCGTTTTAATTCCACTGTGTTAAAATTTCACGATTTCTCAAAAAGTACCAATTGCAATGGTTTTAATTTAACGCTGCAAGAAATGAATTTAGATTTCATATAAGCATTTAAACGTTTTTAAAAACTAATGTAGCATTCACGATGGGTTTAATTTTGCGGAAAAATGATGAATCGCGAACATAGTGAAATTAAAACCATCGTGATTATTTGCCAATCTACAGTATAAAAACAAAAGGATAACTCTTCAAGACTAATACAATGTAGTACATTGATAGAAGATATGCATATTTTATAATTGATAGGTAATATGTCTTACTGCTGTGTATCGTCCAAAGACTTAATGGTACCTAATATACCACTTGTCAACCCATAAATAAAGCTCTGAAATTATTTTAGTAACTTTTCCTATTTTTGACTCATTATTTTAAGAATAAAGTTGAAAGTGAAAATAATTTTATTACCTCAAATCTTTTGTCATTTGAATCTTTTATTCCATCGTAATAGAAATTGTCCCCCAGAGCCAGGATAGCTTCTGGACCATACTTTTTAGCCACAACAGACATTTGTTTGGCCACACCCATTTCTATGGCAGTGTGGTAGGGGGGAGTTGGAAGACCTCCCCAGTCCCCGAGAATCATTAGTCGAACACTGTCCACTGCCAGACATGAGCCTTAACATAAATTACTACATTAACTAAAATACCCTCACAAGACCTTCAGATAATTTTTCAAATCACAGAGTATAATACCCACAATTTTATCTTGCATTATGCATTTTCCCTGATTTATATATCTATTACAAGGAAATTTTTCAATTTGAGGCTATCTAAATATCACATTGAGGAAATTTGCTTGTTTTCACCTTTACTTCACAAGACATACATTACGATTTCAGACTACAAAAATGTACCGGTAGGTCATGGCTTAATATCTATATAAATATATAATAGAATGATGTTTTGATTCCTTTTAGATAAATTTAGAGTTCGTGGCTTATTCAAGTAATTGAGACAATACAATATTGCATATGTGAAGTACTCCTGGTTCTATGCAAAATCAAATATAAATAATCATAACGTGATTTTGTATTCAGTAAATTTGGGACATACAGGTATAGGGTAGACTTTACTTTACCGGTCCCCAGATCCACAAGATCCACGTGCTCATTGCACTATGACGTAAGATTTATGTCACTCAACTGATAAGGGTTAGTTTTGCACATTTTTCGACTAGTTAGGGTTAGTCTTGCACCCACCTGAAAGATTAGGGTTAGTCCTTGCACAAGTTTTCGACTGATTAGGGTTAGTCTCGCATTCATCCGAGAGATTAGGGTTAGTCCTCGCACATGGGTTAGTCTAGCATCCGCCCGGGAGATTTGTGTTAGTCCTCGCATACCATCCGAGAGATTAGGGTTAGTGTCTTGTTTTTTTTTTTTAGATTAATTAGGAAATTCAGATGCTTCTGTATTTTTTGTAATATCTTAATTCAGCTTCAACGACATCTCGTTGGTTTGTTTACATGAAAAAAATGGCTTAGTACAAAAGAAACGGCACTAAGCATGCGCCGCACGCGCTTAATTCGTTAACAATTATTTTTTGTCTCCTTTTCAATGAATAAACAATATTTATTACTTTCTTCAGAGAACGAAGTTAAAAACGAAGTTTTAAACTAAACTTTTAACCGTAGAATTCGATTTTGGGGACAAAAAGGCTTTAAACCTCCTACTTTTTTTTTTTCCAATCGCTCACGCGATCTCATATATATTGAATTTGCCTACAGCGACACTATATTTTAGCGCGTTTTTCTGGGGACCGGTAAAGTAAAGTCGTTCCCAGGTATACACATTTTGACATTATTCAGCTGTTCTAATACTAGTATGCCAGGACACTGGACAGTCTCTCTTGAAATGGCATGGAAAGACATCATCATGATCAAATAATTTTTAAAGAACATTAATTTATAACCTCAGGGACCTACATAATAACTATACTAGTCTAGTATAAATAGGTCCCTGATAACCTGTTAAGTTCGGTTATCGTATTGCTGACTTGCACTATCTCTTAAGTACCTTACATGAGTGTGTATTTATTAACCCCTTCAGCTCTGTCAGAGTTTCAAACTAAAGAGAGGGCTGTACATGCAGGTATGCATGTTTTTAAAAAGCGAGATGTCAACTTCATGTATATCCAATGAACTGACATATATGGTAATTTTTTTAAGAAAATATTTCACTTAATTACACACATGTATTTAAACAAATATCTTTCTCCTTCAGGATTATTTACTCACCGATGAAGGAAAACGCAAAAAGGAACACAAACCATTTCAAGTTGGATGCTGCCATCTTTGAGTCATGTGATTAAAATATCATGTGATCCATGTGATATATATCTAGGATTCGAAACCAATATCGTAGCTGGGTCCGGATTATTTGTATGTGTTTTTTTTTTTTTTTTTTTTTTGGTCAGATGTGCATTTAGAATATTTAAAAGTCGAATTTCAAATTTCATTAAGAATAAAAAGACTGGGATAAATATGCTTGAGGAAGCTCTAAAATGTTTTTTGGACTTTGAGAAAGTTGTGTCCTATGAAGGTCCGAGTAATTATCTTGTTCATTTTCAAAATAGGGTACCAGGACATATTTCTTCATGAAAAATGTTCCTCATATTTTATTGTCTTTTACAACTGGGATCTGGCAAAAGTTTTAAAAACTTAATACACCCTTTCCCTATAAGTGAATTATTTATATCAAATATTTTTATACATGCATATGGGTCACAGTTTAAAAATGAAATAGCACAAAAATCACAATACTCACACAATCAAAAATTTGGACATAGGATGCATATATCATATGACACACAAACTGAAATAGAATTCACTAAAAGTAATTCTTGCATCAATCACAACAAAGACAGGCTAGTATGTCAATCAAGATTGTAGCTCTAGGTGCATAGAGCTATATAGCCACTACAATCTGGAACCTAGCCCTAGTACTATGCATCAAATGATGCTTCATTCAGACAAGTTTGCTTCCCCCCCAAAATTGTATATATTCTTGGATCCTGACTGATACCATGAAAATACCAGAGTACTGCACAACCCTCCCAGCGCACTCTGCTGAGGTGAGCTTAGGAAAGAAAATGAAGAATCTTTTAATGTTTATAAATAATTTTATTCATAAATATATGATCAGTCATAATGCAAAATAATATGAAGTTTTCCCAACAATCAAACAGGTAATGAGAATTCAATGAGAACAGATATCACAATGTCTATGTCAATAGATGACCTGATTCATGTCACATGACATGTCACATGACATGATATGTCACATGACATCACTTGTTCAAGTCTGATTATGCTAGATCTAGAGGTCACTTGGACTGGTGAAATTTCTTAGAAGAGTCTTTAGCATGGTCAAGTAATAACTGGCACGGCGTGAATTGTTCTCCATAGAGTTGTTCATACCGCCTCATTCTGTCCACTAATTGTCCGGCGCCATGAAGGTCAACATAGCGGAATGGACCTAGGAATAATTAACAGACCAATGACATAATGGTAAATGGCAAACAATTTTATCAATGCTTCTTATAAGACAATTTACTTATTAAGAAACATTAAAATCTAAGCAGGAAAAAAACACAACGTAGGGTTGCGATTTTATGATGCCTACCTCCAAAAAATGGTGGGAATCCAAGTCCAAATACAGCTCCAATATCACCCTCCACCTAAAAATAATAATGCTTTGAGTGCTAAAGAATTAATCTACTTTCAAATAAACATTTTTGAAGGACAATGTATTGTAGATTATACCGTACAGCCGTTTTCTTTGGGGGAGGGGGGGGGGGGGGGGGAGTTGCAAGTTTGATTTTGGTGAATCCTATTCCATTTATTTGGGATGCATTTTTTATTGTGAATATAATATCTGCTACGAGCTGTGGCAAAAAATATGTTCTTAAGTATGAAGGTAACAATGATTTCATCTAACATTACAAAGGCGTGCATTTTTCCTATGAAACCAAATACACATCTCAAGCAACACCTAGAGCAAGTTCAAATGTATACACATATAGAACCTGAATTCATGATTTTTATTTTGGTGAATCTTTAAAAATCATCAAAATCGACCAAAATTATATCCCTGCAAAAATATCCAGCTACATGTAAAAAGTAATACATGTCCCAAGCTGGTCCCAATTTATCTAAAGAATACATACTACACAATGTAAATCTGAGAATTCACAATGCTAGCATATAGACTAAAGTCACATTAAGAGTTGCAAGATAAAATTATTATCCCCTCAAAATATGCTGAACCTATTTACAATGTATGTACAAATGCTTTCACACAAGACTATATTAATAAATGTGATAAAATGTAAATTTTCAGAAAATAAAGAAGAGTTCCTTCAATAAAATTACTGTTACTTTTTAGTGATAATGGGCAAGTTAGACAGTGTTAAAAGTTCATCATCAGACTTTCTTATCAATTATGATTAATGACAGTGCTACTCCTGGTGTAGTTAAACTTACGGGTGTTGTGAGAATTCCCTCCTGTAGACACATCACAGCTTCATTGACAAATCGTGAGAACAGTCTGTATTGGTAGTCCTCTGTTGAATTTCTGTAAAAATACAACATACCAACTAAATTAAAGACTGAAAGGGTGATATTACCATAAAACCTACATTTTCCATCTGCAATTTATCAAGTTGAATTTTATAGCAAACTTTCTGTAATTGTATGTAAATAAAAATAAAATATCTTAATATGGTTCAAGTTTATAAAATTAAAAATATCCATAAACTCTGTCAGTGACTGTCTTAGGTGGTATCATTTGTTGAACAGCATCCTCTGGTCAGGAAGAGGATAAGTAAGTAAGTAATCCATAAATTCTCCCCAACTTACGCCTCTGTCGGAGCTAGTCGGTGTCTGTTAAGAATTGCTAGGGCCTCCATGTTTTCTGTTTTTCCCTTCTTTTTGCCTTTACTTGGATCATACACAAAACATCCTTTGCCTGATTTCCTACCTGTAAACGAGTAGAAATGCCTGTGTATCTATCAGTTTCAATACACAAATATTTAGTCTTTCCCTATCAGTACCAGTCTCATACTTATTTGTACTTGTAATTTGTGTACTGAGAAACTTTTTGAATAAAGGGCTTAAAACATATATACATGTATATCATGTCAATTAAATGAAGAATGCTCTAAATGAACAAGAAGTATAACATAATATCATAACATAATACTCATTTCTCCACTAAAAACAATCAACACAGACCTAAACACCCAGCTGCTACCATTTCTTTCAGGACGGCAGGATCACCTCCTCCAAAGCGACTGCCGAAAGCCTTCCCAAGATCCTCGGCCACATGAGCTGCCACATCAATGCCCACTTCATCGGCCAGTGTTGCCATTCCTACTGGCCAACCAAAGCCTGTGGTTACCTTGTCCAGCTGCTGTGGGCTAACACCCTCCTACAGAAATAATCATACAGGTACAGACAATCTTAAAGTATACTCTATTTCTGTGGGCTGACACCCTCCTACAGAAATAATCATACAGGTACAGACAATCTTAAAGTACACTCTACCTCTCTTTGTAAGGTGTGTTTGTCCTATGTTTACTTGAACAATTTACTTGTCTCATGTAACTCATTCTTCATAGCTTTTCATATCAATACATGTACAAGAAACTATTTCATAATGCCTAATATTCATAAACAGAAAGTCTGCACTCAGAAAGTGCTTGGTTCAGGATTACAACAGTTTGAAGTAATTGTAAATGTACATGCACATGTATATGTATGTTATAAATAAGTTTACTAATGGAGCAAGCTAAGAGATAAAAATTTGGTACTTTATTTTATTTTCTTAAATTACAATACATTTCATTTTCTAACACAATTGTGTACCCAGACATCACACTCTACTCACCTGTAGGAGTCGAACAGCCTCAGCCAACATAGGAGCCAGGATTCTGGTCGTGTAGAAGCCTGGACCATCACCAACAATGATGACCAATTTCCCCTGACGGAGCCCCACATCAACAGCGGTGGCTTAAAAATAAAAATATCTTTCTACTTCTAAGTGCTAAATAAGAAAACAACTTTCAAGAATACCATACACATGTGTTACCGTAAAAAATCTCCATTGAAAAATTTCCTTGACAATTTTTTTTGTTCTAAATGACCTACATAACTTTTAAAAAATCAACCTCACAATGATTTACAATCTCCATAGCAGCAGTTAACACCATCCATTAGAAATATTAAGATCTATTCAAAATATTAATTCTTTTTTGGTGTTACTGTTTTTATACAATTGAATTTTTCACGTTAGCTTACCAACAGTATCTTTTGAGGTCTCTGGTGTGGTGATAATTTCCAAGAGTTGCATTTTCTCTACAGGTGAAAAGTAGTGCATTCCAATGACCTACAGTTATCAGTGGAAGAGATATATGTATCATTGAGATGTCATTAAATCTATGCAAAATCAACAGGTTCGGTAATTTGATATAATCTTTTATAACCTTCTCTGGTCGAAGACTGGCCTTTGCAATCTGAGCTATAGGTAAAGCTGATGTGTTAGAGGCAAAAACACAGTGTTCCGGGATACACTAAAAAAGAAAGGTTTGGTATTAGGTATTACCATCATTTTTGAAATACATACTCTTGTAAAATCATAATTTTTAAGACTAAGGTCAAATACATGTACATGAAATAAATTATTTAGGTTTTACACTCACCTGTTCCACCTCCTTGATGAAATGACGCTTGATATTCTGATTCTGACTCCTAGGTAATTATTTTGATTTTACACCCACCTGTTTCACCTCCTTGATGACATGATGCTTGATATTCAGATTCTGACTTCTAAGTAATTATTTAGGTTTTACACCCACCTGTTCCACCTCCTTGATGACATGATGTTTGATATTCAGATTCCGACTTCTAGGTAATTATTTAGGTTTTACACTCACCTGTTCCCCCTCCTTGATGACATGATGCTTGATACATGTATTCAGATTCTGACTTCTAGGTAATTATTTAGGTTTTATACTCACCTGTTCCACCTCCTTGATGACATGATGCTTGATACATGTATTCAGATTCTGACTTCTAGGTAATTATTTAGGTTTTATACTCACCTGTTCCACCTCCTTGATGAAATGACGCTTGATATTCTGATTCTGACTCCTAGGTAATTATTTTGATTTTACACCCACCTGTTTCACCTCCTTGATGACATGATGCTTGATATTCAGATTCTGACTTCTAAGTAATTATTTAGGTTTTACACCCACCTGTTCCACCTCCTTGATGACATGATGTTTGATATTCAGATTCCGACTTCTAGGTAATTATTTAGGTTTTACACTCACCTGTTCCCCCTCCTTGATGACATGATGCTTGATACATGTATTCAGATTCTGACTTCTAGGTAATTATTTAGGTTTTATACTCACCTGTTCCACCTCCTTGATGACATGATGCTTGATACATGTATTCAGATTCTGACTTCTAGGTAATTATTTAGGTTTTATACACACCTGTTCCACTTCCTTGATGACATGATGTTTGATATTCAGACTCTGACTTCTAGGTAATTATTTAGGTTTTACACTCATCTGTTCCACCTCTTTGATGACATGATGCTTGATATTCAGATTCTGACTCCTAGATAATTATTTAGGTTTTATACTCACCTGTTCCACCTCCTTGATGACATGATGCTTGATACATGTATTCAGATTCTGACTTCTAGGTAATTATTTAGGTTTTATACACACCTGTTCCACTTCCTTGATGACATGATGTTTGATATTCAGACTCTGACTTCTAGGTAATTATTTAGGTTTTACACTCATCTGTTCCACCTCTTTGATGACATGATGTTTGATATTCAGTTTCTGACTCCCAGATAATTATTTAGGTTTTATACTCACCTGTTCCACCTCCTTGATGACATGATGTTTGATATTCAGATCCTCAAACACAGCCTCAATGACCATATCACATTTATGGAAGTCATCGTAAGTTAATGTGGCATCCAGGTTAGAATAAAACAAGTCTCTCTCAAAACTGAAAGATAATCACATCCACTCTGTAAATGCTCTCTAAAATTTGACATGTTGCATACTGAATTTCATTTTCCTTTTTCTACAAGGTACTTTAAGTATTATATTCTTTGATATGCTTCTGGAAAACTAAATTCCTGAGAGATTTAATGAGACACTATAACTCACCTAGTCATCTTCTTTTTCTTGACGTCAGTCTGCAAACCTTTGTAGATTTGTTCTTGGCCCCTAGCCAGTCCAGACAGAGACATGTCCTTCAAATAGACATGCATATTCTTATCTATTGAGACATGAGCAATGCCGGCTCCCATCAGACCTGCCCCAAGGATTCCAATTGATCTACAAATCAAGACATTCATAATTTCACATAGAAAGTTTTCATGTCCATCACAAGATTAATATTTTAAAATCTCAGTAAAAATAAGATAACAAGAGAGGAGTATACATACATGTAATTTTCTAGATTTGGGGTGGGGGGTTATAAGTTATCAGAGGAGGGTATAAGTACATATTTAAGATACATATACAGTGGAGCACATGACAAACAATGCAATATTAAAGCTCCAATGTATATACATATATAACCCATAAACCACCAAAACATAATATTCCTTGTATTTTCAAAAGTCATCAAAAATATAAATATGACTCAGACATAACCCACTAGTATTACTTGAAAAAAAAACAACTTGTGACATAACAGAGTTTATAGACACTTTCAAATTTAAAAGATTTATCACTTACATGTATATTGAAGAAATACTATGTCTATAAAGTAATTGTATTTGACTTCTTAATAATTCTTGACTTACTGCGAGGGACGACTCGGTGCACCAAACTTGTTCTTTTTACAGGCTGTTGTTCCATAATATAGACCAATCAGAGCTTTGGATTCACTAGTCATTGCCAGCTCCCCAAATGCCTACAGTAAATACAGTGTAACCTTAACAATTCTCACTGCTATTACAACTGCACAAAGTCCTAACAACAATCTTTATAATAATAATATTCTGTAATTAACAAATCATATCAGAATGTTAAAAAAAATTGTCCACTCAAGTTAAATCTTCAATAACAATGAAGTAACAAATGAAATTACATGTATTCTAATTTACTTTAAGCAATATATTTCTTTTGACACTTGGTATCAAATTATTTAAGCAGATAACTTTCTACCTTTGCCTCCATTTCATATCCAGTAGCTGGATTTTCTATGCCATTTTTCACAACATCAATGATTTTTAGAGGGGCGGGGTACAGTCCCTTTGTTTTCTTATTAACTGCCTGCTTAGCTTTGTCAAAAAAATAATTCCTCCCTGCAGGCACAGCCAACACCAAATCTATGGCTTCTACAATGACAACATAAAATTAAACCACATCTATCAAAATGTCATTTCCAAAGTGTTTTAGTGCAGATAAATATATACAATGTACATGTACTTGTATATTTATGTTTGCAATCCAGCAAAGCAATTGAATTACCCAGATATTTGATAATCAGCTCTAGTTACTGCCCATCCTGTTCTGATTTACTATAGTCAAAATATATTAATTTAAACTCCCTCTCTACTCTAGCCCTTACCCATCTCCTCATGAAAATCAAAGCATTTAACACCTCTTTTTACTCTATCCCTTTCCCCTGCCCAAAGGGAACTCCCTCTCTACTCGACCCCTTACCCCTGCCCTAAGACAAACACAAGCTTCTTACTTTCCATGAACTTTTTCTTTCTTGGAACTCTTGGAGTTTTTGACACTGCCAGCCTTCTGTAATTGAAACACAAAATGACTGAATCAGTTACATGCTATTCATTGTATCCAGAGAACACATGTTCCCAACCATATCCAATATTCTTGACACCAAATCCTTGACAAAATTAAAAAAAAAACAACAGAAATATGTCCATAGGACATGAATGCCCCGCCGAGGGTAATGCAACATGAAAATTTGTATTACTGTAGTGCATGAAGTTTGATGAGAATATCTTGAATAGTTTCTTTAGAATTGAGATTGAAATCTAAAAATTTGGATTAAGATAATAACTTCTCACAATATTATGTACAATTGCATAAGCTTACATAAAAATATCTTAAATGATTTCTTTAAAAATCAGCAAAATGCAAATTTAAGAAATATGATGTCAAGGTCACAGGAAAGTTCAAGGTCAAAAACTTATGATGTAGTTAAATAGCTAATATGTATCAGCATATTAAGTTTGATAAAAATATCTTGAATGGTTTACTTAAAACTGAACTTAAACACTAAGTTAAGAAAAATGAGGTCAAGGTCAAAGGAAACATCAAGGTCAAAAAAACGTTGATGCATTCAAATAGCTTACTTCAGTATGTACCAGCGTATGAAGTTTGATAAAAATATCTTGAATGGTTTTTTTTAAAACTGAGCTAAACACTAATTTAAGAAAAGTGAGGCCAAGGTCAAAGGAAAGGTCAAGGTCAAAAATGTTGATGCAGTTGAATAGCTAACTTCAGTATGTTTCAGCATATGAAGTTTGATTACACTTTTTTGAATGGTTTCTTTAAAACTGAGCTAAACACAAATTTATGAAAGGTGGGGTCAATGTCAAAGGAAAGGTCAAGGTCAAAAAATGTTGATGCAGTTGAATAGCTCTCATCAATATGTATCAGCATATGACGTTTGATTAAAATATCATGAATGGGTTTTTTGAAACTTAGCTTTGATCTGAACTAAATGCAAAGCATGACGGAAGGACAGAAGGATGGACATGACAAACTCTATTTGCCCTGGCCATATTCATGGCGGGGCATAAAAATTGTCTGAGAGACTATCCAAATTGATATTTGGTCTACGGTTCAATACATCAGTTGTATGCTTAATAATACAATGTACATTAAGGGTGCAACGATAAACCGTTTGACGGTATATCGCGGTATATTTTTCCACGGTTCAATTCACGATACGCTAAACTGATATCGCGGTTCGGTTCAATCGGTCCAGAATTATCCGTTTTGTCCGTTTTATTTCCTTCTTTACTATTTCAAAATGGCTTCCGTGCAAAACGTGAGGTCGCCGATAACGCGTTTATGGCAGTTAAACTCATCTCCAGCATCTTACAGACCTCAGATTTAACACGGAGAAGGACTTAATGTGATTATAAGTCATAGATGTTGAGACAAATGATAAACCCTTTAGATCTATAAACGTATTCTTTGGTAATACACGATATTCCATCACGTGTGTATTTCGATGAAAATTCGCTGTCTTGTTGACTAAAACGTATTAACACAAGAAATATGACAACCGGTTTTCTACGTAAATAAAAGGAATAAAAGAATGAATGTCTTCCTTTTTCATTCCAATTTAAAAGGAAGATTATTAGAAAAGGTCCACGTAGTTCCCTGTAAATGTTTATCATTGGTTTAGAATGTTGTCACAACTCAAAGATCTACCTAACAATCCAATTCAAGTTAACAAAATGTTATTTTGATTATTATTAAAAAATGTGAACATTTTGTATAACCCTGCCAAGTTTAAAAAAATATGATGACAAACTTGAAAGACTTTTTAACCTCAGTTGTCATGTATTGTGATACGTATCGTATCGTGAATTGAATACCGTGATACGTATCGTATCGTGAGGTTAGTGTATCGTTGCACCCCTAATGTACATGCATCTATTCCCAAATCTTTTTCTATGTCTATTTTGACAAACTGATTCTCTATAAGCATGTTTTACTGTACTTTGGTTTCTGGATGAAATAGATATTGATGTACCATGGTATAACTTCATACAGAAACCACAGTACAGTAAAACAAGCTTATAGAGAACACACTCATAATGATTTGATATTGAATTTATATACTTGGCTTCTCCAATGGCAACCTCTTCCAGATAGGCCAGGGTCCTGACTTCTGGGTCATCAATGCCTGGTCCTGCAAACATAATACATTCAATAAAGAAAGATCTTAATCTTATATCAACAAGCAGAATTCAGAGAAATCTGTTTTACTTCCCATGGCTAAGTTAAACACTACACACCTAATGGATCCACCAGGTGATCAACAAGTCCCAGTTTCTTGGCTTTGTCTGCTTTTATGTTTTTCCCAGTCAGCACCATATCTAATGCAGTTTGCATTGGGACCTGCAGTAGAAGTTAAATTAAGAGCAATGTACTAATACATACATGTATATCCATTAAATTACAAAGCTTTTTTTCTCTCTTAATGATAAACCGTTCCTGGGATGGTAGACATATTCATGGCAAGTTCTGTTATAAAACTATTCTGAATGGCCTAGGGAAAATACTAACCAGACTAAAATATCATTGGCTTCAAACTCAAAGATTTCAAGGGTACCCATCAACCCATTGTCGCAAACCACAGCCAAAATGTATGATCCTCTCCCATTCTGGCTGTGGTTGAATGAGAAAAGAATATTTCGTAGCTCATTAAAATACTGACCAATGCGAGTAAAGCATAGTTGGATAATGAACTTTGATGCAACCTTTCAATACCCCATCCCAGTATACGAAACATTTCTTGTATACTGTTGATGTCAATTGTTGATTTCAATTGCGATGGAAACAAAAATTGTCATTGGCTGAACAGGACGTCACAACATAGAGGTGTAAATATTCAAGATTACGACTATTTTTGTGATCAAGCAGCCACGGGTAGGAAAGAGCTATATGCAGACTCCGGACCATGGCTTGAGATGATGCCATCAACCAAGAAATTACATCCTCATGGAATACTGATTTATAACCTAAGTGTATGTCTTTCATAACAAGGCATTCACCCATTAAATTACTTCCCTACACAAATGTACATTTTAATTTTTAAAAATCCAGGAAAATTAGCCAACACAAATTAAAATGTACTAAAGTGTAAAAATGACCTACAATGGTCTGGGAATATACTGAATTACATGTACATGTATCTTTTGATATTTCATTCATTTACTCATAACAAAATCTGATATGCACTGGACAGTGGGAAATCAACCTTTCATGAGATGACAAAAGAGAATAATGTATCAGTTTTAGAATAGAACTTTCCTTTGATGGCTGGAATGATACTGGCCAGTTAATGTGTAAATCTTTTGAAATGACTGGACAGAATACTGATCAGTTAAGGTAAAATGTAAAACCCTTCTGTGATGACCAATACTGACCAATGTGCATGTAGATATAAACTCTCCCATGATGACCAATACTGACCAGGTTAGATATAAACTCTCCTGTGATGACAAATACTGACCAGTTTTGGGAGTCGCTGAGTTCCCCCTGCTCCTGGTAAGAGACCTAACATCACTTCTGGTGTAGCTAGTGCTGTCTTTTTGTTCTTCACAGCAATTCTGTATTGACAAGCCAAGGCCACCTGAAAAGAGTATCAAATATAGCAACAAGCCCAAAGAGCAGACAGGAGAAGGGAAAGATGTACCATATCTATACATTAACTTTCCTTGCTCATTTATTCAAAACTTATCATAAATATGAAATAAAGAACATAATTCTATTGTATGAAATGAAATGATAACTGCTCTATATTTGTATGTTCCCTATTCCTTGAAAAACATCTTGTTCGTAGTGTTTTACATAGTGTTGTAAGAATACATTTATATCTTTATTTAAACAGTAAATAAAGAAAAAAACATGTGGTTTTATTTGACTTATTTGTAGTGCTTACATTTTATGGTAACTCACCTCCAGTCCCCCTCCTAAGCACTGACCCATTATGGCAGCTACTATTGGTTTTTTACTGTCCTCCATTTTCTGGAACAGAGCCTGTCCATTTTTTGCAAGAGTCTCTACTTCCTCTGCAGTTTTACATGCCTCCAGCATCCTTTAATTATTAAAGAAATTTAAAGCCACAATTTACAATTTCTGTCACTGAGATATCAGATTTTTCACTGTGATAGTAGATGACTGACCCAATGTCTGCTCCAGCGATGAAACACCCAGGCTTCCCTGACCTGAGGACCATACTGTGGACATTGGGATCTTTGGAAGCCTTGTTGAAGCATTCTTCAAATTCTGATTGAACATCTCTTGACAGTGCATTCACCTTTCAAACAAATGTTTGAAATAATCTTCAACAAGTTTATCTTCTATGAAGCATAGATCTTTAATTTATTCTTCCAAATGTCTAATTTACAATTAATGTTTTTATTTTACCTTTGATCCTGGTGTATCAAATGTGATCACAGCAACATCATCTTTGATTTCATATTTGAGATGCTCTGAATAAAAAAAATTATTTGCAGTTGGCATGTTTAAGCTTATGCTTATTCACTTTACTCAATAAATGACAAAGAAAAATTGTTTATTCCTTATAGCTGTAAAGATTAACAAGTGAGGAGAGAAGAAATTCAAACCTATATCTACTAATGTTCAAGAAAAGCCAAATATTTTAAAACTCAAATATGGTTGCTATGGAATTAGCAACAAAATTACTTTAACTAAAAGTGGAGGTAAAATATGTGAAATTTATCATTACACAGACTTAATTGTTATTTGTTAATATATGAAGTCTACTACCTTTGTTGTGAAAAGTTTAAGTTATTCTCTGATATGCAACTGAAGCTAAGAAGCATTGCTAATATGGATCAAATTGCTCAGAATCTGCACCATGCACCTACAGATTATTTGTTCCAAACGCAACTTCAAATATCTTACTTTGTAAAATTGATGAGGTACTCAACCAATGTCTTTGTGCTGGAAAAGAAAATGTTTGTATATGACATGTTAATAGCTCAACATGGGCTTGATTTTAAGGATATTTAAATTTACTAAATATAGCTTAAGTTCTCTAAGGACATTCTCTAAGGTTTCTCTGGGTTCTCTGTTCTCTGCCCAAAGGGCACATGCCCTCTACAATGTACTAGCACCGATTAAAAATTAACTGGCCCCAGACCAGCGGGCTATCAATTTTTTTGAGCCCTGATCTTTTGCTTAAAAGTATTCAAAAGCAGAAAATATCTTTGATTTGGATTGCTTTTTAAACAGTTTATTCAAAAAATAATTGCAAAGTTTGTTAATTTTATGTAAAAGGTATTATAATCATAATTGCAAGCCCAGTCATCCATTCCAAATGTGTGATTTGGAGAGGTGGATCTAAGTTAAAAGTGAACAGTCCAGTAATACCACAGGCCTCTGAATTTCTATCAATAAGTTGTTATATAATTGATCAGAGTGTGCCCCCTCTATATATAAATACACAGTGATATATATACCCTCTCAATATATAAACAGAGTGATATATATACCCCCTCTTTATATAAATACATCTGTATTTATATATAGCAGGGGTATATATATCACTCTGATCAATCATACAACGACTTATTGATAGAAATTCAGAGGCCTGTGGTAATACACAACTGTGCTTGCCCCAACAGTCACACCATCAACATATTGTGAAAAAGACTTCCATGCATCTAGCTAAATCAAGCTTTTTTGAATATAGATTGTTCAAGCTTAGATAGTTTTTAAGTGACAGACTTGTGCCTCATTAGACCTGCACGTATCTTAAGTTCTCTTAATCCAGCTGTATCTTTGTGGGTTCCATTATCAACTATCTGTAATAAACTTTTCTGTATGAAATTAAATTAAGAATTTTTCTTCAATGCTAATTTCTGCAGGTAACCTTGGGTGTCATTTACCCTTGTCAAAACAACTTGGTCATACAAAAGTGTCCATATTCAGTTCTGAAAATATTGCAACCAACTGTCCAAAATCAATATCCTTACACTTACCTAAGAAGCTTGGACTCCGTAGTCGTGCAAACTTCACTGCCTTTAAAACAGACGTTGCCATTTCTTTCACGGACTTGCCGGTTGCTCTTTGGACTCAAATCATATACAACCAAGACTTCAAAGGGTGCCAATAAAACAGTATTACTTCTAAACACACAAATCACTCTGATTGTACGGGAAAAATGCTATCCTTGTAACGTTTGATTTACACAGAAGATTCCTACAAGTGCTCAAGCTTTTATTAAACCTAGATTAGGGTCCAAAGAGCAAGCAAACGGACGACATCAACAAATTGAGTGAGGACGGTTGGAAGAATAATGGCAAGTCCCGTTTTAACAGCTGTGAAGTATGCAAATGCCACAAGGTGCATTTTCAGAGGTAAAATTTTTATTGTAAATATATCGAGTTAAATTTGTGTTAATTTAGTTAGATAAATGGAAACCATGGCATTGGTAGAATTTGACTTTGAAGAGTGGTCAATGTTCAACATAAGTAGAGTATTCTCCATACCATTACTTCATTAACCGCAGTTGATAAATCTGGATAGAAGAACATGATGTGTTCAGATGTTTTTGTTTTAATTTTTCAACCAAATTAGGAAAACAGTGCAAGCCAGGTGTGTGGGATCAAAATTTATTCAGTATGGGAACTAAGTAGAAGGTTCTATCGTTAAAATGATACATGTCCTACGGACCTGGTGAGGGCCTGTCCTGATACACAGTTAGAATATTCTAACTATATGGGAACAAAATAGTCCGAAATATCTGACGTTTCCAGGCGTTTTCATGATTTTGATATTTGAAGTGCCAAGAAAACGTCAGAAACGGTGCCATTATGAAAAGTGGAAATTCATCGCCTCACAGGAGGCAGCATTCTTGGGTTGATTTTCGATACATGCAAACTGAATTTAATATCTAACTCGTATGTTTTCAACAGTACAATGCTTCTAGTACTTACCAATATCGCTTTTATTGTTCTTTTGTAATATAAAGTGTCTGGTGAAAATTTTATATCAAACTGTCGAGGTAAGCTTTGATTTCTTGCATTTTGAAATCTTGTGAGACTTGAATCAAAATGTGGAGTGATATTTTCTTTGAAGCAATATTGGCAAGAACTAGAAGCATTGTGCTGTTAATAAGTTAGGAGTTTGACATTTAATTCAATTTGCAGGCATCGAAAATTGAGTTCAGTTTGGGGCACTGAAATTTCCACTTTTCGTAATGGCACCTGGCACATCAGGTATCAAAATTGTGAAAAACACCTGGAAAATGTCAGATATTTCGCACTAAGAACAAACCAGCATTGTGGTGACAATTTTTTGCTTTTTTTTTTTTATACATGTATATACTTTGCACTGTGTCTTTTGAGAAGAAAATAAATTGGCATGGTAGTTGTGATGAGAAGACAAAACCTGTTCATTGACACCCCCCCCCCCCTAAAAAAATGAGAGAAAAAAGAATAGGGGGAAAGACAATAACAATTGCCTTGTTTCTTGTTCACAGTGAAGTCACTGTAGTTTGTTCAGACTTTGACTCTTTTTTTCAGATGCAGTTAGATGTGTCAGCACCACTTCTTCTCTACAGTCTCCCCGTAAGTCATATTTTTAATTGGAATGCCTTTAGTTAATTAAATTGGAAAGTATTTCTGTGTGTGTTAATCCTTTGATGAATTGAGACCTTTTATGTTATCCTGAATTATAATTTTAATGGGGATTGGGTACAAATTAAACAGATTTTGATTTGGGGATAATAAAGACCCAAAACCTCGTATTTTCTTCTTTTAAAATTAAAATTGCCTGCAGTGATACTGTATTTTTGTATTTTTTTTTCTGGGAAAAATCTATGATGATACCAGGGCCAGAACTTTTGAAATCTCTTTTAATCATCTGTGCTTTTGATACTTATCATGACTCACATAAAACCCTGACCTTTGACTTCCAAGTCAATTTCTTAGTCTTTTTGCAAGGAAGCTAGTCAGGGCCATTACTTTTTTTCTTATCTTTGAACTTGGGCTTATGATATTTTTGTGTACAATCTTAAATTTATAATACAATATATGCCAGGACCTACATTTAAATTAACCTCTGACAGCGAAGTCACAGTAAATTTGTCATTTTTTAAGGCAAGAAAGCTTGTAGGGTTATTCCTTCTGTTTATCTTTTGGCTTAGGTTTACAGTGTACAACAGTGTATTTGACTTAGGTGTATCATTATTCAGATCTGATGTGATACTTGGCAGACAAAATTGTATACCCCACTGAGCTACCAAGAAAGCCATTGAAAATGCTACTGCCACTTTGTAATTCTCTAGAGTGCATCCGTTATCATTGTTTTCCTCATATACTAGTTTGTCCAAAACTTGATGAAGTCAACAATATTTTTTTATTGGCAAGCACAGTTGTCCAGATTTATGATATTTAATTCTGAATTTCATCTTAAAAAAAAAATTATGTGTCTTTGTCATTGTGACTTCCATTTAAATGGTTTGATAAATTAGAAGAAGGGGGCTAAGTGTATTAATATTACATTTTGTTGTATTTGTTCATTATTGTTACTTGTCAGTTTTTGTCATGTTCAATAGGTAAGATTTATATTTTTAAATAAAGGAAACAGGTTTGAATATTTTCTGCTGTACTTTTTTAGGGAGACCTAAAACTGGAGGGAGAAACATTGTCCTTATAGATGGAGTCCGTACACCTTTCCTCCAGTCCAGTACCACCTACAAAAACCTGATGCCTCATGATCTAGCCAGAACAGCTCTCAAGTTAGTACATGTAATTATGTCTGTTCAAGAAATTTCACTGAAAACAAAAATTAAAACTTTGTTACCTTTTTTGGAAAAGAAAATATCCTTTCAAATCAAGGTTTATCTAAAACTTATAGCAAATGGTGACATAGGTATGTAATTCCTTTGTTATATGTATATGCATAATGTTTTGGAATGAAATTTTGAAGAAAAAAATGATTGTTTTAACCATGCCCACTACAAGCAAGTTTTACATTATTTATTTTAAATCTGTTTTACCTATTAATTACGTGCACACACTAAGTTTATTGCAACAAAGAAAGGTTTCACACTATCTTTTTCAGAGGTTTACTGAAAAGAACAGCTGTTAACACAAGTAAGTTTATATCTATCTTTGATGAATGATATTAGGCCTATCAGAGTCAAAAAAAGTTAATTTTAACATTTTGGTACTTAATTAGTAATGGAGATTTTATGAATTGTAGACAAACACATAGATAAATTCTGTATTTATCATTTTGAATGTGTTGTTACATGTAGATAAATTCTATATTTATCATTATGAATTGTGTGGTTACACATACTAGATAAATTCTATATTTATCATAATGAACTGTGTGGTTACATGTAGATAAATTCTATATTTATCATTATGAATTGTGTGGTTACATGTAGATAAATTCTGTATGTATCATTATGAATTGTGTTGTTACATGTAGATAAATTCTATATTTATCATTATGAATTGTGTGGTTACATGTAGATAAATTCTGTATTTATCATTATGAATTGTGTGGTTACATGTAGATAAATTCTGTATTTATCATTATGAATTGTGTGGTTACATGTAGATAAATTCTATATTTATCATTATGAATTGTGTTGTTACATGTAGATAAATTCTATAATTATCATAATGAACTGTGTTGTTACATGTAGATAAATTCTGTATTTATCATTATGAATTGTGTTGTTACATGTAGATAAATTCTGTATTTATCATTGTGAATTGTGTTGTTACATGTAGATAAATTCTATATTTATCATTATGAATTGTGTTGTTACATGTAGATAAATTCTATAATTATCATTATAAACTGTGTTGTTACCTGTAGATAAATTCTATATTTATCATTATGAATTGTGTTGTTACATGTAGATAAATTCTGTACTTATCATTATGAACTGTGTTTTACATGTAGATAAATTCTGTATTTATCATTATGAATTGTGTTGTTACAGCTGATATTGAGTATGTAGTGATTGGAACGGTCATTCAGGAAGTCAACACCAGCAACATAGCTAGGGAGGTCTGTTCCAGTACAATTCTTCCATCAAATATTTGTATTAAGTAGATATTGTGGCTATTTTCATGAATGAAAGACATAGAATCTGTTTACAGTTCCCTCAGTACATGATATTTATTGGTTTTGATTACAGGCCTCTCTGGGGGCAGGATTTTCACAGAGGACACCAGCTCATACAGTGACCCAAGCCTGCATTTCTTCCAATCAAGCTATATCTACAGGCATGTAAACTAGGTTACTTTTAAAAATATACTGTACATATATATCATTGTACAGTCACTGTCTACCAGTTTGTAATCAGTGATTGTTGTTTTCTGTACATACATGTACATGTACATTTCAGATGATGCAAAATGTGCCATTACTGAACAGTTTTGTAGTGCATTTGACCAGACTATTTTTTAGGTCACCTGAGTCACTCAGGTGACCTATTGCTATCTGTTTTCATCCGTCAGTCGTAAACTTTTGAACATTTTCAGCTTCTTCTTTTGAACCACTGAACCAATTTCAACCAATTTTGGCATATAGCATCAATGGGTGAAGGGGTACAAAAATTGTGAATTTCATGGTCCCTGCCCACCTGGGGCCTGAGGGGTGGGGCTAAAACCATCAAAATTAGTGCTATCTTTAAAAATCTTCTTCTTTACTCCTGGACATCAAGCAGTCAAACTGTTGGCATGATTGTAATTAGCATTGAGCCCTCTACCAAAATTGTGAAATTCATGGCCCCAGGGTCAGGGGTTCTGGTGCTAGGGCGGGGCTATATAGATCATATAGTGAAAGTGCATTATTTCTTTGAAAATCTTCTTCTCTGCTCCTGGGTATTATTGAAACAAGCTGAATACATAGTTGTGATAAGCAAGGGTGATACTACCAAAATTGTGAAATTCATGGCCCCAGGGTCAGGGGTTCTGGTGCTAGGGTGGGGCTATATAGATCATGTAGTGAAAGTGCATTATTTCTTTGAAAATCTTCTTCTCTACTCTTGGGTATTATTTAAACAAATTAAATACATAGTTATGATAAGCAAGAATGACTCTACCAAAATTGTGAAATTCATAGCCCCAGGGTCAGGGGTTCTGGTGCTAGGGTGGGGCTATATGGATCATATAGTGAAAATGCATTATTTCTTTGAAAATCTTCTTCTCTACTCTTGGGTATTATTTAAACAAATTAAATACATTGTTATGATAAACAAGAGTGACTCTACCAAAACTGTGAAATTCATAGCCCCAGGGTCAGGGGTTCTGGTGCTAGGGTGGGGCTATATAGGTCATATAGTGAAAATGCATTATTTCTTTGAAAATCTTCTTCTCTACTCCTGGGTATTATTTAAACAAATTAAATATATATTTATGATAAGCAAGAATGACTCTGCCAAAATTGTGAAACTCATGGCCCCAGGGTCAGGGGTTCTGGTGCTAGGGTGGGGCTATGTAGATCATATAGTGAAAGTGCATTATTTCTTTGAAAATCTTCTTCTCTACTCCTGGGTATTATTTAAACAAATTAAATACATAATTATGATAAGCAAGAGTGCCTCTTCCAAAATTGTGAAATTCATGGCCCCAGGATCAAGGTTTCTGGTGCTAGGGTGGGGCTATATAGATCTTATAGTGAAAGTGCATTATTTCTTTGAAAATTCTCTTCTCTACTCTTGGGTATTATTTAAACAAATTAAATACATAGTTATGATAAGCAAGGATGCCTCTTCCAAAATTAAGAATTTCATGGCCCCTGGATCAGGAGTTCTGGTGTTAGGGCGGGGCTCTATTTATTATAGAGTGAAAATGCATTTATGTTTAAAAATCTTCTTCTCTGCTCCTGGGTATTATTTAAACAAACTAAGTAAATTGTTATGATGAGCAAGGATGCCTCTTCCAAAATTGTGAAATTCATGGCCCAAGGATCAGGGTTTCTGGTGTTAGGGTGGGGCTATATAGATCCTATAGTGAAGGTGAATTATTTATTTGATAATCTTCTTCTCTGCCCCTGGGTATTATTTTAACAAATTAAGTACATTGTTATGATACACAAGGATGCCTCTTCAAAAATTGTGAATTTCATGGCCCCAGGGTCAAGGGTTCTGGTGAAAAAAAGGGGGGGGGGGCTCTATTGATTATATAGTGAAAAAGCAAAATTTCCTTGAAAATATTCTTTTCTTCTCCTGGTTAAAAAGCAAAGAAGCTAAATGTATAGTTATGATGAGCAAGAATGCTTCTTCCAGAGTAGTGAATTGCATGACCCCTGGGTCAGATGTGCTGGTGTAAGGGTGGGGCTCTTGATAATATAGTGAAAATGCATTAATTCTATTAAATAATCCTGTCTGCTCTTAGTGTTAAGCAGATAAACAAAGTGATTACTTATGATGGGCAAACTTCTGGTCCCAGGGTGAGAGGCTCTGGTGTTTCTCGCTGGGGGAGGGGGGGGGGGGGCTCTATTGATAAGTTTGTTAATATACTGTATGGTGATAGTGATAAATGGGGAACAGATTAGAACCTAATTTATGAACTGTTAATTAATACTAGATTAATTATTTTGTTGATCCTGATCACCCTATTTTTCTTGCTTTTGGGTAACAAAGCTTCACCTTTCAGTTCATTTTATACTCTATGGATCCTCTAAATTGTTGCATTATACTCAGGTGACTGTTAAGGCCCTTGGGCCTCTTGTTTAAATTTAACAAACATTGTATTGTATATCTTATCAATCTTTTGCTATGGCACTGTAAATGCTGACAAAATGTCAATAAATAAGTGATAGTTTATTTCCTGATTTAAGGTGTTGGAATGATTGCCTCAGGACAGATGGATGCAGTGATAGCAGGAGGGGTGGAGTTTATGTCAGATGTACCGATCAGATGGGGGAGGAAGCTTAGGCAAATGGCTCTAAAAATGAACAGAACAAAGGGGGCCCAGGCTCAGCTGTCCCTCCTCATCAGAACACTGGCCACCAAACCCAATCTTCTGGAGGTTTGTAATACTCAGTCTTGTGGAATTTGTAATACTCTATCTTCTGGAGGTTTGTAATACCCCGTCTTCTGGAGGTTTGTAATATCCAATCTTCTGGAGGTTTGTAATTCTCTATCTTCTGGAGGTTTGTAATATCCAATCTTCTGGAATCCTTTTAAAAATGTTGTAGATTCCAATGTGTAAGTGGTCAAAATTCACAAAATTTATTTCATTTGAGAATCCATTTTATTTCATAGTTTATTTTTAATCAACAGTTTGTAACTGCCATTTTGTAGATTCCTGCTGTGGCTGAGTTCTCCACGGGTGAAGTCATGGGCCACTCAGCTGACAGACTATGCGCTGCCTTTGGAATCAGCAGAATTGAACAGGTTTGATCAGAAAATAATATACCACAGAATGCATTTGCAAAATTTCATACATATCTCTAGTAATTCACTTTATATACCATTATTATTAGGATGAGTATGCCTTGAGATCACACACCAAAGCTCACTGGGCATCAGAAAAAGGCCTGTTGTCTGATGTTATACCATACAAAGTGCCAGGTAATGGGATGCCAAACTGTTCAAAACATGTAATATGAAGTAGAAATTCATGTACATCACCATAAGAACATTATTAATACTGTTGAGCTATTTGGAGAAATATTCTGACTTGCTGGATGCTTTGCACGTAAAGGAAAGCGTTTCTAGTTCAGTGTGTTACAGTTTGATTATCAATATTGACAGGTGTTGCTGAAACAGTAGTAAAAGATAATGGCATCAGACCCTCATCAGTGGAGCAGATGAGTAAACTAAAGGCAGCTTTCATCAAGCCCCACGGAACAATTACAGCAGCCAATTCCTCCTTCCTGGTAAGTTTACAGGGCACCTGTCAACAGTGGCTCTTACCAAATACAGTTATGTTGGTTATATACAAATTAGTTTAAATTGAGCATAAAGAAGTGTCAAGAAATTTGATAGTACCGGTAATTACATGTGTAAGAGCCCAAGAGAGAACCATCAGCAAACTTCTGTACTGTACACAAGTCCATTTTTTTTCTTTTAACCAGACTGATGGAGCCTCAGCATGTTTGATAATGTCAGAAGAGAAGGCCTTACAGCTGGGATTTAAACCCAAGGCCTATCTTAGAGAGTTTGTATATGTGTCTCAAGACCCTAAAGATCAGCTCTTGCTGGGGTAAGAAACTAGTTTCCTTTCATTGTACAATTTGTTCTAAACAACCACATCCTACCTCAGCAAGAAACTAATTTAGATTGGAAAATACTTTTCTTTAACTAATATTTGATAAAGGATTTTTGGCTGTCATGCAAACAAAGACATGGAAAGTTGAGAAAGTAATATATTTATCAGTGATTCTTGGAAAGAAAATAGTATTATTGTATTATGCTTATTGCATAGATCAAAGAAATCATGTTTTTATGCCCCACCATGAATATGGTTGGGGCATATAGTGTTTGTCATGTCCGCCTTCCATTTTAGCTCTGTTCAAAGCTCAGTTTCAAAGAAACTATCCAAGATATTTTTATAAACTTCATATGCTGATAGATATTGATGAGAGCTATGCAACTGCATCAACATTTTTTGACCTTGACCTTTCATTTGACCTTGACCTCACTTTTCTTAAATTAGTGTTTAGCTCAGTTTTAAAGATACCATTCAAGATAGTGTAATCAAACTTCATAAGTTGATCTATACTGATGTAAGCTATTCAACTGCATCAACATTTTTTGACCTTGAACATTCCTTTGACCTTGACCTCACTTTACTTTAATTAGTGTTTAGCTCAGTTTTAATGAAATCATTCAAGATATTTTTATCAAACTTCATATGCTGATACATACTGATGAGAGCTTTTCAACTGCATCAATATTTTTGACCTTGACCTTTCCTTTGACCTTAACTTAATTTATTTTAAATTAGTGTTTAGCTCAGTTTTAAATAAACCATTCAAAATATTTTTATCAAACTTAAATATGCTGATACGTATTTGTGAGAAGTATTCAACTGCATCAAAACATTTGACCTTGAACTTTCCTGTGATCTTGACCTCACTTTTCTTAGATTTGCATTTTCCTTAATTTTAAAGAAATCATTTAAGATATATTTATGTAAGTTTATGCACATATACATAATTTGGCTAGAATTTATCATCTATATCCAACTTTTTAGATTTCAATTTCAATTTAAAGAAACTATTCAAGATATTCTCATCAAATTTCATACACTAATACAAATTTTCATGTTGCATTGCTAATATACCCTCGGCGGGGCATTCATGTCCTAGGGACATATTTCTAGTTTGAATGTTGTTTGAAATTTAAAAGCCTCCGCCTTAATAATTATTTCCTGACCTCAGAGGTTATACTGTAACATTCATGAAAATGTGTTCTTTATTTCTTGAAGAAATATTAACTGCTAAATTCAAATGATACATGTTCTTTTTCTCCGAGTTTAAAAGAGTACAACAGTTGGAGGTGCTTTATGTGTACTTATTGGTGTGTTTTAAACTGTCACATAAATTTCAGTCCAGCTTATGCAACCCCGAAAGTTTTAGAAAAGGCAGGACTGGCCATGTCTGACATTGATGTGTTTGAGTTCCATGAGGCATTTGCTGTGAGTACACATGAAGTTTACAATGTTCAAGTATATGATATACTTTTTAGCTCACCTCAGCTGAAAGCTCAAGTGAGCTTTTCTGATCACTCATTGTCTGTCCGTCCGTCCGTCTGTCTGTCTGTCTGTCCGTCTGTAAACTTTTCACATTTTCAACTTCTTCTCAAGAACCACTGGGCCAATTTTAAATAAACTTGGTACAAAGCATCCTTGGGTGAAAGGGAGTTTAAATTGTTTAAATAAAGGGCCAAGCCCCCTTTAAAGGGGAGATAATCAAGAAAAGACAAAAATTGGGTGGGGTCATTAAAAAAATCTTCTTCTCAAGAACCACTTGGCCAGAAAAGCTGAAACTTTGGTGGAAGCATCCTGGGGTAGTGTAGATTTCTAGATTGTTCAAATCATAACCCCCGGGGGTAGGGCGGGGCCACAATTGGGAATCCAAGTTTTACATTGAAATTTGTAGTAAAAAGCTTTAAAAATCTTCTTCTCAAGAACCACTGTGCCAGAAAAGCTGAAACTTATGTGGAAGCATTCTGGGGTAGTGTAGATTCTTCTAAATTGTTTGAATCATGACCCCAGGGAGTAGGGCAGGGCCACAATAGGGAATCCAAGTTTTACATTGAAATATGTAGTAAAAATTTTTAAAAATCTTCTTTTCAAGAACCACTGGGCCAGAAAAGCTGAAACTTATGTTGAAGCGTTCTGGGGTAGTGTAGATTCTAAATTGTTTGAATCATGACCCCAGGGAGTAGGGCGGGGCCACAATAGGGAATCCAAGTTTTACATTGAAATATGTAGTAAAATTTTTTAAAAATCTTCTTTTCAAGAACCACCGGGCCAGAAAAGCTGAAACTTATGTTGAAGCGTTCTGGGGTAGTGTAGATTCTAAATTGTTTGAATCATGACCCCAGGGAGTAGGGCGGGGCCACAATAGGGAATCCAAGTTTTACATTGAAATATGTAGTAAAAATTTGTAAAAATCTTCTTTTCAAGAACCACTTGGCCAGAAATGCTGAAACTTAAGTGGCAGCATCTTGTGGTAGTGTAGATTCTGAATTGTTTGAATCAAGACCCCAGGGAGTAGGGCGGGGCCACAAAAGGGAATCCAATTTTCACATTGAAATATGTAGTAAAAATCTTTAAAAATCTTCTCAGGAACCACTGGGCCAGAAAAGCTGAAACTTGAGTGGAAGCATCCTGGGGTAGTGTAGATTCTAATTGTTCAAATCATGACCCCTGGGGATAGGGTTGGGCCACAATAAGTCCTACAAGGGGGAAAATCAGGTGAAAAGGCCAAAGTAACTCAGGTGGGCATTGTGGCCCATGGGCCTCTTGTTTTGTTTTACCTGTGATTTTGTTGCTGGTGTGACACTTGGTATCCTTAGTTCACAGTTTTATTTTACTCTTTTTGACAGGGTCAGATTTTAGCGAACCTGAAGGCCATGGACTCCGACTACTTTGCTAAAAACCACATGAACAGATCTGAAAAGGTGGGTGTAACAATAGAAAAAAAAATTAGTAGTTTAATGCTTGTTTCATCTATTGCTATAGAGTTTTAACTTCGATTAAACTTCAGGTAGGGACCCCAGATCTGTCAAAGTTTAACCTTTGGGGAGGCTCCCTCTCAATTGGTCATCCCTTTGGTGCCACCGGGGTGAGACTGGTCACAACAGCAGCCAATAGACTTATTGATGAGGATGGACAGTTGGCCCTTGTAGCAGCTTGTGCAGCGGGGGGCATAGTAAGTGTGACTCTTATGTACTAGACATTGATGTATAAAGGAATTGGACGAAATTAAAATTTGGGAAATCTGATTACTAGTAATAGTTGCATCTTGGTATAAATTAGTGTTGATGTTACAACCCAGTGCATTTCATAACAAAGATATTCTTATTAAAACTTAAGAATTAAGTGTAAAAAGCATCTCTTTATTTACAGGGGCATGGAATGATTGTAGAAAGATATCCACAAAAGTGAAAATCTCTTTGATCAATGCAGATTGTGATATAAACTCTCATATGTTGGACTTCCTCTGGTGTGTTGTCTAGTGGAAGAACTACAGTGCATAATGTTAGCACTCTATTTGTACAGAATATCATTCTTGTATTTATTTCATTAAACATGACTCCATTCTACTTAGTATGTTCAGTTAAAAATATTTCTCATATTTGCAATGTTCATACATGTATTAAGGGATGTTTCATGGGTCTTATTAAAGCAAATCAATACAATCACTGAGGTACAGTCTCATTTGTAAATATATACATGTATACTAATGATTGCTAACCTTAAAGTATTGCAGAAGCACTTTTTTCTGTGTGGTATTAATTTACACATGTATGCAGTCATAAATTTTCTGCATAAAATTGTCCAAGCTTACTTAAGTACATTTAAGGCATATAGAGGCAATCTAAAAAAATATGCACAATTTTCCATCAGCAGATGGAACAAAAATGATCCCAAAGAAATGGTCATTTTCTATCCATGACTCAGCCTTTATGCATTGTATATTACAAACATGTTTACTCCAGATGTTGTGTAATCTGAAATCTAGTCTATACTGATGAAAACTTTTTGTCCCTTTGGCTAAATTAAATTGTTTAAAATGTTGTCTAATCCGGAATGTTGTTCAATCCAGTCACATTCTATGGAAACAGTAGTGTCCAGATTAGACATGTTTATACAAATATTTTAAATTATAATAATAATTGCTTCAGTCTCCCCCCCCCCCCCCCAAAAAAAAAGATGCTTCAGTTGACATGGATTGACGGTCTTAGGACATACTGTAACATCTAGATAGATGGAAAAGCCCATACCATGATATGGCAAGTCAAAAGACAGGTGTATTATATAAACCAGAAGTCTCTGATGAGACTGTAGCTCTACTGGTCTATACATATAACAAAGGAAAAGTAGCACTTGGATTTGAAACTTCGCAACATGCAGCAATAAATAGAATAATGTATCTTAGTGTAGTCTACTTGTGTGCCAATATATATTGAAATCAGACCAAAACTGTAGGAGGAGTAGCATTTTAAAAGAATTTCACAGAAATTTCTATTTTTAGTAACCATGGCAACACCGTTCATCGAAATCAAAAACTGATGCACTAAATTATGTATCTTAGTGTAGTCTACCTGTGTGCCAAGTTATATTGAAATCAGACCAAAACTGTACGAGGAGTAGCGTTTTAAAGGAATTTCACAGCAATTTCTATTTTTAGTAACCATGGCAACATCGTTCATCGAAATCAAATACTGATGCATTAAATTATGTATCTTAGTGTAGTCTACTTGTGTGCCAAGTTATATTGAAAGCAGACCAAAACTGTAGGAGGAGTAGCATTTTAAAGGAATTTCACATAAATTTCTATTTTTAGTAACCATGGCAACAAAGTTCATCGAAATCAAAATCCGATGCTTTAAATTATGTATCTTAGTGTAGTCTACTTGTGTGCCAAGTTATATTGAAATCAGACCAAAACTGTAGGAGGAGTACTGTTTTGAAAAATTGTTTACAGACAGACGGACAGACAGACAGCTAGACAGACAGATGGACGGACAACGGACACCTTACTATCGCATAAGCTCTTCTGGTCTCTGACCAGTAGAGCTAAAAAAGGTAAGGTAGAGAGGATCCATTACAACCACATCTAGTAACTATGCATTTTAATTTGACAGTCAATTGCAATTAAGAGGGAGACCAGATCTTCCTTAATCCTTCTGCCCAATTTCCAGGAGCTCTAGATAGCCTCTGCTTGGCCAGAGATGCTCTGTTACCTTTAAAATGAAGAAAAGTCATCCAATAACAGGTGCACATCTTTATATAGTGAATAATAAGTGTAAAAATTTTCAGACAAAATCCAAGAAATAGTCTCCAAAAACAGGTCTGCACAAAATCACATCTACAGACAAATGGACAGACAGACGGACATGCCGATTCCAATATACCCCCCCCCCCCCAAAAAAAAACTTCATTTGCGGGAAGTATAACTATATACCATATCAAACTGATTCATCTTGATACATACACTTTACCACTGATGCTAATTACCTCATATATTCAAGAAAAGTTCAATTGCTGATAATTTATTGGTGTAAATACAATAAATAAGAGTTCTGAGCGATGTTCCTGAGACTTGGACCACAACTTCGTGGCTGTGTGCGGAACCAGCATGTTTTTTTCCTTGACATTAAGTCCCTGATGTTAAGTCCTGAATTTCTGTAATATTGTCTATGTATTTGTTAATGGAACATTCAGGCGTATAAATGATGGTCAAATATAACTGAAGGATATTTATGACCCACATTTACGACTTCTTATACACTGGCAACAAAAATATGTTAATTTTTGGGATTACTATGGAGATCTTTCATGCATAATTATTACACATTTTAACAATAAATAGTATAGTACAATACATGTAAGACATCAATGCAAGACCATGCAAATAATTTGTGCAATAAAACCTTCTAAGAAGTACCATAGGAAAAAATTAACATGAACCCAATAAACAAATACAACAATACATAAAAAAATTTATACCAAGATTTAACCTAATACCCCAAAAATACATAAATTAATAAAAATTTATAGGTTTTGATGCTGTATAACATGCTACTGAAGATGAAGTTTTGTTTATCTGCAGTCTAAATTACATATTTCTGTTAAATGTCTTGCTATTTCATATTTACTTCAATTTCCTATGTGGATCCACATACGTAATTCAATTTATCATGTAAATAGCATTTTATAGACGTTAACAGACTTGGTATTCTCGTCCTGATCCATGTAGTACTTAAAAAAAATTAAGTACTTAAAAGTACATGGTAAAGTAAAATGTTACAAACATTTATCATATCATTTACATGTATTTGGATGAAAATTTACACACATTCATGTAAATCAAGAAATGTAAAATATAAACCCAAGAAAAGTGTATAACTCATCACAGTAAAATTAAGTGGAAATGACAATCAACTGAACAGCAAATCTCACATCTAAACAATTGTATATACATGTAGATGTCAACAAGTTAATTCAGTAATAAATACTGCACAAATAATATCCATACAAAAATATAATAAACATATTCAATTGATGCTTTAAATTATTTTCACAGAAAGTACATTAGTTAAATTAAAAGTTAAGCTGGCAAAACTAGGACATGTAAAGGACAATATTAATAATCAAAAGAAGGACAAGCTGTTTCATCTAAATTGTTCATAGAAACTTGAATGCTGAAACATGTATCAGTCAACTTATCAGAATAGCACTGGGATATATTCCTTCTGGGTTTTTTCTTCTGACATACTGATGCAGCTTTTTTCTAATGTCAGGGCTTTTCTTTCCAATATTTACAAATAAAATGTATTCAACAGTCTTGTATGCATAATGACTGTAGTGGATTTACGAAGATTGTTCTGTACAAACAACTTTAAAAAAGTATCCTTTATACTGTATATCAAATGATTATTTCTTACACGATCTGACAAACTGAATACTAAACATCATTGAACAATACATTTGACATAAATCTGACCAGAAATTACAAGTTAACAAGCATTCATACATGGAATGGGGATTGAAATTATCTGCCCCTACTACACGTTTTTATTTTCAGATCTGCTCGTATCAGGATGATGTGACACTGGTTTCTGTTATATTTTGTAATTCCTGAAAATAAACAAAGAACAACGTTTATCATACTTAACTGGTACCCTGACTAACACACAACACACACAGATATATATATATATATATATATATATATATATATATATATATATATATATATATATATATATATATATATATATATATATATATTTCCATTTCTAATTGTTTTCTCTGTGATAACTCTTTGAAAGTTAGTTTAGTTGATTTCTTGATCATTCTACCGGAATGTAAATTTCGCCAAGCGATAGGCAAGGAGCTAAGGAAGCTTAATATGCATGTAAATCTTGTGCGTCCGTCTTAGCATCTGTAAAGATGTAAATCTCGTGTGGCCGTCTTTGTGTTTGACGTCAGTGGGAGGGTACTATTGAAATTGACATGGGAGGCCTTGTGTTATTTAAATCTATTAGTCTACATTTTTAAAATCTAAATTTACAATTTTATTTCATAATGGAATAGAAATATAAGGAATCGCTAGTATGCCAGGGACATCAACAATAGTTGGAAATGTGGGATAATTTATGCATAACGGGCGTAGCCAGTATATGGAATCTCATTCATGTCACCCATCGCATACTAAATGTAATATTCCATACAACATAGCAAGACGCATATGCACAATAGTAACTGATACATCTTTAAGGTCGAAAAGGTTGGAAGAATTTAAATCATATCTCAAAAAACAACATTATCTGGAGAATCTTATAAATGCCGGAACTGAAAAGGCAAAAAGCATTCCTACTTCTTTACTAAGGAACAATTGCCGCAAGGATAATAGTGAAAAAAGCAACATCCCTTTTGTTGTAACGCACAATCCATGCAACCACAATATTTTGAAAACAGCCAGGAGATTTTTTCCCATTTTAGAACAGTCTCAAAATTTAAAAGATGTTATCAAGGAGTCACAAATAATTAACAGCAGGAGACAGGCACCCAATCTAAAGAAAATCCTAACCAGAGCAAGATTTGCATCGGACAATGCCAAAGTCGTCAAAAAGTGCCGTGACCCACGCTGTGGAACATGTGAATATCTGGAGGAGGGCAGTGAAAAAACTCTGAAATGTTGTAAAAAATAACACCAAATGCCAACATGACCAGTAGGTCAGAAAATGTTATTTATTGCATAACCTGTCCAACCTGTGATGAATACTACACAGGACAAACAAGCAAACTGAACGCACGTGTGCGAGTCCATAAACAACAAATTCAGGACCCTGACATAAGAAATACGCTGTGCAGTGAGCACTTTGCTATTCGATCGTCGGTCCATTCAACTGATAGTCGAATAGTCGACTATTCGTTGACATCCCTAATATATATATTATACAATTAATTACCCATTATGAGGTCAACATGGTGAAATAAGGACCTGAGACCTGGCCCACGAGGTGACCTGACCTGACCGAGGCCGCGTAGCAGCTGAGGTCAGGTCAGGTCAGCGAGTGGGCCAGGTCAAGGGTCCTTATTTCACCATGTTGAACTCATAATGGGTAATCAATTGTTTTATTATACCGATATAAGTTAAGACAATTAATTTTGTAGGCTTAATTACTAAAATAATCAATTTTGCATATGACCTACGAACTGTTATTATCAGTGTTCCATCGGGATCGGGATTCGTTATTGACGTTGTTTACTTTTCGCCTGCAAGTCTTGTAAGTTTTTGCACCGCCGATTTATTAAAACACTCTGTGATTGTCAGTAACATGCATTTTTATAAATTCACAAATACCATTCCCGAGTACAATGACAATCTGGTGCAGACTTTTACTGTACAAAAGAGCCGAGTCTGCATTCGTTGAATTGACATTGTAATGAAAGTTTCAATGAAAACGATAAATTTTATGACGCATCTTAAGGCCAATCGTATTCCGTATCATAAAAAGACTGTACAAATTTTTATAACAGCATTTTTTGTAATGAACAATCATTAATGTATGCATAAATTTTTAATTTGAATGTAATTTAGATTAACAGGTCATTTTTAGCGGTCATTATTTATAATGACCGGGTCATTATACCCCACGTGCAAAGATTCCTAAGTCATTATTGCTGTAAACAGTACTTTTTGGAGTCTAACAAGCCAATCAAATTTGAGTATTCTAAATAGAGGTATAATAAATATATATAAAGCACTAAAAATGACCAACGACACAAACAATAATAACTGTCAAATTTTTGGGACGACCTGTCCCTTCCTCAGAACAAAGAAAAAAGTTAAGAAGTCATAAAAACAAAGGAAATAGAGAAACAAAAACAACTAGCACTACTATTAAACTACCAAACACTAAATATTTACAGTGTTACATGTTTAATTTGAAGTTTATAAACAGTTGTGAACAAAGAAATCCGGAGCGCTATGAATTGCGTCCGGTCTATCGGGTGTACTCTCGTGAAGTGCGATTTACATAATTGAACGAATTAATTATCTAATTAATTACGACCAAGCAGTAAATCATACATTGTCTTATTCTCTCAAAATAGCGTAACTATACATGATAAAAAGAAATTAAAGAAAGATAATATGGAAGGGCAATTTTAAAATATGAATTTGGATATATTATAAATTTGGTAATCTGATAAAAGAAATAAACAAAAATGTAAGCTGTAAATATTTGGGTAGGTTGTTCCAGAGTTGCTAATGCCAATTAACAGTAAAGTTTACACATTCATCATGGTGAAGTCATTAAGTTTGTTAATACCATTAGGGCGGAATGACTTCAGCCTGTGCATCCAGAACTTTTCCGACACTTAGGATATACAGTGTTGTTGGTTTTTAGTGCTTATATATATATATATATATATATATATATATATATATATATATATATATATATATATATATATATATATATATATATATATATACTGGCAAACCAAAATTGAAGACAAACTATTACAGAGGATTTTGTTCATGATTACATAATGCAGGTGGAATTGAAATGACGGGTAATATTTATTTCAATATAGTCTTTGTGTACCAAGTTTTATTCAATTCTAGCCAACTGTAAAAGTAACTTTACAGTTTATCAAGTATAAATTTTAGAAACCATGGCAACATAAATCATAATAATTAAAAACAAAGTTACACTTTTATGAAATCTTTGTGCATCAAGTTTCACTGAAATTTGACAAATACTTTAAGATAGGTAGAATTTTGAAAAAAATAACAGCCAACATACTCTACCAATGCTCGAGCTCTTGGTGTTCTGACTTTACTTATTCTGCATAAATTTGCATAAACTTTCCAAATTAAGTCTACCAGTTAGTTTTATTCACTTAAAAAAAATCTGACAAACCATAATAGCACTTCAATATCATTAGATTAGTTAGTTGAATACTCACAACTAAATATTTAGATAGCCAGTTCACTAAAAATCTTACCTGCACTAAAGCAACTTTATCATGATTGTCTCTGTGTCGTACAATACACTGAGTGAACACACTGTAAAGTTTCTGTAGTCTCTCCACATTAAATCCTTCTGTACTAGCCACCACCCTCTCCAACAGCTGTTCCAGAGCCTCTCTATTTATCACCACCTTGGTCAACTTGTCTGGTTCCGTTTCAGGTATCAATACAGGGGGCTCTGCAAAACAGAAAATTGTATTAATGAAATATAAATCTGCCAGTGGTAGTGAACATCATGTGTAATTTTACTCACAAAATTTAAGAACATTTTTACACTAGAAGTGTCCATGGATGCAAGTCACACAGAAGCCACACACTTTGACCCATGATCTCAAATCCACTGAGCCCACCCAAGGCTAAATTATAAAATTGTAATTCAACCCACTCCTCTCAAGTTATTGCAAAGAAACCAAAGCTGTATAGAAGTCTAACTAGCTAGTAGACAAGGGTAACCCTATATGCTTCCCATTTCAAGGGGAGGGGGGGGGGGGGGGCTAAAATATTACCACCTTTTAATTTTCATGACCAAGCAGATGCAAGTTTACTGTACATGTCATAACTACCATAATGTAATAAGTATTTTTTAAAAAGCTCTTTCTGCATTAAAATTGATGTCAGGAACACATACTCATACTTAAAACTTATACCTTTCTCTGGAGGAGTTTCTATATTATCCAAAGAGATCAATTTCTGTTTTGCCAGCTGTTTTGCCTGTTCCACACTGTCTACAGAATCACCATTACTATCTACAGCACTGCTGATTCCACTGTCTACCTCTATGGCTGAAGGTTTGAGAGTATCTGTGTTTGGGGGCAGGTCCTCCTTGGCCTTTTCAATGTCCTCCTTTTTGTCTGAGACAGTAGTCAGTATTCTGGGAGATAAAGCCTTCACTTGTCTGCTCGACGGTGACATGTGAGCATGGACCGAGGGTGATTTGGAACTTTTGGGGGTTTTGCTATTCTCAAGTTCTGTGACATCCACTTGCAGGGTTTCTAAATGTGGAAGTGGACTTTTTTGTGTACTGTTCTTCATCACAAATTTTTTGTTCAGTTGTGCTTTGACAGAGGGAAGGGAATATCTACCAAACCTTTTGAACCTTCTTCTCTTTGTGTAACTCCAAACCTCTTTCCTCTTTGGTTTTTTGGGAGACACAGTGAATGCTCTCTGAGTGAACAGAGCTGTTTTTGTTTTCTTTTTTGGAGAAGTTGTGTTTCTGATTTCCATGGACTCCTCTTTTGAGGAGCCCTCCCCCATCCCTTGTTCTCCCTCTTGCTCTTGATTTTTGACTGGAGACCGTTTCCTCTTTTCCTCGGACCACTTCTTTTCTACCTGATCTAGATCCTGATGATTCTCAATGTCTAGACCTCTAACACGACGACTGAACCTCTCTTGATTTGTCATCATAGATTTGGTCATATAAAAGGCAGGAACATCACCGGTTTCAGCATCTCCTTTAATCAACCAAATAAACATAAACTTGCTTTATAATAATTATAGCATTTTTTGTTAAAAATACATAATTGAAATATTTTGATATGTCTGCATTTTATAAAGTTTTAATTTGTGTGGACTCATGCATTACCTCTTCTTTTCCTTGATTCAACAATGTCTTCACACTGTTTTTCAAACTCAGGATCCAGTTCTGTATCAATAATGGCATGGAATGTGTCTCTCAGAGCACAGGCCCTATGACGAATGGCTCGACCTGTAGTAGATCAAAACTTTGCAGTTTTAGAATATTACCTCTCCATCCAAAGGCCTCTTTAAAAACTACCAGTATACTAGTTGATGGGGTATTATAGTAGTGTACTTAGTTTTCTTTCTATTTTAAGCAGCATAATTTTCATTTACGTAAAAGTGTGATTTTAAAAGCCTTTGAATCATATGTCTGTTAATGTATAGAATCTTACTAGCTGTGTCCCTGTTTGGGTTGTATTCCAGTGCATTACTACAAATCAAGTCAACATCCTCCAGGAACTCCTTGCCAGTCTGATACTGGTGCATATCAATCTTGGACATCATGGTGGACAGATCCATTGGTTTAGAGATTACATCATAGTAGTCAGGCACCTAAATACATAAACATAGGTAATCAAAGATTACGAAGCTCACCTCGACGAATGTTATCTACATGTAAGGCAAATTTCACATCATATTTTTTTCTAGTTAGGGTACATCCCAAGATCAATATCCATGCAAGTTTGATTTAATTATAGATCTGCTCAAAAAACTTTTGACCTGTTTAGTAATCAAGAAAATTTTGGTCAGTTCCAACATCCAAAGCAAGTCTGGAAGTTTTCATCCTTAGATGCACCATCTATGCAAGTTTAATCATAACAGGCCATAATATTATATAGCTACTCCAAAAAATTACCCTGGTCACTCATCTGGAAAATGTACGTCAGATTCAGAATCCAAGGCAAGTCTGGAAGTATCCATCCCTAGATACATCATCCATGCTAATTTGGTTAAAATATGGCTAAAATTCACTCATGTGGAAAATCTAGGTCAGATCCAGCATTCGAAGCAGTTGGTTAGTGTACATCCCTAGATGCATCATCCATGCAAGTTTGGTCCAGGTAGGGCTTATAGTTACTTGGGAACGAGACTACTCCTAAATCTAAACCTGGTCTCACATGTGGAAAATCTAGGTCAGATCCAGCTTCCGAAGCAAGTGTGGTAGTGTCCATCCCTGGATGCATCATCCATGCAAGTTTGGTCCAGGTAGGGCTTACAGTTACTTGGGAATGGACCTGCTCCTAAAACTTTAACCTGGTACACATCTGGAAAATCTACATCAGATCCAGCATCCGAACTAAGTGTGGCCATGTTCATCCCTAGATGCATCATCCATGCAAGTTTGGTCCAGGTAGGGCTTATAGTTACTTGGGAATGGACCTGCTCCTAAAACTTTAACCTGGTCACTCATCCGGAAAATCTAGGTCAGATCCAGCATCCGAAGCAAGTGTGGTAGTGTCCATCCCTAGATGCATCATCCATGCAAGTTTGGTCCAGGTAGGGCTTATAGTTACTTGGGAATGGACCTGCTCCTAAAACTTTAACCTGGTCACTCATCCGGAAAATCTACATCAGATCCAGCATCCGAAGCAAGTGTGGTAGTGTCCATCCCTAGATGCATCATCCATGCAAGTTTGGTCCAGGTAGGGCTTATAGTTACTTGGGAATGGACCTGCTCCTAAAACTTTAACCTGGTCACTCATCTGGAAAATCTAGGTCAGATCCAGCATCCGAAGCAAGTGTGGTAGTGTCCATCCCTAGATGCATCATCCATGCAAGTTTGGTCAAGGTAGGGCTGATAGTTACTTGGGAATGGACCTGCTCCTAAAACTTTAACCTGGTCACTCATCCGGTAAATCTAGGTCAAATCCAGCATCCGAAGCAAGTGTGGTAGTGTCCATCCCTAGATGCATCATCCATGCAAGTTTGGTCCAGGTAGGGCTTGTAGTTACTTGGGAATGGACCTGCTCCTAAAACTTTAACCTGGTCACTCATCCGGAAAATTTACATCAGATCCAGCATCCGAAACAAGTGTAGTAGTGTCCATCCCTAGATGCATCATCCATGCAAGTTTGGTCCAGGTAGGGCTTATAGTTACTTGGGAATGGACCTGCTCCTAAAACTTTAACCTGGTCACTCATCTGGAAAATCTAGGTCAGATCCAGCATCCGAAGCAAGTGTGGTAGTGTCCATCCCTAGATGCATCATCCATGCAAGTTTGGTCCAGGTAGGGCTTATAGTTACTTGGGAATGGGACTTGCTCCTAAAACTTTAACCTGGGACGCCGACGCTAACGCCGACGCCGGGGGTATAGCATAAGCTCATCTCGACTTCGTCGAGGTGAGCTAAAAAGTAAGAGCTTCTTTCAATTGTCCCTTGGTAAGGTTTATGTATTATGATATTAAGCAGATAATACTATATTATTAAATATACTGTGAAATCACTAATTTTTGTGGAAGTATGATTTTCATTGTTTTCATGATATGAAGAGACTCATAAATACATGTACATGATAAATTTCAAATATATAACAACTCAGCACTTCTGTACAAATGAAATCAAATCCCCATGAATTAATCAGTTTTCCTTGAACCTCGAAAATTTGACCCCACAAAGATAATATTACAGAAGATAAGCCTCATTTTGATTCAAAATTTATGTTTTAATAGTATAATGTCTGCAAATAAATACAATAAGAATAAGCTAATTCTTAGACTGCATGTAAATACCTACCTCTTCTATATCCACAGGTCGAGCAAAGATGTAGAATTTTCTGTCTTTGACTACTTTGTTGATAACCTCTCTAAGGAATATACGTAACTCTCTAAGTGTACTCTCTTCCTTGTCCCTCAGAGCCTTCAGCTCTTTGTCCGTCAGTTTTCTGGGAGGAGGGAGAGGTGCTTTGGGTAGAACTTCTAAATCCCTTACTACAATATTAATCAGCAATCAAATAAAACAATGGTTGGTGTGTGGAATTGAATCAAAACTTTGTAATTTAACAGAAGAGCGAGGCAAGTATTACAGTACCAATATTTATCATTGAAAATTGATCACTTTTGAGTTTGAAGTAGAATCACTAAATTTTTTTATTGCTTAAAGATCAATGTTATCTTTCACTGCAGTGCTATCATCTTTCTTTTAAATGCACTGAATACTACAAATATGTCAGATTGAAATTTTATGATCCTTTTTTTTCCTGAAAAATCGAATTTGACAAATAGAATTTTTTTGAAAAAATGTGGCCAGCTCATAAGAATGTCAATACAGACTTGTAATAATTACAAACAAATATCAAACCATTAACATTAATAACATCCAACATCTCACCCTTCTTTTTCTTTTTTACACCTAGACAAAAAACTTCCAGGTACAGCTTCTGTTTTTAGTCCTACTTTTTTATTATTGAATCTCAATTTGTTCAACATCATTAAAACAATTAACAGACCATTTATAATATAAATGTATTATGTTTGATTCTTCATGTGTTTTTCTAATAACTTTGAATCAGCAAAATCATTATTTAAAATGTATTAAGATATACTCAAAATTGCATTACTTAAATTTGCCTTCAATTATTCTGATTAAATACATGTAGTTCTTTTCTAAGTAAATGACACATATAGTTACTGGACCTTTATTTTTCTTGGCAGTCTTTATCTTTGTGGTTTGATTGAGCAGCAGATCTTGGAAGAATTCTCTCCTCTCTTCTGCAGTTGGATTACTGACATTAATCACTTCACTGCTGTGCTGTCCAAATATACCCTTAACCTACAAAATAGACCAGGGTTTCTCAATTTTGTGCTCTGCATACAGTAAAAAGACAAGATGAGTGGAATACAAAGAATACCACCTTCAAAATCTGCCATTTTAAGACTAGCATAAATTCTCATGTAAGTTAATATTAATGATAAGTCAACAAAGACTCTACATACCCAGGGATCAAGCTGTTTGAGAGGTTCTTCACTTGTGGCCAGGAGTAGGATAGCAGATGAAGGGTCCAGATTTTGGATGGTGGTAAGCAATGTTGTTTTCATGGACTCAGACAAGACATCCCACCACTGATTGATACGAGGCATATAAACAATACATGGGGAGGTTCTCATCGCCTCACGGAATACCTATAAAAAACAAATCACCAGAATCTGTTATTGGGGTGAAACAGAAAATAAGTCATCAATTCACACATTAACTTCCATACCAAACCCTGATATGTAATGAATACCCATGTGACAGTATACTGTCATCTTCAAAACTGAAGAAAAACATTGGACCTCAGGTCTTGACCAACATCTTATGGGGTAAGACAGCCAAAAATCTCTGATGAGACTATAGCTCTACCCATTTTTATTAAAATTGGGGAAAAGTTGCATCTTACTTACACCATTCACTTCAGTTTATCATTTAGTAAATTATAGTATATTATAATTAGTAGTATAATACTAGTAAACTAGATATATATATCATGTTCTCTAAACTTGTACCAAATTGTTTTGAAATCAAACCAAAACTGTAAGAAGTAGTAGTATTTTGAATTTTTGAGATAATTCTACATGTATTTAGGTAACCATTGCAACACTTCTAACCCGAATCTAAAGCCACTTGTTGAAATACCAAGTTTTAATGAAATTAGACCAAAACTGTTGGAAAAGCGGTGTTTTCTGTGAATTTCACATATTACTGATTTTAAGGAATCAGGCAAAACTATTTACTGAAATCAAAAAATCGATAAGCAGAAGTGTGTACTTTGAATTAGTATATTTGTTCCACATTTTATTGAAACTAGACCAAAACTCTTGGAGGAATAGCATTTTGGATGGATTTCACACATTATAATCTACAGTCAAACTTGTCATGGTGGTCACCTTTATCCAGCGGTCACCTGTCCTATGCAGTCATTTTATTTCCTCCCGATGAATTTTCCTATATAATGTAACTCTATTAAGCGGTCACCTGCGTAACGCGGTCAGCAGTCATCAAACTTTATTTAAAATCGCCGTTTTACCTTGTATATAGCGGCCATTTTGTCCAATCACTTGATCAGATCTAGAGTCAGTTGACCCCCAATTTTTGTCACTAATGTAAATATTAGTCTAGTATGGCGAGATCATGGAAAAATAATTAGCCTAATTAAAACCGTTTAAAATATTGGATAATATATTTTTGTTTAAAGAAAACTCAAACAAGGGTGTTAATGACCAAAATGGTTATCAGGAAAACGAACTTATGAAAATCTTACATTATGGAATTGGAATCTGGTTTAAAAAATTCTGAGTGATATTAAAAAAAAACAATGCATCCTAATTTATCTATTAATGGGTAAAATATTTAGGTGTTTCCTAATTATTAGTTCACATTTGGCATGCCCAACTCCGATAGGTGTTATTGTGTAAACTCATGGCAGGCATTTTTTAACACCTAGGAAACGTATTATTTGTAGAAACCCTAAAACTGTTTTGTATACACAATGTGTCCTGATTATCTCATGATTTTCAACTAGGTAAGACGACCGTTAGGATTAGTCACGCTTTGTGAATTTGATATTAATTTGTATTGTGCACTGCTTTGATCAACTGAGAGTATATGACTTGTCTGTTTATTACGCAATGATTTATGTATTTTTAAACATACAATTGTTAATTTTACGTAACTAAACATGTTTTTTTAAAGATGCCGTTTAGATAAAAATACATTATGTTTAATTCATGGCATTGCATGATAATTTCTTATAATAAAAGAAAGTTTTGTTATTGTTTGGATGGAGGATAATGCAATGCCCTATTAAACTCATATATTTTTTTTGTCATCAAATTTAGCTTGAACTTAATCTGGAGACTATTAAAATTTATTTTTAAAAAAAACTTAGTGAGACCATTGATGTCCAATACACATCCTTCTTTAATATTCTATGATGTAGTATTGTAAAACACCGAACTAACATAAATTGGAAAAGAATTTTCTTGAAAAAGATGAACCTCTCTTCAAAGATCACCTCTCTATAAAGGTCACTTTAATGATTCCCAAAGGTGACTGCTTAATACAGGTTTGACTGTATTCTGAGCAAACAACAAAACCATTCATCAAAATTCAAAAAGCAATATAGGCATTATGTAGTCTTAATGTAATACATTTACACTATCAATTGCCCACATCTGAACTCTATAAACTTACATGAGCACAAGCTTCCTCGGGGGTCCTGGAGGAGATACAGAACATAGTGGCCAGATCCAGCAGGTGAACTGACAGGTGTTCCATATGATGTAGCAGAGAAGGACCCAGGTGAGTGGTCTGTCCCCTACCAGCCGGTCCCTCCAGAATCAAACGGGGTCTGTACAAGCACGGCTTCCTGCTAGAATAACTGTTAAAAAAGTTAAAAGAGAGGATAACAAACACACCTCAAAGCATATACATTAGTTCAATACCTAAAATGTACTTTTAAGTGCTTTAATTTTTTCCATTTTCTCTCATCAATTAAAGGTTCAAAAGCATTTCAAAGATTCAAAGACAACAGCATTTAGATCAAGAGCTGATCAGTCATATACAGTATGTGCAGAAATTTCAGTGCACTTGTGGATACCTGATAAGATTATCCATGAATTCTTCATCTGTGACTCTACTTCTTCTCTTTCCCTCATAAATTGTCAGCATCTCCTGATTCTCCTCATCACTCCAATCATCATACAGTCCCTGAGACTGGGCTACACAGAAAAAAAAAACACACTTCAGCCCAGTATCTTATCCAGAAAAAAATGTGTAATTTGACCCAGATTATTATCTCCCAGTTAAGCCACAATATTTCTATTTCATATCTTACTTTTAGAGTCCTGAGATATCTGAGCAATACTGACAGGGAAGGCTTTGTGTAAGGCCTCTAAGGCAGTTGAGAGAATGTTTTGTAACAGTGGCCTGATATGACAACTGAGGGCTTTCCCTGGGGAGGCTACACATCGCTGTGAAGCTGGGACAATAGACTGCATGGCTCCCTGGAAGTCCTGGGCACTGACACTGATACTGGACACATCAATCTGCAGCTTCTCTGAGGACTGGTAGATCTGAGGGTACCTCTTCCTCAGAGCAAGCAAAGCAGCCTCAGTACAGAGAGCCTTCAAGTCTGCTCCACAGTAGCCTACAAAATCACAGTTTTAGTCTAATTAATGAGAAAACTTACCTTCTAAAGTTTGAAGAAAAACGGTTAATAAATCATGAGTTGTGTGCTTCATTTTATAAGTTTATGTGGGTAATTTAGATAACTCACTAAAGACTTACCAACACAAAGATCAGCCACACTGTTGATGAACTGAGGTAGTAATTTGGGGTTCCAATCTTTAGTGTGTATAGACAGAATTTGTCTTCTTGCCTAGGAGAAACAGAAAACATAACAAATTACTTCACATACATGTACATGTATATGCTGCTGATTTTGTATACAAATGCTTTCCTCATTAATGTCTCAATGATTCTTACCTCTTTTGAGGGCAGAGAAAACATAAATTCTCTGTCAAATCTGCCTGGTCTTCTGAGGGCTGGGTCAATGGAATCAATTCTGTTGGTAGCTCCAATCACAATTACCTCTCCTCTGTTGTCAAGCCCATCCATTAGGGCCAGGAGTGTGGACACAATAGAGCTATGGATTTGATCCTGACGACTAGATCTGACAGGTGCTAGTCCATCTATCTCATCGAAGAAGATGATAGAGGGCCGCATCTGATAGGCCTGTATCATTGTAACATAATAAAATTTAAAAATTGTGAAGTCTGTAACAAATTCAAAGAATCATCATAATCAGGGTTAAATTTATCTGCGCCATGATTAGGCCTAAGACAAGAATATGTTTATTTACAATTACATGGTAATAAAAAGAATATAGTTTCAATAAGTAGGATTTTTTTTTCACATAAAGTTGAATTACAAAACTGACCACTTGAAGCTCTTTTTTTCTTGCTAATTTTTTTTTGGTTATCTACCCAACAGCTCTCACAAAGTAATAGGATTTAAAAGAGTTAACATATGGGCATATAATTTGGGGATTGTATGTGATGTCAAAATCCAGAAGTCTCCGACAAGACTGTAGCTCTACTGGTTTTTGCTTAACAAAAGTAGCAATTGGACTTGTAATTTTGGAAACAGCAATAAATAAAATAATGAACCTTGGTTTAGACTGTTATGTGTCAAGTTTAATTGCAATTGGACAAAAACTGTACTAGAAGTAGCCTTTTGAAAGAATTCACCAAAATTTCTATTTTTAGTTACCATGACATTTGTTATAATTAAAAACCAATGCACAGGATTATGTGTCTTAGTGAAGTCTACTTGTGTACCAAGTTTTATCCGATTCGGACCAAAACTTCTTTGTTCATGGTTAAATATGAAGATGAAGAACCCTGTATAATGTACATCATAACATGATAAAGTCAAATCTTTTTCATCCTGTCTTCCTCCCCTTCAACCCTCAAATTTCCTTGTTGGTTTCAGAATTGCACTAGTTTTGTTTCTGGTATATACTTTGAAGTTAAAATGAATCAAATAAATACATGTACATAAAATGCCCTCATACTTGATCAAAGAGAAGGCGAAGCTGACGCTCCGACTCTCCAACCCATTTGCTCAAACAGTCTGCACCTTTCCTCATGAAAAAAGCTACACGTTTATCTCCCTTGCTGCATTCATTTGCCAAGGCTCTCGCTACCAAAGTTTTTCCTGTACCTGAAGAAAATTCATTGTATATTACATGAAAAATTACAATTCCTTGTAAAATTAATCCAGTAACATGAATATCTTTAAATTTCCAAAATCAGTCAATCAAATCCATGCAACCTTACCAGGTGGTCCATAAAACAAGCATCCTCTAGGAGGTGCTATCTTAAATCTCTCAAAGACTTCAGAATAGAGAAGTGGGAAAACAACCATTTCTTTCAGAGCTCTGATATGCTTCTCTAGGCCTCCAACACTCTCAAAAGTTACCTGCAGAAGACAATCACTGAAAAATGACTTCATTACAGTAACAGAATATCACAGGAAGGAAATACATGTACATGTATTAGATATCAAAATTACATGTATAAACTAAACAGGTTTCCACAGATTCATATCAAAAATACACTGAATGACTTTTGACAAAATATGCTACTTGTATGGACAGTTTTCAACAAACTGCATGTATATAAAAATCTTACAGATTTATCAATTGTCATAGGGTCAATATCAGCCAGACTGGCTCCAATCCTCTGTCTGTCCTTCATGGTTCCAACAATATCTTTGTCTGTTAGGTTCATAGGCAGGAGCTGATTCCGTGCCCTTGCCATACTTTTGGCCTTCCTTCTCTGGAAGTGCTCTTCATCACTGCTAGACCCCGAAGATGATGAAGAGGTGCTGGAGCTGCCATGAAAAGCTCTCTTTCTTCTATAAATCAGGAAGATTTTCAGATTATACATGTATATTAATGCTCCAGGGAATAATTACCTGCACAATTAGATATGATTCTAGTTGGCCCACTTCCAAAATATAAAATTGCTTTAAAAAAAGGATACTGGACGCTATCTTATTTAAAATCCTTGTGCAAATATGCAATGAAAATGCAAAATACATGTATTGTAGGTAAAATTAACTCCATTTTTTTAGTTAAGTATTGTAACGAGCATTACTTCAGCAACTTGTAGGACATGGATAGGAATTACAAGCTTAAAAGGAACAGAGTACTGTAACAACATGTGATAATGCCTGTAAGAATTCTTGTACGCCTTAGACAAATTATCTAGTTTTTATTGTGTTCTTTAAGGGTGACAACATACCTAATATTGACACGTCGATGTGCTGGAGAACGATAAACTGGCGAGTGCTTCTTCTTCCGTCTCACAGGTGAATCTGGGGCATCAGCAAAAATTGTGGGCTTCCTACGCCGTCTCTCTTCTGCAAAACATGGAAGAATCAAAAGACCACTCTTACAATTCAACTGACCTTAACATTATTAAATGTTCCTAAACTTACCTATTGGCACTTCAAATAGCTGTGTTCTAGGTTTGTGTTCCCTGAGATAATATGAGCGTCTTTGTGATTTGTCTGACTTCTTATCCTCTTCATCTTCATCTTCCTCCTCCTCTTCATTATTTTCCTCACCGTCTTCATCTCCTTCTTCATCATTTTCTTCTTCTTCTTCACTGGACTCTATGCAACACAAATATTGAAAGTCTCTGATGCTTCTTCTTTTCAAATACAGGTAAAAGTATACATTCATCTACTTGTGTTAATAGTATTCATTAAATTCTCAAAAGAAATCTTCCAATTATACCTTCCATAGGTACCAATAGTTGGGCAAGGAAGAATTTTATTATTTTTTTTCTGTCCTTATTTGTCTCTCTTGACATTTCCATCCAACAACTCACCACTTTCTGAAGACTCGTGTACAGGCATTCCATACATATCTCTCTTTACTGGTTTCCTCACTCTCTTTACTCTGCTATACATGCTCTCTTCCATGTCATCAACCTGTGAACAAATACTCAACCATGTGATATAATGAATCTATTCCTTAATGTTTCATAAAACCAAACATGTGATACAATGCATTTATTCCTTAATGTCTCATAAAACCACAAACTACAAATTAACTGCTCTAAACACAAATCCACAAAAACCTTTCACTTTTCCAGTTGCGCTATAAATTTTTGTAAGTATAGAAAAAGTCTACAAAACATTTTTTAAATTTTGCTAAATAAATATTTTCAATCAAGTTTTTGGTAATATCTGGTTATTTTGTCACCACCTTCTACTAATAATGTTTCCTTTTAAAAAAACAACTTAATTGATATTGTATATATTATACTTTAACAATAACATACATTATCTGTTTCTTCCACTCTTCTTTTCTTTCTGGGATTGTCCTCACCATGATCATAGCTCTGCTTATCAACATACAAGGCCCTATCCAAAATCTTGGGGTCAAACGTCCCATAAAGCAAATTCTTCTGTCGACTACTGCGGCGCACAGCCACCTCTTCTTTCTCCTCTATAATTGGCCGACTTCTACGAACAGATCGTACTGGCCTTGGTGATGGTTTTTTATGGGATTCTGAAAAAAAGTTTTACATCAGTCTACAGAACTGGCTAGTGGCTACCCAGCAACTTTCAACCTAAAGTGATCTTACCAAAAATATGAAATTAGCTGGATGACCATGCTTTTGAGTCCCATGATCATATTTTTCATCTTATTTTAGTTTTTTCTTGTAAAAACTGGTTTAGCTCACACCTGTGCATTTTGATGAGATACATTTTATTATTACATCTGTATTTTGATCTTATATCCTTTTCCAGTCCAATCTGAAGTCAAATACTGTGCAGTTATTGAAGTCTACACAATTTTGTTTAAGAAAAGAAAGAATGAGTGCACTTAAGTACGTCATTTGGAACCTTTTCGGCTACCCATTTTAAGCTTTACATTACAATATATCGCTTAATTAATCTATGATTATTGTGCAAGCATATTCTTTTGATATTTATTCCTTGAATTTTTTGTCATACATATTTCTATAATTACAGACAATGTCATTGAAAAGAACATATACAAACCTTAAATTCCGGAAATTTGAACGGGACCACTTACAAATTTAAGGTATCCGCAAATAGGCGGAGTCATTTAAATCGCATGGATGTGGAATGTAAACATTAGCACATATATGATTTTTTTCGCACTGCAAATTTAAATGGAGAAGAGAGAGAATGTGTAGTTTAATGGTGCACAAATAATAAATGATTCTAGTGTTTAGGGATGGGGAAGATGTCTCGCCCTGCAGACCATTATACAGAGGCGACATGAGCCTGTACATGTACATGTACTTACTAATCACACTGTCAATACCAGAATTCTTTCAAAACACCCGTAATGAAAAATACAAAGTAAAATAAGAGACATATAATCTTCAAACCCTATTAAAATTTGCGCAAAAATCTTCCATAGTTTGAAGCTGAAAGTACGATAGATACTGTCACAATAGAAACTTTCAATAACAAACACAATGAAATGCTCAATGAAAGCCTTAGCGTATCGAACAGTGGAATGTCACGTGAGTAAAGTGATTATAATATCAATCGTTGACACTCGGTGAACTGTTAATTTAGTGGCTAATTCGACCGTAGTTTGGAGACTTTTTCAAAAAATTAGATATGAGCCGCAATTTGTCCAACATTGTCCTTTGGATATGTTGAAGTTTAAATCAAAATACACATTCTGTGCAAATGAGTCCAATGGACAAGTTGCGGCTCGATGTAAACAATGTCGTTGAAAACTGGTATGCATATGAATAACAATAGAAATGTGACAAAACTGTTAGACCCCCGTCTCAAAAGCTAGTGTCGCTCGGCATTATTTAATACTTTCATGTAGTATAATATACCAAAACCTGCTCTTAAGACATTGTTTAATACCTATAAAACATAAAGTTTATGACCTTTGGAATTTTATTTTGCGCAAAACACCGGGACCCAGCTCTCATAGCTTAAGTGCACTCATCCTTTACGTCATGTAGATGTTTTCCCAGTTGAAAAAGCACTGGACCCATTCCTAATTGCTGGATGCAATCAACAATTTTGTGATTCAGTCAATATCAAGAAAACATGAAAACTATACACAACTTTCTAATTTTATTGCTTATACTGGTATGCACATTTATTGAAATTGTACATCTTGAGCAATATTAGTGTTTTCCCTTTATTTTAAAGTAAAGGGTTAGAGATTAATTGTAACAGGTTATGGGATGAGGTTTATGAACAAATCTCTGTGGACCTTACAAGAATTCAATTTTAAATTTTTAATTTCAAAGCAGCATTTTTATCAATTAAAGTTGTCAATTTGGCTGGTGGCCGGTTCTTAGGGACAACACTGATATTATGCAGAACCCACTTCAAAATGAATCATTGAAAATGCATTCTGGCTTTGTTTTGTTTTTGTAGTTACATTTCCTAAGGCTTTAAAAATGAGGAAAAAAAATATTGTTTTTTTTTGGGGGGGGGGAGGGTAAATTTACATTTTTAAACTTTTTACCGATTCCACCATCTTGATTTTGACGGAGGACAAAAACAACATCAGATTGTTAGTCAAGCACTTCAACTAATTACCAACAGCTTTTTTAACGGAGCCAAACTGAAGTTAAGACGCTGACATGCTTTTAACAGGATATCTGGTCCATGGCCATCACACTTAGACGAGCTCATCTTTAACCTCAGTCTCACTTTTACAAAAGGAATATATAGTGGAAAAGGGAGACTGAGATCAAAAGTGAGCTCAATTTAAGTATTATGGCCCCAAAGCCAGGTTTTGTTTATAGAATTGGCTAGATAATTTGAAAATTTTAAATTTATGTAGAATTTTTTTTTTAAGAATAATTTTGAGATTTTTTTTTCAGGGGTATAATTTATTTTTTAATACATATTTACACACATTTATTTGTTAACATAAACACTGATAACAGAAAATTGAAAATCTGACACCTGCTTGCCCAAATGGATATGAACACAATATGTTGCTTATATCTCTGATATAAGTTTAAATGCTAATTTTGTAAATCTACCATAAATTTCTCCATGTTTGTGCTCACCATAATCACTTTCTTCATCTGTTGGGTCATCATCATGTATAACAAACCTACAATCGAAGTACTACATATTAAAGTTTTTAACTCACTGAATGTTAAATGATTGCTCTACATTAAAATAAATGTTACATATCTATGAACGTAGAAATAATTGTGACTGTTTTACCTGCGCCTGGTAGCTGCTCTAGTACTTCTCTGGTTTACAGACTTTCTGAGACTCCTTGGTGAGAAATCAACAACACCACTACTCTCATCTGTTTCTTCACCCTGAAAAGTGAAAATATTCATTGATTTGTGTAATGGAATCAATGTGCATAGTTTTTGTGGTAACGTCAACTTAAGTGAATCAGTCATCAACTTAAGTGAATCAGTCAGCGACATATCACAATAAATGTGCACAGATTTTCTTTGGCTGTATCGTTCAGCAGTTCAGCCTGTTTCCCTGGGTGCATTCATAAATATGTCTCGGATAAAATAAATTCAAGATTCAGGTTCAAATACTGTCAAATCAAGTATTAACCATTGCAAGATTTAATACTATAAATTAACTTAATTAATTTTGCCAATAACTAAAGATGCTACGATATACATGTAAGTGAAAGTAATAAATAAGTAGCATCTATGTTTCCGAGGAAATTCGAAATGAATGAAAACCCTTTGTTCGATATCAAAGGATGTGCGAATTCACACTTAGATCAGATGAAATCTCACGTTTGCTTCATGGTCCCTCTTGCCGAAATCTTCATGTGACAAAAACGGGACTTCCGAGCGATTTTCCGCTCGGTGTCTAGTATTCACCATTCTTTTTCGGCTGCTTTCCTACTTTCATGAAGCCCACTCACACCGAAAGTACTTACTACGCAAAGTATAGTGCAAGCATATTACACAAAATATATGGAATTTATCTCGAAAATATATTCTCAACCAGGTAGAAATAAATGTAAGCATTATAAAACTATTATTTTAGAAAGTAATATGTCCAGTTATTATATTTTTAATCATGCGGATGATATCGATGCCATTTTCATAACATAGGTAGAAAAGGCGCCAAATGCGATTGGGTGGTCTCCCACGTTAAACATCGAAGAGATCACCAGCAGGCATGTTTAGCGCTGCAGTTTACAAAACTTTCCTCAGAATTGTCTTTAGAAAGGAGATTCAGGAAAATTTAAAGTTTATTACTCTGAATAAAACCCTTAAACACTAAGTGCAATGTACATGTATACAGTATATTGTTTAATAAATTTGCATCATCCCACTGTTTCTTTTTGATGTTGAAAATTAAATGAAAAGGGGAATGGTACGTGAGTCAACTTGAAAGATTACTTTTTACCCTAACCATGCTAACAGAAATTTTACTGTAATTTATAGTAAATATTTTAATACTTTGACCAGTTGACTTACTATGATATGAATCTTTAATACTCCATATAAAACTTTTTTGGGGGAGAGGGGGGGGGCTTGATATCTCTTAAAAGCAATGATGTTATAGTAATAATATGTCATGAATGAAAGAAAGTAAAAGTACAACAGCCTGTGTGTAAATGCAGGGACCTATATACTATACTATATTAGTATATAAGTCCCTGGTAAATGTTACTTAATGAACCCACCCCTCTCTCCCCAACCCGTGTTATTCTGCTCCTCCACTCACAAATACATTCCGTCATCATCTGAGATGAGCAGTATGTAAAATATATACATCTATACCGGGAATTTTTTCAGATGCCATTAATAATAATGGCATTCATTTCCCCTGATATAGTTTGTTGTTTTGCTGCTGGACATTCTTCTATTTTGCATTTTGCATATGGAATTAATTTATTTGTATATTTCATTTCGATTTATAAGTAAATAATCTTGAAAAATGGCGACAAAGGTAATGAATGCATGAACTGATTTTTAAAAATCGAAAAATCGGCTTTTTTAAAATTATTTAATTCTTTGAAAAAATATACAAATAAATTAAAGTCAGATGATATGTTATTTCCTCAATAATCTATAAGAATCTGATAACTGAACTATTGCTTCTTTAACAAGTTTCCTTACCAAAAATTGAGGTTTACCTTACCAGGCATTCGTCCAAGATACCAGAGGATGGTAATTCTTATAAAGTCCTATATTGAAAATAACTTGATTTGCTGATTTAACAATTTTTGGTGTTTTTTATCATTAAAGATAATTTTTAAAATAGTTTAGAAATAAAAAGACAATAATTATGAATATTTTGGTATACTACAAAGAGAGTCATATATTTAAGGAACGTCGTCGTCAGACCTGAAAAGAAAATAGTTTCGGAGACATTATTCATGTATAATTAAAAAAAAAATTAATCTGAATTTAAGATATACTTAGTTTAGTGCAATGAAATGGACAAGAAATGCAAAGGCGATACTATCTATGAAGTAAGGCCGGGATATATCCTAGCGTATCCAGAAAGAACAAGTAAAATTACAGAAGAATATTGATTGATTGTATGTTGTTTTACGTCTCAATCGAGAACTTTTTTATTCCAAAAGAGTTGTTACCAAAAAAGGCCTCAAATTTACGGTAGACCTATATATATGAGTGTCAAAATCTAGATAGCTTTCTCAAGTAACATCAGAAGTACTTAGTAATAATGGTCGCAGTTTCGAACATTTTTTTTTTTTTTTTTTTTTTTTGAATTTCATTTTCATTTTATTTAGGCCTATAACTTTGATATCTTTTTAAAATTTATTTTCTTGATGTATATTTATTTATGAGTATACAATGAGATCCTCCCCCACTCCGGCGTGAGATCCCCCCACCCCCACCCCGGCGTCTTATTTTTTCTATTATAAGTCCTACATTAGTTTGCTAGTTTTAATTTAAAATCTGTAAAATTTTGAATCCATCCTCCCCCAAAGCTGCTGACATCAATTCCATCGCGCGACTCGATCTTGGGTTGATTAGCGTTAATTACATTTTTGTTGAGCTCACCTAGCCTGCCTAAATCTAGATCGCACGAAACTATGGTAAATTTCTAGGCGTGTTGCAAAGTAAAGCAAATTAGAGTAAAGCAAAAAATTTTAGTGTTATAGAAGGAGGAATTTTGATGTTCTAAAGCCAGGGACCTATAGCATATACGTAACCGCTAAAGCGAAAGCTATATACAAGTATGTACAACGACCCTCCCCCTTCCAACCCCCCCCCCCACCCCCACCCCCCAAACGAAAAAAATGTTGAATTCGAAGTTCCTTATTTAAAAATAAATATTGTGATGAACTTTCATAAGATTTAACTTCACTGATTCCAATGTATGGTCCACATTATTAAAAAAAAGTGAAAACAGGAGCCGATTTTTAAAACGGGCGGATCGAAACCTCAGACTCCGATATAATAAATAAACGTTCGTTATTTCGCGGCATATTTGATCACGTGACATATTAACAAACATGGCAGGGAGTTCGAGAAAATTGACAAACGAATATGAGGAGTAACTGTGCAGTGGTTGACAGGGGTAGATTTTTGAACACATATTGAAAGATTACAAATTAAGTACAATTTTTAAAATTTCATTACAAAGGCAAAATGTCCAGAGTAGTGCCAGGTTCAAGAATTTTGGGAACTGTCACCCACGTGGAGTTTGACGCAGGTGTGTGTAACGGATATTGTCAGTTGTGTGAGGAAAACGTTGTCGAAGAACTTGCAGAAAATATTCAGAGTAGTGTAGGAAATTGTGCAGTGTTAGGTGGTAGCCTGGGGAATGATGAAATCGTTTTAGCATTATTTCACGAGGATGATAATTGGTACAGAGGCAAGATTGTCGGAAAAGGCGCCAACGACCTGTCCATCTTTTTTGTTGATTATGGCAACACAGAAACTGTTAGTGCAGACAATATTAGGAAACTTCCTAGTTTGCTGAAGCATGTAGAACCATTGGCAACAAAGTGTGTATTTGTTGATTTCTCTCCAGCAAGAGGTCAATGGACACCAGAGGAAGAGGAGGCGGTAAGAGAGAGACTACTGAATGAAGAATACATGGTAGAAGTTATTCAGAAATCTCCACAGGGATTTTCTGTAAGACTGCACAGTCCATCGGCCAATAGTATTTCTTCACCCAGTTCTATGACATTGCAAAATGTCAATACAAACTCTTGTCATCAGTGTTATATTTCATACATTGAAAGTGCTAATAAATTCTGGGTGCAACTTCAAGAAACAGAAAATGACTTAAGCAATATAATGAGTCAAATTGCAGAATACTGTACAAGTAGTGCTGAAAAACTTGGTAATCCACAAATGGGAGAATTTTGTCTGGCTTATTACAGTGAAGATGAGGCACCATATAGGTCACAGATATTAACAAGCACCTCAGACAAATGCCTTGTGCAGTTTGTAGATTATGGAAATTCAGAATCAAAGTCACACAATGAATTATTATCTCTACCTGCCAAATTCATGAATTTTCCAATTCAAGGTCTTAGGTGTTGTTATAAAACTACCAGAATTAATCCAAGTAAACTGGAGGACAAGCTACAAGAACTTTCGGCTTCTGATGGAGTGGTGAAAGTCAAATTTCTGAGGAAAAGTAATGACGAACACACAATAGAAATAGATGAGATTGAAAAGATGGAAAGCCATGGTAGTTTAAACAGTTCTCAGACATTGGAGTCCCAGCATGAATACCCAGTGTCGTCACTTGTGGGTAATCGGACTTATGATGTATGCATTTGCTATGTGGAGCATCCTGGTCGATTTTTTGTGCAACTTCTCAGTAGTTCTGATACTGTTAGTGATCTGATGGATTTGGCTCATGAGGAATTTATAACTAACAGGCCACTTTCAAGACCCACACCCAAACAGTCATGTTTAGCTAGAATGAGTGATGGTGCAGTGTACAGGAGTTCTGTGGAATCTGTTGGATCTTCTATTAAAGTCACCTCAGTAGACTTTGGGTTTACAGAAACTGTAGATGCGCAAAACCTCCGAGAAATTTCAGAAAAATTGACATCTATCCCAGCACAGTGTGTTCAGTGCACTGTAGACCTGACAAAGATGACACCAGACTACTGGTCAGAAGGAGAAATAGAAATTCTTAAAGGACTTGAGAATGATGTACCCTTGGTATCCATGGTGACATCAAATAGAGGAGGAGTTTACCAGTTAGACTTGTACGATACAAGAGACAAAGACATTGATCGTTATTTGAATGAGGAGTTGTTAGGGGTTAAAAAACAAGGAAAATCTGTGTCATCATACAAAGAATCTGCCAGGCAAACTGTCAGGAGACTAAAGATACCAGAACCAGATGTCGCTGTTGGCAGCACTGAGATGGTTTGTGTCACTGCGATGTACTCCACTAAACAGTTCTACGGCCAGCTGACCAAAGTTCCAGTTGAAAAGTTTGCTTCTCTCCAGGAGACTTTAATGAAGGTGTACGAAATGGGACAGGATGTCATAGCTGACTGTGAGGTGGGAACATTCTGCTGTGCAAAGTACACAGACGGATCCTGGTATAGAGCACTCATTACTTCTGTCACAGGAAGTTCAGCGGAGATCATGTTTATTGATTTTGGTGACTCCTGCACTGTACCCATGACATCATTGTATCAGATACATCCAAGTGTCGCTGACACCCCACAACTTTGTATCATGTGCCAATTTCAGAAACCCCCGATGAGTGTCAGTATGTCAGATTTACAGACTCTTTTGGTTGACAAAGTAGTGGAGGTCAGACTTGCATCAAGGACAGGCAAGTTACTTCATTATTTTCCTATATTCACCTAGTATTTCTGACATCTATGGAAATAAGGTACCAAAAAATTCACAATTTAAAAGTTGTAAATGTTTGTATTTTTGTTAAGTAAATTTTCTCTACTGATTAGATTTTTTTTAAATTTTGCAGATGGAGTATTTCCAACTTTCCAGATTGAATTTACCAGCCATTCAAACAACAAAACTATCACCAGTAAACTCTTTGGGAACCAGCACAGGATCCCGAGACTCCCTCAAGTGGCCCTGCAGAGTGGGTAAGTTTGAGTTAAGGAAGGATAAGTGTAGCTGTGTCATATATAAATGGTACACCATCAGGTAGTGTAGATTCAAATTTGTTCAAATCAGGACCCCTGGGGTCAAATGTTGCATAGGAATATATAGGGAAAACTTCTCAAGAACAGCAAAGCCATGGTTAGTCATATTTAATGGTGTAGATTCAATTTAAAAAAAAAAAAAAAAAAAAATCAAGACACCTAAAAGGGGGGGGGGGGTAGGGTTAGGCCACAATGGGCTATTAAAGGAGAAAAATCTGATGAAAACAGCAGGGCCATAGTTAACTCATTTGAGTGTTGTGGCCCATGGGCCTTTTTAAAAAAATTGTAATTTAATTTTTACTTTCAAAATAACAATGAATTGAGGTTTTATTTCCTGTCAGATCATATAAAATATAAATATTTCCTGTCAGATCATATAAAACCTGTATTTGGATGTAAACGATATGATTATTGATATTAAGAAACAGTGGTGAGAGAAAGGGGATGGTGGCTATTGGTGACCAGGAGGAAGTTATGGTCACTCATGTGGTTGATCCCGATCACTTCCACTGCCAGCTAAGTAAGACTGCAGTCCAGCTTGATGCACTGATGGAGAGTCTGGACAAACACTACTCTGCCCTGGATGAATACGAGGAACAGCTGACCAATGTGTCACTCGGACAGCACTGTGTGGCTAAGTACAGTGCTGACCAGGACTGGTATAGAGCCCAAATTACAGGTCAGTATGTGTAGATATTTCTTCAAGAGGATAAATAACACATACAAACTTTATTCCAGAAATCAGTAATATATCTAGATTTATGTTTTCATAGGTCATGTGAATAATGTTTGCCAAAGTAAGTGTGAAAATTTTGTAAAATTTTATTATGATGTTATGAAATGAAAAAAAATGGTATAGAATTATATTATAGAAAATAGCAGTCACATATTTAAACACCAGAGAAATTATATGATTTCTTTATATTTTAGGAATCTGTGTCTTTTCTATTCAATTGGTCAAAAAAAAAAAATTAATTCCTGCATCAAATATTTTTGGAGTTTAAGTTGAAATGGTGGGGATCGATTTTTTTCAGTGAATACTTTCAATGTCTTGAATTTTTTGCAAACAGGCATGTTGAACAACGGGATGGCTGAGGTGAAGTATATTGACTATGGTAATACAGAATGCTCACCCAAAGAGAATCTGAAGCAGATCAGTGATGAACTGATGACGCTACCACCCCAGGCAGTACTCTGTGGACTTGAAGGTGGGTCACTGCACGTGTATAAAAATTCACACATTTTATATCACATGGGTGTGCATTGCTGTGAACTTAAAATATTAGTTCATCAGTATTTAGTTATTTTTAGCTTACCTGAGCTGAAGGCACAAGTGAGGTATTCTGACAATGATTCATTTTGGTCTGTGTCCAGCGTAAATTATGCACAAATTTTGCTCAGGATGCATTATTTCAATAAATGTGCATCCCAATGGACGCAATAAAGGATGATGTGACATACGGCCCCCGGTAAATTGACAAAAAATTAAATGTCCAACTTTTACTCTAATTTTTGCATGCAACTAATCACTGATATGTGTTCCCTTATGGAAAACTACTTTTAACAAAAATAGAAGCGTAATTTGGAAGATATAGATCTTTCATTTGGGTAGGGGTACCATGTTTACATCCGATTCCAATTGAATTTTGGCCCCGCCCCACTCTTTGAAGCCATTAAAATATACGAGCGCAAGTAGGTACATTTTTGTCCTTTGGCTGGTCTATGTATTTTATTGAAATCTACCTATATGTGAAAGGAGAAAAATGTACCTAACTGCGCTCACATGTTGTTTTTTTAAAAAATGGTTAAATCTAGCTGGCCTTTCCTATTATGAATAGATCGACGAAACTATTTTTTCTGACGTAAGAATAAATTCATATGCTAATCAAGGCACTGGCCATACTTTCTAACTGACCAATCAGCTAAATGAGATGCATTACGAGTGAGTACCACAAAAATACTAAGAAAATTTTATGCTTGGAAAAAAGGCTTTTTTACCTACTTTCCGATAAACAATTTTTTATGCATTTGAGTCACAGATTAGGCACGGATCGACAATTTCCCAGCTCAGAGTTACAAACGATTTATAAATATACATAATTTAAAGTTTTGTAAAGCGTTTGGTGGGCAATTCGCTGGGTCTACACGTATTCCCGAGTATCAGTGAATATGAGTGTCATGTGCATTTCTTGACCCAGAACGGTAAACGCTGAGGTTCCATGCGTATTATTATGTATAAACAGCCTTGACTGACCATTAAAAGTTTTAAATTTGGCAGAGATAATGTGTAAATTGACCTAAACCACGTGTCTGTGATAAAATGTAAACATATAGTGAAAGACAGAATGTTTTTTCGTTCTGTCATCGGATTGGACAATTGTTCTCGCTAAGCGACTATGTGCGAAATAATAACAATAGCCATATAAGGTAAATTTCTCGGACATGCATATCCCTCTATTGTACTAAGACCCGCCTATTCTCTTTTCAGAAAGGAAGATATTGTCACAAACCTGGCCGAATGTTGCTGTCATAGGGTCTAAAAAATCATAGATAATGCAGTAATCCTTATAATTAAAATGTGTCGGAACTATTGAAACTATTCAAAAGGCGTCGTATTCTTTCACTCATGTTTGAAAACTATCAAAATCGTCGTAGATTAAATATAATTCGTCGTAGAAAAAGGGGCCCCAGATAGCAGTTATGTCACATCATCCTTTATAGAAGGACATGCATTATTAAATAAATTGTATAATCTGATTCAAAACTTGACCGATTGCATCATATCCACATGCTAAGCGATATACTTGAACGATTTTAACAGGTATAAGGTTGCCAACAACATGTCAGATTTCACAATTGCAGTTAACAAGCAGTTATCAGAAAATATTTGAAAGTTAGATAGCATAGTTCGATTATCACCGATTATGTCTATACTGTGGAACATTTCTGAAGCGAATACTATACCTTTGTATTTAAGGCCTAAAAAATTAATAACTTGGTTCTCAAGGCCCACTCGCATCTTATTCAACAATGCGCATCACCCATTTTTATCCTCGAATGAATAAAATTTCTCTCATGCGCACGTGCAGTGCCAAAAATAAAAACTGAGTCCCCGACTGCATTTTGACTGCATTTTAGAAATCGGTAAAACATTGGCAAACATCGAAAATGATCCAGACTACCAGACTATTGGCCTAGTTAAAAATTGCAAATATGGCAGTCGAGTTAACAGGTTAAGGCATCAAGATTAAGTTTAGTCATGATGGCATTGATTTCGGTGCAAATTCATAAGAGAATGACTGTAATACTTTCGTGGTACAAAGTTGGGGTTTCTGAAGGTTTTTCCATGCTAGAACTCGGATCAATAACACTCAAAGATGGCTCTCTCAACCTCAGAACATGGACGTCGGCAAGATTCGCAGATTTTATTTAGTCTGGGTAAACCAAAGACTGATAAATTTGACAATCTTTAATAAAATCATAAGTGCTATTTATAGTGCTGAAGCACTCTTAGATTAGATGTGTTACGTAAGCAATTGACCAAATGCATCAAGTGTTGGATTCTGTAAGTTTAACATGTCTGGTTTTTAGGATGCATTCATTACATGAATCATCTGAATGTAGAAAATGTAAGAGAAAAGAGAAAGAAGCAGAAAATAAATGATCTTGATTTCTACACTCAGTGTTGAAGCATTGTTGATTAAAAGTTGCTATTTTTGAAATTATAAAAAAAAAAATGAAAAAATCCCGTCTGTTTTTTAAGAGATAAAAAAAAGGGGGGGGGGAAGCCTCCCTCCCACATTTATTTTTGAGAAAACTGGCCTGAGAACCAAGTTATTAATTTTTTTTTTGGCCCAAGCTGTAACCTGTATCATTTATTTTTTCATTTTTCCTTACAAGCTAAGAAGTAGAAAATTTAATCATTTTTATTTCTATTTTTCATTTCTACTTAAACTTTCTTTACTTTATTCTGCTTTTGTGCATTTTATGACTGATACAATGCAGTGGCGGATCCAGGAATCTTGAAAAGGGGGGCCTGACCAGTTTGAGGTCGGGGTAGGGGCCCACGGCCACACCAAAAAAAATTGATTATTAAATCGTGTATATTTTGGAAACAAAAGTGGGGGGGGGGCTCTAAATCTGCCAGTGCAATGTGTGAGATCGTATGTATGATCTAAAAATAGAACCAAGTGCAGAGTTGACAATATATTATTTTTATGAAATTAATATTACAATATTTTTTGAACTTTATTTTGAAAGCATTGTTTAATTATTCAATACACTGTTTTTTTGTCGTATATACATGCACATATGAATAAACACAGTGATTGGGAGGGCCATCAAGGTCAATGGGACTATGGCACAACTGTCAAAGTTTTTAATGGGCCATTTTGAAAATGAATGGGCCATCTATACATTCTGATGGGCCATTTTAAGAAAAAATGACAAACAAACGTCAAGTATGAAAAGAAACACGTTTCTTCGTTAACCAAATTTTTTTTTTCACTTATGCAGTGTAGCACATTTAAAGGAACCCGCAAACAATATAATTTTCTTGTATTTTGGATCAATAACGTCAAAATTTCAATTAAACATTGGAAATATGTGAGTTAATATACCTTTGTTGTCCTAAATAAAGCACTTCATGTAACAGGAAGCAGTTTTTGCCGCATTTTAACTAGCTGCAATAATGTAGCCCTCTCCATTTTTTTTTTTTTTTTTTTTTTTTTATTTTGGGAGAGGGCTACAACTCCTTAGGATCTCCGTAATGGTGCAAGTGCGGGAGTGATTCACTACCGCACAGATTTCGGCTCAAATTATCAGTAAGTGGGTATTTTGTTAACATATCTTACCTGAACTCATGAAATGTAGTTATGCAGGACATGAATTGATCCAAAAATACACAGAACAATCCGTATATCGGTTATTTTTCGTGTATGTCAACATCACAACTTGAATTTATCCGCCATGTTTACTGACCTTGATCGATTTTATTTTGGGACAACCAATGAGAATTTGGGATCTAGGGGAGCGGATCTGTATGGATTTCCCTTATTATAAGCATAAATATCACTGTTTATACTAAAAATATCACATGGAATGCTTTTATTTATCGATATTTAGTGATACCATACAACACAAACATTTATCAACACCGACATTTACATTATCAAGTGATTCTAAATTTCAAGTGCAAGTCTCAGTACATCACGCGAGAACTGTCATGGCTGCTGAGGTGAACGACTGGAAAACACGCAGATTTATTTTACTTGGTTTTCGCGTATAAAGGGCCATGATGTTGATAGTGAATAAAAATTCCGTCTTATTGGAAGTAAGTTGAATGCAAAAACAATTTATTTTGCCTGCAGTCGCCGTATCTAAAAAATATATTTGCACCATTACGGAGATGCAGTGGAATTGTAGCCCTCTCCTGAAAATATCAGATTAAAAAAAAATTGGAGAGGGCTACATTATTGCAGCTACATTTTAACCAATGAGATTTGTTGTGTTAAAATGACTGCATTTAAAATGAAAGTAAAACAAGCAAGAAAGTCGTACGCAATATATTTCCAACTAACATTGCTAAAATTTGAATGCGCACCTTGGCGCTACCAATGATTGATTTTCACTTCAATGCGACTATGGCATGTGGCGCAAGCTCTTCCCAATCACTGTAAACATACACAGGAAAACAAGTGTATTCTTTAAACACATGGATAGACATTTGAATTACAATGTAAAATTGTATAATATTTATTTGACCTAACAGATGATCATGTATACTTGTTAACTGCTATGCTGAAAATGTTAAACTTTGGTGATGTTTTAAAGGAGTTGCATCACCAACTGGATTCTGGTTGCCGGAGAAAGTGGCTCAGTTTGAGGACCTGGTTCTGGATCAAACATTTAAGGCAACATTCAAGTCTAAGAAGGTAGGAGAGGATATATTGCTGTGTGTTCTGGAGTCTCCTGAGGGTACCAACATCAACAACAAATACGGCACAAGTACCAACTCTCTCGCTACCACAGCCAACAATGAGGCATCCAACAACTTTCAACAAAGGTCAGTCTTAAGGTTGATAAACCCTCTGGTCACTCATTGAAAATGTTGGTTTAACTCTTATGATTTTCCAAAAGAAATGTAATTTATAAGTAAAATAAAAACAATTTTAGCATAGGTTGTGGGCCAAATTGAGACAAAAAAGGCACTTCAACTTGGCTAATTTGTAAAGGATTAATAGACATGTCATTAAGACTTATCTTTCTTATCAGAGTATCAATAAACCTGAAGTTATATTGTGGTATACATGTATGACTAATGATATTTGTATGTGGTAGTCAATTCTTTGCTTAGTATTCTCAGTTTTAAGAAGTTTTATTAATTTGATGCCTTAAATTACTGGTATACTACATATTAGTATAGCGAATAGCAATTCAGAGGTAAATAAAAATCTGCTATAAACACACTTTAAACAGAGGACGATTTGGAGACCGATCCTCAGGTGGGAGATCCAATGATTCAAGACCAGGATTCAGTGGTGGAGACCGAGGAAACCGCCCTGGCTTTGGTGGTTCTAATAATCACAGTAGAGGTTCAGGATTCAATTCTGGAGGATTTGGCAGTAAATCGCCGCCTGGTGGAACCACTTCGGGAGATGGAGACTGGGATGAGACCCCTTCAGCTAGTTCATCCTCACACAGCTTTGGAAGTGGAAGCAGAGCAGGGTTTGGAGGATCTGGTGGCTCTTCTGGAGGAGGATTTGGAGGATCCAGAGGATTTGGAGGAAGTGAGGGTGGATCCAGGGGATTTGGAGGAAGTGAGGGTGGATCCAGAGGATTTGGAGGAAATGAGGGTGGATCCAGAGGATTTGGAGGTAGTGGGGGTGGATTTAGAAGAGAGGGCAGTGACCGAGGTGGTAGTGGTAGGTATAACTTCAATTCTTTAGATCTGTTGAATGTTATTTGTGTGAAATTTTCAATGAGATATGAATTGTTTGTAGATATCACATCCCCATGCATTTTGCTAAATTTGTATCAGTGAAAGTTTTTCTTTGTCTGAGCATTGTGAAAGTAAATAAATTTTTTTTTAAAAAATGAAAAGAGGAATTTTTCTATTTTTTAGGCTGTAGAAAATGTGGAGAGGAGGGCCATTTTGCCCGAGATTGTCCTCAAGGTGGATCAAGTGGAGGAAGAGGTTGTCACAAGTGTGGAGAAGAGGGGCATTTTGCCCGAGATTGCCCAAAAGGTGGCTTTGGAGGAGGGGGTGGAAGAGGTTGTCACAAATGTGGAGAGGAGGGTCACTTTGCCAGAGATTGCCCCAAAGGTGGTCAGAGTGGAGGAAGAGGTTGTCACAAGTGTGGAGAAGAGGGTCATTTTGCCAGGGATTGTACATCAACAAACCAAAGAAGCAAGTATTTGAAGTGAAGCATGCTTAGATAATATTCCAAAAAAAAACTGATACTATGAAATACATAAAAAAAAGACTATCTCTGAAAAAAAAAAAAAACATATCATGAAAAACTGGCTATGGGCAATAATTGTCAGACCAAAATAAATATGTATTTTCTTAGGAAAAATTTTGGATTTAATGCATTCTTTCAGAAATAGTTTTCAGGGTTTAAGTTATTATTTTAATATGTCTGGGGCATCAAGTGTTTCTTGTCCTACTTTCTGTCTTTCTATCCTTCTGATCATGTATAAATTTGAAACTTAATCAGTGTTTTCAATAAGATTTTCAATAGAAGGAAATATATTGGAACAGCAGGAAACCAATCTCGGCGAGGGGTCTGGGGGCCGGCTCAGGCCCCCAGCGGGTCCAGGGCAGAGCCCTGGTAGGGGGCCCAGGGGGGCAAAGCCCCCCGGTCGAAAACGAAAATTGGCATTTTTGACTCAATTTTCTTACCTCTCAGGCCAATAAATTTTTCACATTTCTGTTACTATCAATTACCAAATTTTACCTAATAAAGCCATTTAGAAAACAATTTGTACCCTTTCACTGATTTGTTATATGGACTTTTGACGGACTGATTTTTTTCCCCCTGAAAACTAGGTGTCTGTAAAAACATTAAGACAACTTAAGTATGAAAATTCTAGCACAGACAATTTTTTGTGCTAGAATTTCATACTGAAAATGCTACATAATTTGTCCCTTTCACATTAACTGGTCAGGAAAATTATTCAAAATTAAGGAAATAATTTATTTAAAAATTTAAGAACTTTTTAACACGTAGTGGCGTACAATACCCCCAAAAATTGAAATATTCTGCAATCTAAGACTAAAATATCATAAACCTTTCAATTTATTTACTATTTTATACAGATTGTCAGAACGAAATAATTAAGAAAATGGATACAAATACAAACTACTAGTACATAAAAACCTCTTAAATGTGAAATGTTACACTGTTCCTGTATTTCAAGAGAGCTAACACAAATAAACGAGAATACAAATTTACATTTTCAATTTGAGGAAATTCTGTAAGAATTAATTCCTATGTTCCGCGTCTCAGTCACGTACAGGCGGTTAATTTTGCCGGTTGCCGGCTCTTATTGAAAACACTGTTAATCAGAATAAAATACACTTTTAGTATGTTGTTTTCTTGATTAGAAGTTCTCTTATGTATTAAAGAAATTACTTTGAAGTTGAGATGGTATTTGTGTAAATTTAACAGGTGACAGGGGATTTGGAGGCCGCAGTGGTGGTGGTTTTGGAGGAGGTTCCAGTGGTTTTGGAGACCGTGGTGGCTCCAGTGGATTTGGAAACAAAGGCTCTGGAGGTGGATTTGGAGGGAGGTCTGAGCGTCCTTCAGGAGGTTTCTCAGGGGGATTTGGTGGCAGTTCATCAAAGCCTGCTGCTGAAGATGATTGGGGAGACTCTTCCTCAGATTCCAAGCCCAGAAATTCCTCATCAGGTTTTGGATCCAGGTCTGGTGGTGGATTTCAGGGAGGAAAGCAGGGTGGTGGATTTCAGGGAGGAAAGCCGGGTGGTGGATTTGGAGCCAGTAGAGGGGGTGGCGGTTTTGGTGGTAGCAGTGGAGGTGGAGATAGTGGTGCCAATACAGAAGATGACTGGGGAGACAGTGCCACAACCACACCAGCTGTTACAGTCAAATCACCAGGATGGAGTGCCACACCCAAGAAAGATGGTAATAAGTGGGGGCATGAGGATGCTGACTTGTACAAACTTGCCAGACTCCCATCAGACAAAGCTGTCAAAGTATATGTAGTGTACGTCAAATCTCCCACTGAATTCTGGAGTCAGATGGTAAGCAAGTCAGAAGAGTTGGAGGAAATGATGGAGAAAATGAATGAAGAATACAATGGGTTATTTCCAAAAGAAAGATGTGTCCATGAATATGAAGTAGGAAAACCCTGTGTTGCCAAATTCTCTGAAGACAATAGATGGTATCGAGGGGAGATCTCCGAAGTGGAAGACGACAGAGTGAAGGTTCATTTTGTGGATTATGGGAATACAGAGACTGTGAATAAAGCTGAAGTGAAAGCAGCCAATGCAAACTACATGAGTCTAGAGATACAAGGAGTTAAATGTTCCCTCAGTGGAGTGCTCCAGGAAGACTGGTCAACGGAGGCAATAGAAAAGTTTGAAGAACTGGTCATGGATAAAGAATTACAGGCAAACGTTGTTAATTTTTCTGGCGGATTGTACCTGTTGAAGCTATCGGAGAATGGTGAAGATGTAGCTCAGAGCTTAGCTGATGCTGGACTATGTAAAGTTTCCTCTGCTCCCATTGTCAGTACATTACAAAATCCTTATCCAGCTCTACCTCAGCAAGAAGGAGAGAAAGTCACAGCTTTTGTGTCTTGGATTGAGAACCCTCACAACTTCTGGATCCAACCAGAGGAAAAAGCAGATAAATTAGAAGAACTGGTGGCAGATATTCAAGAACATTATGAAGCTGGAGGCAGTGAACTGGAGAATATTAATCTGGGGGATCCTGTTGTTGCTAAGTTCTCTGAAGATGAGGCATGGTACAGAGCTTATGTAGAGAACATTCAGAGATCAAATATAACAGTCAGGTTTGTGGATTATGGGAATGCAGACGTAGTTACTAAAGATGCACTACGTCAGGTAGAGCAAAAATTCCGTGAAGTCCCTGCTCAGGCTCTGAGATGCAGCCTCTCAGGTGTGAAACCACTACAAACTGGATGGTCAGATGACACCAAGGAGATAATGCAGAGTTTGGTCCCTGATGCTCTCAATGTTTGTTTCATGGAGAAAAACTCTGATGGAACTTGGAAGGTTTCCCTTTCTGCAGGTGAAGTGGATGTGGCAGAAGAGTTGATCAGGGCAGCAGTTGTTAGAAAAGAGACCTCAGATTCCTCAACATCATTTGTGAAGTCAGATTTCCCACCTCAGATCTCCCTTCCTGTAGGCAGTACCCACCAGGTGTTTGTCTCCCACACCAACTCGCCCACCAGCTTCTACTGTCAGTTAGCACAGAATACAGATCAATTAGACACACTGCTCGGAGATATAGAAGAAAAGGTTGAAACTTTAATTCCAGTCGACTGTGTGTTGGAGGGCATGGCATGCATGGCAAAGTACAGCGTAGACGAAGCTTGGTATCGATCCATAGTCACTAGTGTCTCAGGAAACACAGCAGATGTCTTATTTGTAGATTATGGGAATTCAGAATCAATTTCTATGGAGAGTATTTGTAATATTCCGACAGAACTCCTTAAACTTGAACCACAAGCCATACACTGCAAATTGTCAAATCCAGAGGGTGTTGGAAATGATTTTGGAGACCAAGTAGCAGATAAAGAAATGACCCTGAAGGTTGTAGGACAGTCTCCCGTGTGCTTGACAGTAGAGCTCTTCTTTGATGATGGAAAACCAGTGTCGGAACCCAGGAGAGAAGCACCAGAAACTGAAGCAGAGGAGGCTCCAGTATATAAACATATCAATTACACAGAACCAACCGGAACTCAAATTAAATGTTTTGCTACATATGTAAAATCACCCTCCAAAATCTACTTGCAGAAAGAAGGGTGTGAAGAACCACTGGAAACCATGACAGCAAAACTACAGCAGTCAGTAGGTGCATGTTCTCTCTTAGCTAACCCAAAACCAGGACAGATATGTGGAATGATATACTCTGAAGACAAGGCATGGTACAGAGGAGTTATAGAGGAGATTAATGCAGGAAAAGCTAAAGTAAGGTTTATTGATTACGGCAATAGCGAGGAAGTGGAAACAAGTTCACTGAAAAACCTTCCATCAGAATTTGCATCATTACCACCATTTGCATATGCATGTTCTTTGTGTGGGGTTTCTTCACTGGAGGGAGACTGGAGTTCAGAGGTCACAACCCAGCTGGAGTCCCTGATTGTAGACAAAGACCTGACCTGTACTTTTGTAACTGGATCTGAGGTGAAGCTAGAAGTGGAGGGTAAAGATTTGGGGAAGTCTCTGGAGGAAGCCAGCCTGGTAAAGTATGAGGAGAGTTCCTGTACTCCTGAGGAACCAGAGCCAGTCCGTGTGACTTGTTTAGAAGAGCAAATCGTTCCCACAGAGGCAACTGCAGCTTATGTCAGTCATAGTGACAAAGATCAGTTCTTTCTACAGTTAGCAAGTCAAGAGGATACACTAGGAGAAGTTATTGAAAACATTCAGAATCACTGTGAGAAGGCCAAACCTTTGACAGATGTAGCAGTTAATGATTACTGCTGTGCCAAGTTCACTACAGACAATTCTTGGTACCGGGCTCTTGTCACAGACATCAAAGGTGAAATGGTGGATGTTCTATTTATAGACTTTGGAAATAGTGACACAGTCACTACAGATAACTTGCGTACTCTTGGAATTGTGAGCCCAGCTCTGGCTTACCGATGCTGTCTGACTGGATGTACAACTATGTCTACAGAGCAACAGGAACTGTTCTCCAAGCTGTCATTGGATGCTGAGGTTACTGTGACATTTGACAAACAAGTGGACAACAAACATGAAGTAACAATGGTGCTAGCAGATGATCATAGTATAAATAAAGAGATTATACAGTTAGGTGAGTCTTAAAACTGAACCTGAAAGTCTGTGTTGTTCATGATAATTTGATGGCTTGCTTTTTGAGGTGATGTTTAGTTTACAATGAAGAAATGCATTAGAAACAGTGTTTTGTCTCCTACAGGTGGAGGTGAACCAGAGGTGACTAGTCACTCTGCTGATCTCTCAGAAATGGAAGAAAGACAAGACACTGGTAATAATTCAACACTTGCACCATTTTTCTGAATGTAAAAGTACATGTAATATATGTCTGATTTTTATGCAGTTTGTTGGCTTTGTGGATACAGTTCAATAATTAGTCCCCTACCGGTGAAACCGGAGGGGACTATAGGTTTCCTCTGAGTCTGTCCGTCCGTCTGTCCGTCCGTCCGTCTGTCTGTCTGTCTGTCTGTCCGTCTGTCTGTCTGTCCCTCTGTCTGTCTGTCAGTCTGTCCCACTTGGTTTTCCGCAGTTTTTTCCTAAACGCTTGCAGATATTGAGCTGATTTTTGGTATGTGAGTGTATCTTGATGAGTTACAGATCAAGTTTACATTTCGTTCCGCTTCATTGATTTTTGACGGAATTACGGCCTTTTCAATTTTTACGGGTTTTCCGCAATTTTCTTCTATACGCTTGTAGATATTGAGCTGATTTTTGGTATGTGGCTTTACCTTGATTAGTTATAGATCAAGTTTGCATTTCGTCCCGCTTCATTAATTTTTGACGGAATTATGGCATTTTCAATTCTTAACGGGAACGGAACCAGATTACACTTGCCGGTAGGGGACTAGTATTGCTAATGCAATACTCTCAGAATGCTTGTTTTACTTGTTACAGGTCTGAACACAAAAACAAAATTGTGTATGTTAACAATTAATGAAAGCTGTATAAAGTTTAAATCATCTTATATACATGTAAATGTTTGATCTTGTAGCTTCCCAGTCGGTGTTGATGGATGAGTCCCATATAACCCTGGATGAAACAGGCTTTGATGAAGCTGAACTTAACGTCACATGTAATGGAACGAGTAAGTGGCATGAAAAGTTTCTGTAAATTTCATATTTATAAATTTTCAACATTCATTTGACTGAAAAATATTTTTGTAAATTTATTTATTCTTTTTCTTCAACGGCTTAGCCAAGATCAGGTGCCCATTTCCAACCAAATGATGTTATATAGATGTAACTCTTTATAGTTACATCTAATCTAAATGTCTTTTGTTGCATTGCAAAGATCAGAATGAGAGCTTTCCATTGGTATATAATATCACATATATAGTATCTGCATCTTTGAAAAAACAACAGAATAAAGTCAAAGATCCATCAATTTTGAAGCGTTATGCTGTTGCACTTGGTTTTTTACATTTTAAAAAATGGTTAACTAAAATTATTTTGAATGAAACATTCCAAAATTGATATACTTAATTATAGAGAAATCACTCTGGTTTAGTTTATTTTTTACAGAAAAGAAAAAGGATAAAAATTGTGGAAATTATGAATAAATGTGTGCAGATATACCTTTGTTATATAATTTAAGATTTATCAATGTTGGAATACATGCATAATTTCTAGCCAAAAAAGAGCAAATATTATGTGTTTAAAATTTTTATTTTACTTAAGAAGAAAAGTACTATGAGAAAAATATAGTGGTTATATGGTAAAATGTGTGCATATTTTGTAATTTTTTTCCATACTGGTCTAATCTTTTGTATAGTCCGTAGCCCCATATTTCATTCTACTTTGTGTTCAACAAAAGAACGTATAATTATTCATGCTCTTGTTTAATATTTTCACAGGTACCAGTAAAGTAAAAAACAGTAATGAATATAGCTTTTGCGCTAACACCAAAAGAAGTTTTTGAAGAATGATTGGTGTCCGTAGCCCTGTATAGTCCGTAGCCCTAATATAATAACTTCCAGAAAGTCATATACATTATTGACACAATAACTACAATACAATAATATGTTTATTCAAACAAATGCAATGTTTTTAAATACAAATACCACTGTAATTAAAGATAAAATGTCTGAAAATTAACATTTTTCAACTAAAGGCTTAGTCTGTCCTGTTATCTTTGTGGTCAAAACATATTTCTAAATATACATGATAAAGTTTTCCTTCTTGTGATACATATTAAGATTCCATTTGGAAAAATTAGCATTAGAATATTTTTAAAAGAATATTTGGCCACACAAATCCTACTTACAAAAGGGCTACGGACTCTACAAATAAATTTAGCAAATTTACAGACCATATAACCATACTTCTGTATTAGGAAGAATTATTTTTTCCTACATGCATCTACTGCAAAATGGGACTTCAATGGTTTATTTTTTTTCTCACCAACCAGTCTTAACATCCCATAGTGGGATTTGATCCCAAAACGTAAGGATCAACTCCTTACTTTGCAATTTACTAAAAAGTGAGACCTTCACTCTTATAATTGTGCCACCCAATCTTCTTGTCACTGAATTGTTAATTAAAAAAAAACATTGATTCTTTATGGATAAATATTGTACTAATCATGTTTTTACTTCAAATGGTCAATCATATTTTGTAATTTTTTATGAATTACACCATATGATCATGATAAATTATATACCGATACACCTTTTGAATGACCACCTTGAGCTCTATGTATTACATTAAAATAAAATCAAAAAAAAAAAAAAAATGGAGCAATATAGTCTGTAACCCCCCCCCCCCCCCCCTAAAAAAAATCATGCCCTGACTTAAGTACAGCTCCTCTTGCTTTTATTCATTAATAGTTTGAACACCAATAATGCTTTAATTAGTTGAACTGGAATTTCATTTGGCGTTGAAAGCACACAGTACATTAGACAATTGATTTTTAAATATGGTATTATAAATACTCAAACTAAGTGGCTTGAACTGTTATAGAATACCAAATAATTAAAAAAAATTGCCACAAATTTGATCATACAATTATATTTTCTTTAAGTTGATTGTCCACAATAGAGATGTTAAACAGTATAGTCCGTAGCCCCATTGCTCACATGAAATTCAGTCTCATAGATGCTAAATTAAAGCTCATTCTTGTTCTTTAGATGGTCTTAAACTATATTTTTTTTTTATCAAAACACCAATTACGTGTAATTCTGACATGTATTATTTTGTTCTGACAATTCATATTTTACTCGTATTGTGAATTTATTTGAAGTTTTTGTTTTATTTTGTTAAATTTTACAGGATTTTTGTATAAATTGATTCAATATCCAAACGAAAGGATTTATTAAACATGTGTGAACTCCATGATGATAATTTTAAGAAATATTTACTGATACAGACAACTATATTTCTATGGTCTCTCAGTAAATGAAAAATGCTACATGTATAGTCCGTAGCCCGAGGTCTCAAAATTGTCAATCAAAAAATATCTGACACATTTTTTCTCTGAGTATTACCAAATAAGTTTGAAATTTTCATCCCCATATACAGTATCTTTAGAAAAATTGAAAGTACTTAATGTACTTTTGCTTCAAATGTCTAAATATTAAGAGTAGAAAAACTCCCAGAGATTAATAAATTTACCCATGTCCTTTATATACTGTAACATTTTTGATGGAAATGAGTTATGTGATTTTTTTGTTCAGACAATATTTTGTGAAGAGTTTGTATTTGAATTATACTTGTTTTGTTTAGTTGAATATGATAACGATAAATGTTATGCCTGAATATGTATAGTCCGTAGCCCACTTGGGTCTCTGCTAAAGTAAGAGTGAAATCTTTTTAACCGCTCGACAGAAATGAACAGAAATTTCAGACAATCTGCCAAAAGGATGTAGTGTTACATAGAACATACTTGTAATACGATTCATTAGACTTCATTTTTTGGTTAATCTGCAACCAACATGGGCACCTGATCTTGACCAAGCCATCAATCCTTTACCCAAATTTGCAAGAGATATATTCAAAAAAAGTTATCTTGTTAGTTATTTTGCTTATTTATTGGAGAGCTTTGTTGCAACAGATGAATCGTCAGAGGAGGAGGAGGACACAATCTCAAGTGTGAACGAGCTGAAGGCTGCTGCCGTCCAAACGGAGGATAGAGTGGAGGTCAACGTCAGCTGTGTTTACTCCCCGAGCTGTTTCTACCTCCACATTGGTGACCCCGCCCCCCTCAATGACCTCCTGGACCAGATGTATGAGTTCTACAGCAATACGCCCATATCATCCTATAAAATAGAAAAAGTGGCAATCAACACACCTTGTGCTGCCAAGTTTTCTGAGGATTCATCCTGGTATCGAGCTGTCATCAAAAAACAGGTAGATGTGGATAAAGTGGAGGTGATATTTCTGGACCATGGCAATATAGAGGTGTGTGCCATTTCTGATCTCCGCCGTCTTCTGAAACGATTCTGTGACCTTCCAATCCAAGGTGTGGAGTGTTCCCTTGCTGGGGTGAGGTCTAAGGATGGGCCGTGGAGCAAGGATGCCACAACTCTCTTCACAAATCTTACTGAGGAAAAGTAAGTAATACTGACATAATGTGATCTGTTTAATATTTAGCTAGATCTGAATATTGCTCATGTTTCTGTGCTTATTAACTAAAAATTACAACTATTGTAACTTGAACCTAATTCTAGATCTATAGATAAAGTTTTCAATTACCTCAGTATCTTTGAAAATAAACTAAAATTTAAATGTATTCTGATAAAGAATGTATTCTGATAAAGAATGAACACAAACTTTATTTGTAAATCAAAGTAAGGAATGTTCACTGTTGCAGAGATACTTGTATATCAGACTTTTCATAAAAGGTTAATTCAGCTGTTGAAGGAATTAATTGCAAAACACACAAGGAGATTCCCTTAAGAAGTTAAACTTGTAATATAATGTAAATTTGACAGGACTTTACTAGCAGACATTCTTAGCCTTGGAGATGATAACAGCTGTATTGTACATCTTCTTCACATGGGTCTGTCGATCAGCGAGCGTCTGATAGAGGAAGGATATGGGGTACAGGCGACCACGCCGGTCACCATCAGTAAGAAAGTGAAGCGTGTTTTTTCTGACTCCAGTGATGTAGCTACCCCCTCACTAAAGCTATCTGAGGAGTGCTCAACAGTGAAGGAAGAACGGGACATTCTGTATGGGAGGTTAGTTATCTTAACATATTCAATACCTATACATGTACAGTGTAGAACAGGACATTCTGTATGGGAGGTTAGTTATCTCAACACTGTACAGATGTATTCAGTACTTATACATGTAGAACAGGACATTCTGTATGGGAGGTTAGTTTTCTCAACACTGTTCAGATGTATTCAATCCCTACATATACAGCAAGCAGGAAAATTTTGGAGGATGTCAGAAAAAGACCTCATTCCCAAATTTTGATTATATGTTAGGGGGTAAAAATTTTAAATACAAATTTCTCTGTTACATGTGCCTCATTGTTTTTGAGAAATTATTCTGGAGAGGGAAATCAATCCCAAAAATATTTGCATATTAAGAGAAATACCGACACAGTAAATCAATGTTTATACATTATGATGTAGGTTTACCCCGGAAGCTGTAGAAGCAGACACCGAGTATGTAATCACTCTCAGTCATATTGAAAACCCTGAAAATTTCTGGTGCCATATAGTGGACAAGGTGGCAAGTCTAGATGAACTGATGGACAAGATGCTGATAAAATACTCTGCTGACCGTAAAAGTGACCCGTGTCCAATGTCGGAAAATAAATCTGAGTCTGTATCAGAGGAGGGTGTACAGAATGGAGAGAATGATTGTAATAAAGGGATAGGTAAAGAGCTGGAGGACATCAAACCAGGAACTTCTTGTTGTGTGCTTTTCCCAGTGGATGGTCAGTATTACAGATCTGTAGTCCAAGAGGTAGATGAGGACAAAGTTAAAGTGTTTTTTGTGGACTTTGGAAACCAGGAGATTGTGAGGAAGTGCAATATTTTCCTGCTTTTAGATGTTTTTTGCGAAATGTCTTCTCAAGCTATTCACTGTCGCCTTGGTGGCATTATCAGTCAGTCCTGGGATTCGAGCTCCTGTGGAAGATTTGATGAGCTGACTGAAGATAAAGAACTTCTAATGTATGTAACAGAAAAGTCAGAGATTGGGCCACACTTTGTAGAACTGTCTGATGATGAGACCTCCATCACTAGCTGTCTGATAGACGGAGGGTACGCCCAGCCAGACCACACTACAGATGAGGAGGAGTCGATTGATCTTGTATCCCTGTTCAGTCCATACTCTTGGACTTTATTATCCTTGGATATGGAGTATGACGTCATGGTTACCTCTGCAGACAATCCTCTACAGTTTTATGTCCAGCTCAATGACTGTAATGAGTTGTCAAAAATTGAGGAGGAGATAAGCAAGTGTGTAGAAGAAAACCTGCAGAAGTTGTCTGACATCAAGGAAGGTGTTGCTTGTCTTGTTCTCAGTCCAATGGAAAAACAGTATCAAAGAGCCAAATGCTTGAAAGTCTTCCCTAATCAGCAAGTACAGGTTAGTTGTATGAAATTAAGTAGGACTGTCACAGTTCCAAAATTTTTGGGGTTGGTTCAGTAAATTTTTTTCTCAGTTTTGGGTTTTTTGGTCCGGTCCTTTACATCATTTCATGAATTAAACTTGAAAAAACTTTATTTGTCATAAAATTTCACCTTTAAAACAATGTGTTAACCTGTAACCATGCTGATGTCGGTATATCATCAACTAGGGCCACTATTATGGACAACATATGACCACTGTTGCTCGTTTCAATAATTATTCCATCCTTTCGTGACAAGTGTTTTGTCATGGATGAAGTAGATTTCAGTTGTAATGTTTATTTATCACAGTTAATGTCTTGATTCTTTGATTTCATCACCATGTTTTGGTATATAAACAAAACTAGACCCACACCTTAATCTGGAAAAATGTAACTGAAACTGAACCAAACAACTTGGACTGCGGTTTTTGGTTATTTCAGGGAACTGTGAAAGCCCTGATATTAAGATTTATAAGCATTTCTATAGGATTTCCTTGACTTGATGATATTGCTATTGTAAATTACTTATTCTTGCATTCTCTTTGATGAAAGTTAAAGTTCAGTTATCAATCAGAACAAACATTTTTAACACAATAATAATCAAAGGTAAAAAAAAAAATAATTTCATTTTGTATATAGTAACTGAGAGAGAAGTTCTGCTATTAAAAATAGACACAGGTACAATGTACATGCAGAAAGAAATGTATTTTAGGTTTTATTGGTGGACTTAGGTGAAAAACTGACCACTAAGATGGACTGTGTGTACAGTATACCAGACTCCCTAATCCAGATACCTGCTCAGGTCTCTGTGTGTGCCCTGACAGACATATTTTCTCTGACAGGAAGCTGGAGCAAGGAAACCAGAATATTTTTCTCAAGTGAGACTTGCATATGTTTTTCTTTTTCATACAATAGTTGTTTAACTTGCATCAAGGTAGATCATTAACAATTTTTAGCATTGTCAAGTCAGATTTTTTTCTCTGTTAGTATTAATGGCCATATTTGTACTTTTGGATAGATCATGTCCAGGATGTTTCCATTATGTATGTGCGTCATAAGACGGAGTGTGGGGTGTACAAGGTGACCTTGGACTACGAGGGACAGGAACTGAACCGTCTGATGGTGGATTTAGGTTTTGCCAGAGCTGAGACAGACACCACACTGTTTGAACAAATGATGGAGAGCTCCGGTGATCTAGGTGTGTTCCTATAAGATAGACAAATCTGGTTTGTTGCTAAAGAATACTTTAAATCATCTATGGCAGACATGATAGAATGCATTAAATGGGCTAGGATAGGCTTGTCACAGGATTTTGTAAGTTTGCAGTAATTTCTCAGATCTAGACCATTTCTGAATTTAAAAAAGGGTTCAAGGTTTCTAGCTGGCATTTTTTACTTGTATTCTTGTAATCTGAGTATATATTTGTTGTACAAAAAAAATGACATTATTTTATGCTTAAATTTTCTGTTTCAAAGAAACTTCCTTTAATGAGCTGGCCCTAGAAAAACAGAATTCTTTTGGCAGTGAAGAAGATGGAGAAGGTAAAAAGATTCTCAAAAAAATTCTAAATCATTTTTCTCAAATAATTACATGTTTTTTTTTCATCAAATGAATACAAAATCAGTTAAAGCTTAGAGGATTTGATTTATGTATTATCTTTTTAATAGTATATAATTGATAAGTGTAGAGTAATTGATTTGTTACTTGTAGGTAAATCCCTTAATTTGGACTCAACCCTGGAAACAACAGATGCCTCTGTTTGCATGTGTCATGACTCAAGCCTGGAAACAACGGGAGCTTCTGATAGCTTCCATTTCATCAATCTCAAGAAAGGTTAACATTTTAGTTAAAAAGATCATAAAAATTGTCATATGTTCTTGAGTCTTCACATCAACCGTGTCACTAAAATGATCAATTGTTTGTTTTCATCCTTGTTGTGTAACGTGTTACCATAACCTTTTAATTTAATAATATGTGTAAGAAATCAATAATTGTACAGGACATTAATGTAATTTTGCTTCGGTTAGAGCCTCTGTTATTTTTCCAATGCAACAATGAAAACTGCAGTCCCATCATTTTTCATTGATTTGGTGGCCGAAACAGACCACAAACTTAGATGATCAACCAACTTCAAATTTTACAAATTACGTAATAAGATTAAGAAGCTGTTCTCAGATTTACCTATTAACAAAGTTTTAAATTTTTGCAAAAACAAAAATAATTGATCCCCAAAGAAAATAATGAATCCACATTAACAGAAGTTTGACAACTTTCATTTTTACTGTCTCTGAAATGAGTAGTTCTGATTTTACAATGAAAATTTCTGATATGAAGAATGCTGCTTGTACAGCTCTAAATTGAAGATCTGGATGTAAATTTAATGTAAACTAGAAAGTTACAAGCAGAATTAAATTTTGGTCATAGTCGTAAGTTCTTTTGTAAAATGAGCCCCAGGTTTTTATGTAGCATGTATTTGGAGCAAGTTAAAGTTTGAGAAGCAGTTTTTATTCCAAAGTAACTATAAGCCCCTTGGTGACCAAACTTGCATGTATGATTCATCTAGGGATGGACACTAACAGTTTGCTTTAGATTCTGGATCTGACCTATATTTATTGAAGCAGGTCCATTCCCAAGTAACTAGAAGCCATATGGTGACCAACCAACCTGTTTCAACAAAGATGATTATGGAGTAGTATATTGAATCTGTTTAATGATTTTGATGTTATTTTTTCTTCTTACAGAGAGGGAAGCAGAGGAAGATAAGACAGAAGGTACAGTCATTTTAAATTTTTCCTCAGTGTATGCTGAAACTGTGATTTTATGGTATAGATTATGTTAAGTACCAGATAGGCATAAAGATGCTTTATGAATTTTAGTGATTTTTAGCTCACCTGAGCCGAAGGCTCAAGTGAGCTTTTCTGATCACATTTTGTCCGTCGTCCGTCCGTCCGTCTGTCCGTCTGTCCGTCTGTCTGTCTGTCTGTCCGTCCGTCTGTAAACTTTTCACATTTTTGACTTCTTCTCAAGAACCACTGGGCCAATTTTGACCAAACTTGGTACAAAGCATCCTTGGGTGAAGGGGAATTTAAATTGTTAAAATGAAGGGCCATGTCCCCTCACAAGGGGAGATAATCAAGAGAAGACAAAAATAGGGTGGGGTCATTAAAAAATCTTCTTCTCAAGAACCACAGGGCCAGTAAAGCTGAAACTTATATGGAAGCATCCTGGGGTAGTGTAGATTCTAAATTGTTCAAATCATGATCCCCGGGGGTCGGGTGGGGCCACAATGGGCGATCAAAGTTTTACATAGGAATATATAGGAAAAATCTTTAAAAATCTTCTTCTCAAGAACAGCAAAGCCATGATTGGTCATATTTACATGGAAGCATCCTCAGGTATTGTAGATTCAAGTTTTTATTCAAATCATCACCCCGGGGGTCGGGTGGGGCAACAATGGGTGATCAAAGTTTTACATAGGAATATATAGGAATAATCTTTAAAAATCTTCTTCTCAAGAACAGTAAAGCCATGATTGGTCATATTTATATGGTAGCATCCTCAGATAGTGTAGATTCAAGTTTGTTCAAATCATGACCCCCGGGGGTCGGGTGGGGCAACAATGGGCGATCAAAGTTTTACATAGGAATATATAGGAATAATCTTTAAAAATCTTCTTCTCAAGAACAGTAAAGCCATGATTGGTCATATTTATATGGTAGCATCCTCAGGTAGTGTAGATTCAAGTTTGTTCAAATCATGACCCCTGGGGGTCGGGTGGGGCAACAATGGGCGATCAAAGTTTTACATAGGAATATATAGGAAAAATCTTTAAAAATCTTCTTCTCAAGAACAGCAAAGCCATGATTGGTCATATTTATATGGTAGCATCCACAGATAGTGTAGATTCAAGTTTGTTCAAATCATGAACCACTTTTTTATTTGAACTTTTCAACCTTTCAAGACTGAACTGATTTCTGCATTTTCCTAGCCATAGTGCTCAGGTGAGTGATGTGGCCCCTGGGCCTCTTGTTTTCATGAAAGGTACTATAATTTTTTTCCCACTTATCTTTGATTCAGATCAAGAGTTAAAAGAGGAGGATGAATTTTATGATGCTGTTGATGAAGAAGGGGAAAAACAGACTCCAACAAAGGACCCACTGAATGATGTGTCTAATGACAAAGAATCCGAATTGACATCAAGTCCAGCAAAGTCCAAAGAACCAAATGATCAGTCTGAAGTGGAGAGCCAAGGAAGGTCTGTCAAGGAGGAAGAGCAGTTGGAAGATGAAGAGGTCACCAGAGGTGAGAAGATGGATGACAACATTAACAACAACTGTGAGGAGCCTGAGGATATGAGGACCGAGGACTTGTCCTCACTCAGTGGGGAACACCAACCTGATGTCAACAGTGAGGAAAAGAAAGGGGAAGCAACTGTAGACAAAATGAATGAGGACAAACATGATATAGTAGGAGATGTGATAGATAATGAGGGCATTAAGGAAGAAGTTAGTCGGGAGAATGAGGATAAACCTGATCCGGAGGAAGATGTGGCAGAGAGCGAGGGCATTAAGGAAGATGTGGCAGAGAGTGAGGTCATTAAGGAAGTGGATGTTTGTCAGGAGATTGAGGATAAGTTAAATGTAGATGATGATACAGGAAACAGGGAAGATGTTAGTCAGAAAGAGTGTGAAGATGATAGTAAGAAAGAGAGTGAAGATGCAAGTCTGAATGAAAGTGAAGATACTGATGTCATCAAAAGAGATAGTGAAGATACTAGTCAAAAAGACAGTGAAGATATTGGTCAGAGAAAGAATGAAGATGGTAGTAATCAAGAGACTGAAGAAGCTGATGCAGATAGCAAGAAAAGTGAAAATGATGGTCAGAGAGATGAAGTTTCTGAGGAAGAGACCCAAGGGAAAGAGGTGTGTGAAGGTGAAGACTCAGGAAAGGTTGTGGAGGAAGAATTCAAAAACACTGATTCCAGACAGAGTGATTCTGAAGATGTCTGTGGTAAGGAGGACGGGAATGGTTTGGTTAAAGATAAAGAACAGTCTGATTCTAAAGAAGAAAAAGAAAATTTGGAGCACTGTAGTGACAGAGTGATTGCCAATATTGACAGCGAGGGAGAAAACTCAGATGATCCATCAGACACGGAGATCGAAAATACGGAAGGATTGGAGGGGGGTGGAAATGGAGAGGATAGATTAAAGGAAGTCAAGGAGGCAGCTGATTATAAATAGGTTCAAATAAAGTAGGGATTTCTTTTTAGTTGGTCATTTCTGTTGATGAGCATTGAATATCAAATGTGAATTATATTTGCCCAATTTTTGATATGCTTATTTGCAATCGTGTATTTTTTTTTTTTACCTAGTTGTGACACATCCATTTAGTTTGTGTTATCCATCAATGGGTATATGTTTTGCTGTTTATTTTTGGTGCCAATAGTTATTTTCGAATGTTGTAGTATTTAGTTTCATTTTAAAGTTTGTGCAAAACATTGCTGATCACAGAACATGTATGACATATTGTTATTCAATAAAACAATTTCTTGATGTTGATTTATTTTACAGACCTAAAATATAGATAAGGACAAGTAATAGTTCAAGATGCACAAATGCAACACTATGTGATGGATATCATTAACTTGTTTCAGATCACCGAAGTTTGGGCCTTTCTGGAATATGAGAGTGAGCAGTATCTTTTATTCTGCCTTACAACATCATCTGAGAGAGTGGTAACATGGTTGAAATCTTTCAATAAAGTAAAGGTGTTGCTAGGTTTGAACTTATGCTTACAAGGATGGATCATATGTAGAATAAAAACAAAGGAGAACAAGATGTGTTTGTGAAACACTGATGCCCCCGTATGGCAGCTTATAGCGAAGGTTAAACTTTCTAAAATGCAAGTCAAACTCCAGGTCAAGAGATTAAAAATGTTGGTACCAAAAGTAAGGTCTTGTCTCGAGGAATATACCTGTGAAATATGAAAGCCATAGCACCAACCATTGAAAAGATTATGGAGAAGGTTAAAGTTTTTCAAAAGTAAGTCAAAAATCAAGGTCAATGGGCCAAAGTTGTTGGTATCAAAAGGAAGGTCTTGTCACAAGGAATACACGTGAAGTATGAAAATCCTACAATGTAACATCAACTGTTCAAAAGTTATGACAGAGGTTAAGGTTTTTCAAAAGTAGGCCAAGGTCAAAGGGACAAAGTTGTTGGTATCCAAAGGAAGGTCTTGTTACAAGTCATACTCGTGTGAAGTATGAAAGTCCTAGCTCCAATTGTTCAAAAGTTATGGCCAAGGTTAAAGTTATCCAAAAGTAGTTCAAACTCCAAAGTCGAGGGGTCAAAGCTGTTGGTATCCAAAGGAAGGTCTTGTCATAAGGAATATACTTGTGAAGTATGAAAGCCCCAGCACCGTTCAAAAGTTATGGCCAAGGTTAAAGTTGCTTAAAATTTTGTAAAACTGGGTCAGACTCCAAGGTCAAAGTTGTTGGTATCCAAAGGAAGGTCTTTTCACAAGGAATACACGTGAAATATGAATGCCATGGCTCTAATCTTCGATTACGGAGTCATAAAAAGATGTTTTACCAATGACTTACAAGAAATTGATTGTGTGCTATTTTACGTCCCGTTCGGTAATTTTTCACTCGTATAGAGATATCACCATATACCGGAGAAGGGCTTCAAATTTAAACCTTTACTCGGAACTCGGGGGCAATTGAGCAATGAGGGTTCTTTATCGTGCCAACGCTTACCGTTACACGGGGCCTCGGTCTTTAAGGTTTCATCCGAAAGACCCACAACTTTCACATCAATGTGCCGAGCGCTTGGCGAAGGAACAGTTGCTACCTACCGTATTTTTATCGACTTAGGTCAGTCGTGGCCGTGATTCGGTCACAAGACCTTCCGATCACGGAGCGAGCGCTCTACCGATGCAAGAAATTGATTATTAAGGTAATTGATTACTTTAGGTCGTCCTATAACAATTGATAGTATTAGTTACTTCCCTAAGAGGCTGGTTTTAATTTATCTCGCTCTTTGAAATGACGTAATTTTTGAAGCCACCAAGGGAAAAAAGTTAACCTTGCATTGTCTTGCCAACCTGCCCGGTATGTTGCTCTAGCTGACATTGTCGCCAAAAAAGGGAGGATGTTAAGTTCTATCACAACAAGTCGTGGTTGAGTAGTTTATTACAGGAAAATTGTTGTACTTAAGACCGCAGAACATATTAACTGGCAAAATTGGAAATGTACAGCTCGTTTTTTCCATCTGTTACAGTCAAAACATTTAATCATAGACAATGAAATGGGCGGTCCAATTCGACACGAACGTCCGAGAAAACATTGGATTGAAATTCTAGTTTGAAATTCATTTTCAATCCACCTGAGCTGTTTTCAAACGCAGAATGTGAATGTATGACCCAAAAGATAAATAATTTCAATGCCCAAATACATGTTTGAAATTCATATTTATCATTGTTTATATGAATTTTTAGCCTATAATTTTAAGGAGACGCAAAAGTCATAGAAGATAGAGATTATTTTTTCAGGGATGGCTATTTGATTGTAGAGGGGGGGGGGGGGGGGGTGGTAAAAATTGTCTAGTCAGATCATGCCTTCACATGACAAAATATATTTATTTCTAGGATGACAAGAGGTATTTTCTTTAGTTTTGTCTTCACTGAAAATGTTTGACAATCAAAAACAGGGAGGGGTTGCCCAAACTATAAAAAAACTTTTTTTTTTCAAGATCGTTCAGCCCCCTCCAAATCCCCCTTCCAAACACATGCATGCACATACCTAACAGAAATCAAATATTTGTCCCTTTATGTTTCTTTAAAAACACTGGTTAGAAATTCTGATTTATATATTTTACCTTCAAAATATTCCGAAATTGAAATTATTTGACTTCTGGGTCAATCAGTAACTCATTGCCTTCTAGCGTAGCTGAGGTTGATTGAAAATGATTTTCAAACTAGAATTTCAATCCAACGTTTTCTCTGACGTCCGTGCCGAATTGTACCCGCCCATTCCGTTGTCTATCATTAAATGTTTTGATTGTAACAGATGGAAATGACGTAAGCTGCATATTTCCAATTTTGCCAGTTAATGTTCCGCGGTCTTAACCGAAGTTATAACTAGCCCTTCTTAGGGGTAAAAAGGGTAGGTGAGTATAAATGATACTGGTTCTATGGATTCATGTATTGGGCACAGGCACTTGTTTCGTTAATAAATTTTTATCCCATAGTATAATAATAACACAAGGTATCTAACTCCGAATTACACGGAGTACCCCCCTCCCCCAGAATCGCACTCATTTACACTTTCAGAGGAAATGCACTGACAAACTGTTTATACCTATGTTTTCTACGATAATTTATCTACACAACCATATATGGCATGCTTGTCTTTATTTTCTTTAGTCTCCGTAAACAGCGTCAAAACTCTGCTCGTCGAGTTTAAAAGTCGAATTCAACCATGAAATGGTATGTGCTAATCCCGCACAGAGAACAAAATTAAAAAATTAGTGGGTTTAAAAATTCAATTCCAGTGTTTAAATATTGCATGAGTAAATAGAACTTGTTTACGTCTGATTTTCCCTGAAAACATTACGATGTTTATCCGATGTAATTTTAGAAACAGATTTTTAGCCAATCAAAATCTCTGTGCGGGATTACCGGTAGCACATACCATTTCATGGTTGAATTCGACTTTTAAACTCGACGAGCAGAGTTTTGACGCTGTTTACGGAGACTAAAGAAAATAAAGACAAGCATGCCATATATGGTTGTGTAGATAAATTATCGTAGAAAACATAGGTATAAACAGTTTGTCAGTGTATTTCCTCTGAAAGTGTAAATGAGTGCGATTCTGGGGGAGGGGGGTACTCCGTGTAATTCGGAGTTAGATACCTTGTGTTATTATTATACTATGGGTTAAAAATTTATTAACGAAACAAGTGCCTGTGATTATTATACTATGGGTTAAAAATTTATTACCGAAACAAGTGCCTGTGCTATTGGGTCCAGGGTTTTGACCATATGTGGGTATAAAAATGGCCAAAAACATTCAATATGACTGGCCAGTATTGTCGGGGTATTGTTGGAATCTGTGTTTCATATGCAAAGTAGGATTAATTTCATTGAAATCAAACATTCAATCATTGAGTACTATGGTAATCAATATGTGAAATTTTACTACGGACGATCAAGGCTGAAGCAAAGTGACACGCTGTTATTGGAATGATGGTAGTAACATTGATGCATCCGCGATCGGTAAGTCGTAGGTTCAAGCCCTGGTCGCGACAAACTTTAGTCGATTAAAAAAGGGAAGCAACTCTTCCTTTGCCAAGGGCTCGGCACTGTGAAGTGAAAGTTGAGAGTCTTTTGTGAGATCCTGAAATTCGAGGCCCCGTATCACAGCAGGCGTTGGCACGATAGAGATCTCTCACTGCTCAATGGCCCTGTATGGGTGCCGATTCAAGGTCTAAATTAGAAGCCCTTCATCATGCAGTATATGGTGGCGACTGATTTGAGTGAAATAATCTTGCATCTTATTTACTTGTGGACAGGTAGCAGACAAATAGTTTGTAGGATTGTTATGAACAGCTAGCCCTCTACAAAAATGATAAGGGATCAAGGATAGGGCTAAGTTGGTCATAATTTATTAGGTCACCTGAGTCACTTAGGTGACCTGTTGCTATCTGTTTTCGTCCGTCGTCGTGCGTAAATTTTTCACATTTTTGACTTCTTCTCAAGAACCACTGGGCCAATTTCAACCAAACTAGCCACAAAGTATCCTTGGGCAACGGTGATTAAAGTTTGTTCAAATGAAGGGCTAAGCCTTTTTCCAAGGGGAGAAAATTAAGAATTAGTGAAAAATTAATGGCATCTTTTAAAAATTCTTCTGAAGAACCACTAGGCCATGAAAGTTATATGGAGAAATCCTCAGATAATGTAGATTCAAGTTTGTTCAAATCATGACCCCCGGGGGTAGGGTGGGGTCACAATGGACGATCTAAGTTTTACATAGGAATACATAGGAAAAAATCTTTAAAAATCATCTTCTCCAGAACCACTGGGCCAAGAAAGATGAAACTTATGTGCAAGCATCCTCAGGTAGTGTAGATTCAATTTTGTTCAAATCATAACCCGGGGGTAGGGTGGGGCCACAATGGACGATCAAAGTTTTACATCGAAATACATTGGAAAAACCGTTCACGGTAGCTCAGTCGGTAGAGCGCTCGCTCCGTGATCGGGAGGTTGTGAGTTCGAATATCGGCCGCGACTGACCTAAGTCGATAAAAAATTGGTAGCAACTGTTCCTTCTGCATGCGCTCGGCACTTTGTCGTGAAAGTTGCGAGTCCTTTGGATGAGATCTTAAAAACCGAGGCCCCGTGTCATGGCAAGGCGTTGGTACGATAAACATCTCTCACTGCTCAATGGCCCTGAGTGCCGAGTAAAGGTCAAAATTTGAAGCCCTTCGCCGGTATATGGTGACGTCTCTATATGAGTGAAAAATTCTCGAATGGGACGTAAAACATACAATCAATCA